GTAATTCACTATATTTTAAGAAAAACGCACCGTTTTCGAGATATTTGTAAAATAGCAAAAAAAGTCCCATTCCCACCCCCTTTTTCTTGTAACCCTCCTTCCCAAATCCGACACTCAAATCCGTGTAACTTTTTTATACATATTAAGGGAGGTTTATTGAACAATTTGGCACTCATTAGAAACTTTTTTTATGGGTGTCCATGGGTTTCTCCATTTAAAAAACAACTTTTTTAGAATTTTAAGAAAAAAATCACATTTACCCCTCAATATTACCTGAACCGTTCATAGTAGATAGGTATTGTATGGTATCATTTTGTTCGAAATTTAATAAAGATTATTTTTGTAACTGGTTATATTTTAAGAAAAACGCACCGTTTTTGAGGTATTTGCGAAAAAGTAAAAAAAGTCCTATTTTTACCCCATTTTCACCCCCTCCCCCCCAAACCCGACACTCAAATCAGTGTAACTTTTTTTTACATATTGAGGGAAGTGTATTCAACAATTTGGCACTGGTTTGAAACTTTTTTTTTGGATGTCCCGGTTTGCTCTTTTTTTAAGCTAATTGCACTGTACTAGTAATGATCCAATGGTGGCCTACCTAAAATAAAATAATGCGATGAATAATATTTTGATCCATCAGTTGATTCATCCAAGACTAAGATAGATCCTCACAAAGTTTAGTTATGCATTAAAGTCTGGTCTATAAATTGATCCCATTTCTTGGATTTTAAGAACAAAATAAATATTATAAATAAACGTTAAAGGAGAAGGGGTAGCATTTTTACTATCAAGGTTTGTCAAAGATTTGTATTTGTATTAATTTGAGGTCAGGGCGCCACTTATGAGCGTATTTTAACCCAAATATGAGTGGAGGATATGAGTGTAGAATGGAGTTTGATGCCTTTTGTAGCTTTGTTACTGACTAAGACCAGCTGTTTCATTCGTCAGGGCCATTGATTGAAAGTACAATTATCAAGGACAGCTGGGTCCAGTTTCAAACCATCAAAAAGCTTCGCTTTTCAGGATCGAATGGGCAACCTTTTGATTACTATCGAGCACAACCACTGAGCTACCCAGCTGTTGTCATGATGTCCCGAAAATCTAATATGTTGGTAGTTGGTACCAAAATGGTTAACTTATTTGCATGAATATATAAATGTTATCTTCTAGGTTGTAAAAACAAAAGAAAAGCTATAAATGCGTGATATGAATGTATGGTTATCAATACAATACACCTACATTTATTAAATTGGGTATAACCAAACTAATTATCTATTCCTAAAAACTTTAAATGGAAATGCTACAAACACTACAATAACCTTGAATAAACATGAACCATACAAATGTGATACCAAATTGAAAATTTTGAAAAAAAATACCTCAACTGATCCTAGAAAATAACTTGAATAAACCGAATCAGCTGATCAATATTATGCTGATCAGCTGGTGGCAAACATGAATTAAAGCAGTGCTAATTCTATTATCAGCCTCAAATAATTGACTGACAGGATAGGTTGTGTTATAGTGACAGCACAATGGATGTTATCTAGTAACACTCACAACAAGACATGTGTTAGATATATGGCTAGGTCAGCCACCCCAACAAACACAGGTCAGTGCTGTTATGATATGTGGACATGACTTTCCTACCATGGATTGTGTTGGCATCGTTATCTTTAGTCAATGGAGAGAACACCACATCCGATGTTGAATTTTATGATTGTCTACAACTAGGAGAATTGCCTGTAAGTTATATTAGCATATTGGTGGTAATTTGCATGATTTGATGGTACTGATACGGACACTGATTATGGCTTAAGTAGTTTATTACAAAAGCCCTTAAAGAACTTATATAATTGTTATAATTAATACCCCCGCCGCAGCAAACCTGCCGACTAAGCGAATTTCCATTTGTCTGAATTGATTTTCAGTTAAATATATTTTAATAACATTAGGTTTAACGAGTACCTAGGTTTGCTGCTACAAGGAAACTAATAAAGTGTGTTTTTGAGTAAAATATTGATAGCTTAGTACAAAATAAATAAATTTGCCAAGTTTGATCAAAATATATTCATAAACAAGCAAACTACAACATTTGACAATATTCTCCATAAGAATAACATGGGAATTTTAAATTTACAATTTTTTTAATTTTCTCCGTTACTAATAATTGAACAAAAATACTTTTATATACTAAATTATTTGTTTTTTTAAGCTCTTTAAAAAGGTCTAAAGAGAAATTGGGAAATTTTGTGTTTTGAGGGTCAAAAGTGAGAAAAACCTATTTTTACCCCATAAAACCCCCCGTAAAGCCCCGTTCCCATGGTCCGATCGTGCTGGTTCGCGAACTCATTCAAGTTTATCCCGCTTTACACCTTTAAACCAAATTTCATCAAAATCGGACAAAAATTACTCAAGTTATCGCGTTCACGGACGTATATATATATAAGTCTATATATATATATATATATATATACATATATAAAAATTTGAACGAATAGTGTTTTTGGCCTCTGGGGACATCAAAATGAAAAAGTAAATCGGTCCCGGGTCTAGGTCTTACCGTGCCACCTACGGTAATAGCTACTTCCCTATAGGGAAATTCGCTAAAAACATAGGCAAAACATTCATATCTCAGTATTTAAGCTGCTTAAGTCATCCCATTAATCTTTCAAATATTCTTTCGTGAAACTATAAAATCCGACTCCATCATAACATAAACATAAAAGTATCAATTTGATCGATAACGAAAACCCAAACATCTACTGTATATTACTTGTACCAATTTATATCCGCGATAACAAAAGTGTTACTTTTTCTTTACTTGAAATGCGCATTGCTAACAGGTATATCAAATGCTTACTGTTACATTTTCTTGTAGGTAGTATGAATTGATAGATAATTATGTTGACAGTGTAATCGAGACTCAGACTGCTGTGGTTTTGGGATATGTGTACGAGTCATCGTAACAGATATGATGTTGGGGCAATGTCACACCTCTGACCCGTCCACGCCCCCTCGACCCCTGGACGATGGCCAATGTTGACCATTTTACACAGTTGTTGTTACAATGCATGAATACACTATAACTCAAAGGAGTGTCAGAGAATTTAAAAAAAAACCTTTTTGACTCTCTTTGAAAATTACAAAAACTTCTTATATTCCTATTCCCTATTTATAACGTCAAATGATGCACTCACTATATCATTGACTATTGGATACTGAAGTTGTATTGTAATAATAGAGATCGATGATCAATAGTCAAAGATTATATTTAGTGCAATAATATTGTCTTAGGGTTTATTACATAAGTTTTTTTAACACCTGATCCATGTTTGGCAATAAACATTAAAATAAAAACAAACCGCTTAAAATTATTTGTTTTCGTTTGGATTGAAACTCAAAATTACCAGTTCTGCCAAATATACTTAAGTGACCCACACACAAGGATGACAAAGCAATCTGAGAGCAAATAATCAATGTATTATGTGTTTAAAACAGAAAGATTACGAATCCTGCTACATGAAAAATAATAAACAAAGGATAAGTGAATATGAACGACTGTCCTGACTGTGTAAGAAAACACATAAGGACTAGAAGATCTCGCCACAGTCCTAGAAAACATACGAAGTACCGAGCTGTCTCCGAGAGAAGGCGGTACAGCCCTGTAGGGTGTGAGTCGTGCAGTAGAGAAGAGCTACGACCTCGCAAACCGTTTTGTTCGCCCTGCGATCCTTGTAGGGACAGGTGCTGCATTGCACCAGAGCCAGGGCTATTGAACACAATACGCAACAGCATCCAACGGTTATTCAGCGGAAGAAGGCCAAACCAACTTTATTTGTACTCCATGAGCCAACTCAGGTGTATTGAACAACTGTTGGACAGTCTGGAGGAGGAAACATGCTGTGTCGAGGGGGTGATCAAACAATCCATAGAGTGTGACTGTGGCACCAACTGTGAACAGCTCAGATGTTCCTTGAACAACATCTCAGAACGACTAGAGAGTGTTAAGTTTGACCTGATGTGTGCCAAGGATTGTTACGACCCTTGCAGAGACAGGTGCGAGTTTGAGTTTATTTGTGGCTTGATGGAGCGAGTTTATACTCTGGAGAGACTTCTGCAGGAACTTTATTTTCAACTCGAATGTCTAAGAACTCCTTACTACAGGAAGCGTTGTTGCGATTCCAAACCGTGCGAGAGGTATTACTGCGGTCCTAAAACCTGTGATCGGTCTGGGTGTTGCAGTCCTAAACCTTGTGATAGGACTGGATGCTGCAGTCTTAAACCTTGTGATAGGACTGGCTGCTGCAGTCCTAAAACTAGCGATAGGTCTTCCTGCTGCAAAAAATGTGACACGGGATGTAGAGTTTCTTGTTTTGAGAAACCCAAACGCTGCTCACCCAATCTGGATAACCTTGGTGATGTTTGTCAGAAGGGTCTCTGTCGTAAAAACTCAGTAATACCAGTCGGTGTAATGCTTGTAAAGCTATGACTGCTGAATGCTGTAGGGTTAATAATAATCTTAAATTCGTACAAATGTTTTGTTTTAATTATTGGCATTGATATTACCATCCTAGGTTATATTTTACATCATAGAAGAAAGAATCAGAGTAGGTACTTTTTACGGTACTGTTTAAGTGACAGTGTTTGGCGCTAGTTGTCAAGTTTACTTAACTTGTTCTAAGTTTATAAGCTGATAAGTTTAGTTCAGATATTTAAATAACAATTTTTTCCCATTTATTGGTTAGAGGGTGATGGCTTCTTTTAACCTTCGTTATATAGTTTACGCCTCTGACCTGTGCGTATAAAACATAGCAAGGGGTAAGCTGGAACACCACAAGAATGAACATTAGTGGTGGCAGCAGGACGTGAACCTTCAAAATCACTGTCTTGCATTCATAGTCTGCAACACTTATCATTACCAACTGAGTCACTGACTAACATTCAACTCATGAACATACATTTGATCTACATGAAGTAAGTAGGTGAAAAAGGCACAATTTAAAATGAAATAACTTTATTATATTAAAAAGTTGTTATTCTTCTGGGAGGAATACCATCTGAATAACGGGTATGCTACAAGGCTAAGTATGTACATTTCTTGTACTGATTGTGTAATAAGATGGTTGAGCATTTCAATCTCATTCTCAACCACACAATGTATCAATTAACAGTCTTTTTTGTTTCCAAGACCTACTCTGATTGGATCATTTAACAGATTAGTTTGCGTAGTAAACTATAATAATGATACAGTATAGTTAAAAAATATTTTTACTTCAGGTATAAACCAAAGTTGTACATAGGTTGTTCCCAGAAATGCAAGTAGCCTAACAAATATGATAGTCCCAGAATTGATGAAAATCAATAGGGTAACATTTTAACAAAAAAACTTTCCGTCAACACATAAATGTTCCTGTAAAAATCAGCGGCAAGGATGACCACTTAAAACATTCACTTATATTATAAAAACTATACTAATATGGTATATACAGTTCAAGATGGCTGACTAGAATGATTCAACAGATTTTGAAAATCATTAAGAAAGAGAGCAATGTAAATGGAAGGAATGGATAGGTTGAGTAAATTAACCACTAACAATATAAGGTAAAGAGTTTGTGAAAAAGCTTAATAGCATATTTAAACAGAAGTTCCCCAGGAAGCTGGCTGAAATCTACAATTTTGATAAAAAGTAAACTTAAAGAAAGGTTAATAGCATACTTTGGCAAGGGCTATAGTAAACACTAGGTCTAGGTAATAAATGGAATTTTCATAAATTAAAGTTCATTAGAAAATATTTAGCTTTGCTCCACAAAGCGGCGAAACCTTACAGGTTTTAGATGTAGAGAGATTCATATATGACAACCCCAAAGAGATAAATATATATATATAATTGAAAATATAACAACTAAATTATTTAAAACCACTGTGCTCCTTTTATACTTAAAACATGAATTCTTAAATGTTAAGTCTATCATCTTCATTCTTCTCCTTAGCTCAAGATTTCAGCGGCATCACATAAACTAACCAGAGAGATATTGAGTTGATGTTTTTGATGTTTTTTGCTTTCATTATCAGCCCAAACACTTTAATCTTTATTCAAACGCTGAAAAGGCCATTCACGGTAATGGCAAAATATCTATGAAAGTTCACATGACAATATTAATTTCATGTGGCAATATTCATATGACAATTAACGTTATTACCATGAATGAAAACTGAAAACTCATGAATATTTTGATAACACTGGCTATAAAAGTATGTAAATAAATTGTAGTTTTACAATAAATGCAACAACTTTATCTGTATAAAAGCATAATATTTTTTTCTAGTTTCAAATAATTTTAAATTTATATAGCACCACATTCCTATATTGCAAGTTGACACTAATAATCAATAAAATAAAAATGTATTGGATTACACTATTAACTTATATATTTGTTCACCAAGCTCTTAAACAAAAATGCAAATTATTAATTATTTCATGATAGTTATAACACCTAGGACTGTTGAAAAAACAAAAAAAACAAATGATGGGCTGAAAAAATACTGCAATACTTGATAAATACACATAACAAAAGATTTGTTCTACAATACATAAAGTGGTGGGTTTCTCGTTCACACATGCAGTGCACATTTTAATTTTACATCATGTTCTATCTTATTACTTTTCAGTATTTAATACCTATGACTGTAGTAATAATAAAAGCTTACAAGCTAGTATATAACAATACAAACTGTACAATACAGTAATATGTACACATATGAAACAAGCATTGTACAAACATTGACAATGAACATGAAATTGAACACTAAACAATAAAACATTGCAAACAATAGTTTCTTTTTGTAACAATTTAACAATAAAATAAAACACAATCATGATAAATTAAAATGTTAATACAACTTTATATTAGTTAGCAGTAAAAGAAATTTAACTTTTGATTAGGGCCTTGATGATAATGGTTAAATATTTCATTACGATGTTGATGATATAATACTACGAGTTTAACCGGAATATGATTTTAAAGGCTTTGACAACATTTTACTTAACAATTCACAGCCTAATTAGAAAGAGTAGTTCATTAGTATAACATGTAACGAACAAAATTTTATTTTTAAAATCTATAAAATAATAAATAAAATAAAAACTGGAATAACAATTACCTTAAATATTTCAAGGGTAGGCTGCCTCTAAAATGATTGTTTTAAATTGTGTTTAGCTTTTTTAGTCTAGTGTTAAAAAAAGACATAAAAACTAAAACTAAAAATTATTACACATAGGATAGGTACTAAATTTGTTCTCCTTATTTTTTGTGTGACAAAAACACTTCAAGATACAACATTATAAAATCTACTAATATTTGAATAAAATCATAACAAATACTCTACGTGATAGTAAATGAATCGATTGCCAGATAAGATCTATAAACATATTCATATTACTTATTGAAATAATACCCTTTGAATTCATGTAAACTTTTATAAAAAATCCGAACACAAAAATATTTAAACGCGTAGGGATCGTGCGACGTCACCGATGACCGTAACTACATGTACGTTGGATGACCGAAGGCTCTCATTTGGCGTTGAAGTCGGGCCAGTAGTTGATGTAATATCTGTGAGTTGTTCCCTCGAACAATCTGTCAAGCCAGTTTGGAAGCCCATCGAGTAGATTCTCTTGGAAAATCACATGGCTATACTTGTCACCGTTCTGGAAAAAACAAAATAGCTTATTCCCTATATGGGAAATTCGCTAAAACTATTTAATGTGGAATGAGGGTAATCATTAGTTCATATATATAGAGAGCTTATTCCATAAAACAACCAATTGGGAGCAAATTTTAAAAAAGACAATAAGGCTTACAAATTTTAGATCATTATAATAGATACATAAATTTTGTTTTATTGAAAGCTATACCACGGGTTTCAGAGTCAGCAGGTGCGTGACAGATTTTTTCAGGCCCCCCCTGCAACCTTATTTTTTGAGCCCCCTCTCATGAGTTATTTTTAGACCACTGATACAACATAATCAGTCATGGTTTGATGATACAGTTACATCACTACATCATTTAACGTTTAGAGTTTAGAATTATTTTAGGCAGACTTATTAGAATATTAATTAGTTTAAAGTATTTATGCAGACACAGATTGACTAAAAAATATGACTAACAACAATTGTTCTATTGCAGTTGAGTTGTATTTCAAGAAGCGGACCTTTTCCAATAATTCACTACCACTATATAATTTATAAAGAAACACAATTTCCGTTTTAGGCTATGTCTCAATTCTATTCTAACCTATCCTAACCTAGCCCAACATAACCTTAAACAGAATTTGTAGATAGCTATAACATTATTTCAACCTGAGAAATAGTGGGAGTCAATAAACAGAAAAGGTATTAAGAGACTATTCTGACCTTGAAAAGTATCCTAAGGAAACTGGATGTTTTTATTCAGTTTTATCAAAATTTACAATCGAATTTGCATTACCGACCTGAGTTATAGGCTTGAGTCCCTGCTCCACATCTGAGAGGTCACTCTCCTCTGAGTCTGTCTCATCAAAGCCCATGAAGGAGCCAGCCGGGTCCACAGACAGCTGTTTGGTCATCCTCTTCATCCGCTGGAAAATTATTTAATGACCAATATTCAGTTACGAGAAGAAGCATCTGTTGTGTATACACTGTGGGTGTTTTGAGACTAAAACCAATCTACATTAACAGTTTGTTTGGTATAATGAAGGAGAGTTCAACGTGAAGGTGTTGGAAAACAATAATAATATTAGCCAAATTTATAGAATCCAGCTGTACAATAGTCTGTCCAGTAATATATCAGTCTGAGAGTTTTTTTTAGTTTTGTATACCGTATCAATTTTAATGACACTGTGTGTCTGTACTGTCCAGTCCAGTGTTTTTAGTTGTATTTCAACTTAACATTATTTGATTTTTATCTTAAGGGAAATAGCATTCCAGGAAGAAAAAAGTTCAGAAAAAGTCCTTGAACAATCCCAGGGATATGAGGGAAATATTGTGTGTATTGTGTTCACTGGATAATGGTCTATTAAAGACCTTTTCTCAGGTAAGCTAGCTGCTCTTCTCCTTTTTTTCTAAAAATAAAATTCTAACCTAGACCCTTTTTTGACAAAAATTTGATTTTTTTAAAATTCTTGTCTTATGTAGATTATTTTCAAATTACAGTAGAACTCCGATTATCCGAATCAATAGGGACCAGACCCCATTTGGATAATCAAATATTCGGATAATCGGAGTTTTACCGGAATTCCGGGAATTTTAAAGATAAATCCTAATTTTCGGTACTAAGTGAACTTTTAATTAATAATAAATTAAATGAGAACATTTTTACAGTTTACAATGCTCTTAGTACAAGTGTTCTATACATGTTATTAGGTTAATAGTTTAGCCAGTGTGTAATTTTGGTGTTCCATCAAAGTCCAAAATTACACACTGGCTAAATGTGTTTAATAACAATTCTTTGATATTTTGCAAAACTTATTACTGTAGCTTTACGTTTTTTAAATTGTTGAAGTAAGCGATTCGGATAATCGGAGATTCGGTTAATTGGAGTTCGGATAATTGGAGTTCTACTGTACAATAATCTATATAGGCAAGCATGTTTCTTGAAAACCTTTTTCCTCAGCTCGTGTGCTTCGCAAGGAAAATCTATGCACACTGATAGAAAGATATTTTTCTGTAGATGTGCAGAATCCCTTTAAATATTAAAATGGGCTCAAAAATAATAAAAATGTGGTTAAAATAAATTTAAAAAAATACATTGGCCTTATGGGTTTCCATTCTGGTGGCGAAACAACAACGAAATATAAACTGAAAATCAAAACAAATGGAAGAAATTCCAATCACATGTTTTATTTACAGCGTGGGGTGAAAATAGAGAAGTCTGTACATTACATATTTTTGGTTGAGTTTTCAACCAAAAGACAACCTCTAGTGTACTTTAATAAAAATTTGATTCGTAAACTTTATAAATACTGTACCCTGTTAATAAAGGCTTATGGTAGTGATGTTGTTAGGATCCTGGCACCTGCCACTACTTTTTATTTACAGTTAACTGTTTACTGTCAGGACGCCCAAATTTACGGTTAAACAAGGCCGCCAACCTTATTTAAATAATTAACCTTATAACTGTATATTGTATGTACTAGGTTTAGACAAGAAGCTAGACTCACCCGGGTGCCCTTTGTACCCAGACACTCGGGGTGTTTGGCGTGGTACATGCAGAAGTACTTGCGGAGGCCATTGAGAGACAGCACAGTGCCAATGCAGTTACGAGGGTTGACGTTTAGTGGCTGATCACGAGACTCAGCAAGGCTCAGCTGTAGAAGCTCTTTGTACCTGCAATCAAGCATTAACATGTTAACTGCCATATGAGCCTGAGAAAATTATAGTCCAGGGGCATGTACAACAGAAGAACACAAAACAACACCAATATTTCGTCCTGATCCTACTCTCTAAAGAGGTCCTACATCATGAAAAAAATTTGAGATACGTGTTGTGTTCATTTATTGTGTATCTATTGGCCCTGGACTCTAATTCAGGAGTACACGAGAGAGAGAAGCTAGATGAACTCTATTCCATTAAAAAATCTTGACTAGCCAAAATGGCTTTCCCTTAAATTATAAATTGAGTGTAGAGGGTTACAGGTCATTATTTAGTCTTATTGCACTCAGAAGCAACTAGAGTTGCTAGAGTTGCTAGAGTTCTGCAGTTGCCTTCTGAGTTGTTGTGAAATAATGATAGTATGAGACAGTAGATCACGGCTAGATTAGTAAGAAGCACTGAGAAGACTAAGATATAGATTAAATTAATTAGTTGAGGGTGTGAAGACAGACAGAAATTGACATTATGGAAAACTTAGGTGAAAGTTTAAGAGAACCGCCGTTGTCTTCTAATTTATGGCTTTATGGTTAGACATGCTAATGGCTGCTAGGGGTTGGTTTTGAACCAACCTGTACAGCCATTTGCCCCTAGTGTCATATTAGTGTATATCCTGCCCTTGTGTTAGGATGCATTTTAACCTGCAAAATGTCCCACTTTCCAGGGTTTACAGGGAGACAAGACTAAGATTTCTGACAGATGGCGCTGATGTTGATGGCTCTTATTTGAAGACAGAACAACCTTTAGAAGTCTGCTTCTGCATGCCCACTCCACAGGTGATTTGGGAGGAAATATGGGGGTAGATTAGGCTAAAGTAGGCCATAGGCTACATGAAACATTTTCTGAACACAGTTTTGATACAACTCTGAAAGTAAAACAAACTGAAGATGTCTTTGTGCAGGCATTGTCAAGTTGATTACTACAAATGAGCCCCTGGCCCTCAGTGATGCCAAGGAATTTGGAAACATTTCATGGTTTAAAAAGTGAATCATCAATCAGTACTGTAACGGTCTCACTTGGTTCACCACAGATACAAACCAAATGAAATTGACAGAAATAAAAATTAACGCAAGAATTTAAATCTACAATCGTTTTGATTTCCCAACTACATGACCCTACTAAGGCAAGGGCTGCAAACAGGCTACTCCTTTTAGTTACACTTCTATGGATGTCTATGGACGCAAACCATGATAAGCATTTTGTTGACAATAAATTCTACCAGGCCAGTGAACAAACTAACCATGAGAGTCCTCTGTCAAGGTTTAGATGAGCGAACATGAGTGTCTTGTTTTTGCGGTACGGCCAGACGTGTTTGTGGAACTTGGGCAGCAGGACAGGTCTGCTCTGGGTGTCTAACAGCAGAAGTATTGTCCGACAACCCGGCCGCAGCAGTCGAACCAGTCCGTTGTACGTCTCCGCGCGCAGCTCGTGTAGCTTCAGCGACGGTTGGTACACTGCGGTCTTGCCCTTGCGCGGTTTACTTGCAAACTCCTCTTGCACCCGTGTCTCTTCCAGTTTCCTACACACCATCAACAAGACGTTCAGTAAAGTATCTTTGAGGTTCTTAAATGAAAGGAAAATATAAATACATACAACTTAACAATATACAACCTCTGAAACATTAACAACAGTTATCTCTTACAGTTTACAACCTTTCACTCTTTTGGGTGTTTAAAACATTTTATTACAAACAAAACAATGAATGGACCACTTACATTAGGTAAGCCATCAAGTAGCCGGCTGCCAGTATGACCACGACAGTGGCAATGACAGATACCACAGGAAGGATGTGTTCCTTGTCCAGGTTGTCTCGCAAGATGTCGTAGGTGATGAGCAGTTTGGTGATGACTTTAGAGATGATCCCTTGTGCCTGCTCATCAATCAGCTCTCCTATCACAGCCTCGTGGGTCATAGCCTGGGACAAAAAAAATATCTTTATCCTACAAAGAAAATTTACACTGTAGTTCAAACAAACATATGGTTGAAATATCCTGTCACAAGGTGGTTCAGTGTAAGTTAGAGCAAGATTTTTGTAGTGTCAGTTTGTATGCATTGGTACTCAACTGGTTTTAAGAAATTACATTGTAGGTAAAGGCAAACTTTTGTGATCAAGTCCAGGCACTGTAATAGCCTGAAGGAAATTAGTTATTAAACTTCAAATTTCTCAAGTCATTAAGGACAAACACTAAACAGTAAGGCCAATGAATTTAATTAATCAATTCATCAGTAAAGTAGTTTTGCGTCAGTCAGATTTACATCACAGCTTAAGTAGTTCCTAGCTTATTGTAATCACACCACTAACAATGAAGCATTCCCAGTTTTTATTCCTTTCTCAAATTCTCTTAATGATCTAGACAAAGACAATTCAAGCTAATTTTACTTTTTATTTCACTAGATATATTAAATTTCCCTAGGTTCCAACAGACTTGAAGAGATTGTTGGAGTCCAGGTCTTACCATGAGATCTACAGAAACAGATTGCCCCCTATATGGGAAATTCGCTAACAAATTTGAAAGCATGTTTGGCTCAATAATATTGTTAGATTTTTATGACCTGTACAATTTTAATTTATTATTGCATACCTTATGTAAACTTATATCATTTTTTCAATTGAATTCAAACAAATTTTATTGACAAAGTACACCTGCAATTGTAGATAAACTTTCATGATCCTGTAATATAAGTTTTTAGGGTTGTGTGTCCATTCATACTTCCATTTTTTCTAACGTTTGGCTAAAAGATTCAACTACTGAAGCTACACAAGAGGTTATCATACCTGAGTAGCCCGAAGGAGCCTCTCGATGGCTGGCTCCAGATGCTGCTTGGTCGTGTTGTAACTCGCCCAGTCTTGTCCCTCGGGTAGCCACTCGTACCTGATGTGTTTCTGGTCTCTACGCCACAAAATGGCAACCAACGGCTGACCTGGGCTACTCTCACCTGCCACACAACACAGTCTAAATATTTCTTAACATGAATTGTATTGCAAAAAACACAAATCAAGCGTTTAGGTTGAGACGAGCATATCATAGTTTGGACCGATGGTGACAAGTTTTAGTTTGTTATCTTTTCAAATACCAAATGCTAATGAAGAGGCTAAAAAACTGTGCCAGAGATCTAGTATGCTTGTTGATGTAATGAACCCAAGGTAATTGGTGAAACAAGAATGACACTTCATTTCTAAAAGTCGTGAGGACAAATATGGCAAACATTAATAAGTATACAGTTTTGGACCAAGTCCCAATTATTCATTGAAGTACAAGGTGGAAAACCCCTAAATGTGGAAGTGGTCAAGTAGGTGTCCAAATAAATAACAGAAGTACCACAAGTTAAAAAAAAATATTTTTTTTGTGTCATAGAGATCAAAGACTTCTAGACCAGGTTTTAAGCTGCGGTCACATTTTAAGCATTTTGCTATACACAACTTAAAAAATGCTACATTGTTTTGCAGGCCATAGCAAATTTTCTACAAATAAAATTAAAGATGTAATGTTCAAACATGTAATTGTAACTGGCAAACTTTTTAAAATACTTAAAGATTAATATTTATGCTTTAGTGGTCTGAGAGTTTGTAGCATTTTTGCTAAAACAGGTTTCATCCCAGCCTATACCCTGTTCTAGACTATCTCTTTGTTTTTTTTATCCAGTTAGATGCATCTCGTCCATGAACTTAGTCATATATCCACAGTCCAAACACAAACCTATGAAATTCAGGTAGGCCTACAACTCTATGTGAACAAACCTGAAAGTAAAGCGTGTACAAACTCCACTTGGCGCTCCTGGAAAATGTACATAAAGCATACTTTGTCTGCGTAGTTGGCTTCCTGCGCAAACCTACGCAGACTCTGTCGGTGGGGCTCGTGGTGGGGGGTGTTCTGCGAGACAAGCAGCACGCACAGCCGCTTACGAGGAGACGCAGGACACAACGCGTCCAACAATTCCTACAAGTGTCATATTTAAGTTATTAAAAATTGTTATCAGAGTCTAGATTTTAATATAGTTATGAAGATAAATACTACTAAAAACCTTATATCCAAACACATACTTTCGTCTAAACCTAAATCTTAAAAAGTCTCTTGAGCAACTTTTGATCTAAATAATATCTATGTGAACAAGTACTCCTAAAGTTGCAAATTAAAATGCAATGCAGTTTAAAGTATTTCAAATAAATTAGTAAGTCAGTATTGAAACTACTTGCAGTTTCATCTCAAGCTATACAGACATTTCATACTAATTTTGGCTTTTACTGTGTGACCAACTTATCACTCAAAACTTGATTTTTTAGGCTTCATGTATACTAATAAATAACTATAATCTATTTTTAATAACTGTAGGGCTTTTTGGAAAGGAGAATCCTACTTATAGAGACAATTCTCGCCAAACACCTATTTATTTTCCCTGGACCGGTAGAGCTACAGTTCAAGGTGAGATATAAATTGCTGGGTAACAGAACCAACCAATAGAGATTTATTTATGGAGATAGGTGGATTTTTAAACCAAACCTCCACAAAAAACGAACTACTCCTAAATCCCACTAAGCCACCTGCACCATATAAACTATATTACCATAAAATAATGTGTTGAAATAGAAAACAAACTTTTAACCTGAAAAGTAAGGTTTCACACTAACACTAAAAACTAAGTTTTCTAGGGACAATGTCGTCAAAGATAGAAACTTTGTAAATAAGTGCTGACATTTCGATTCGACCTTGTAGCAGCCATCCTGAAAGCAGTTCACCATATAAATGTTCAGTATTAGCGCTTGCCATTTGTTTTGGAACTGCTTTGAAGGTGGTTCGAGAACTGTCTGCAATGAGGTTGAAATTTCAGCACATAGTTTCTGTCTGTGACACAAATACCTAGATAGTAGTGTTAGTAAACTAACTTTGTTAAGATACCAGTTAGGTTGTACCTGAGAGGAGAGCCTCGGCAGTAACAGGTACTTGTTAGAGTTGATGACGTCCTGTAGCGTCTGTACTGGTATGTTGATCATGGACACACTAGCCACAGGTCGCTCCGTGTTCTCATTGAACAATAACAGTGAGTCCATGTCAGGAGGTACTTGCAGTCTGGCTCTGACTGCCTCGCCCTTGGCTGTGTTGGTCTGTACAAACCTACAACACCACACATCAAACTACGTAAGACTTGACAGAAGAGGTAGAAGGGATAGGAAAGGTAGGAAAACACAGTGTGTTCAGTCACTAAGGATAAAGTTTAGGTTAGTAGTGTGTTGAGGCAAAAAAATATATTAATCTCGAGAAAACATTTGAGATTTGAGTGTCTGGATTTTTGTAATGTCCCACCTTCACATTCTAGGACGCTAGTTATAGCCTAGAACGGTTTTACACATTATTTCAGGCTAGTCCTAGAGGATTGTGGCATTATCACATGGATAAAATTCATTTGTAATTGGCAGGATTTGAACCTGGGACCACAGGCACTGAAGCCCGCGACCACCTAGACCAGCTCGCACTCCAAATTTTCCCCCCTGATTGTCTGGATTGGAGAACTCGTATTTAGTAACATGCAGTCGTATCAAGTCAGATTTCTATTAGAGAAGTAATCTTTTTAATACATTTTCTCAGTAAGAAGCACAATATGATACAACAAAGGAAGAATAATGACAGATACGTACGCAAATGCAACTCTGTCCCGATAAGCGAAGGCGGTCAGTAGGTAGCGCAGTCTCACCGGGCCCTGTCGCTGAAACACCAGTGCACGCACCTTGTTGTCCACCCAGCCTGCGAGAAACTCATCCAAACCATCATCCGTCACACTCTGAATCAACCGGTACGGCAACTTGTTGCGCACAAACTCTGTGTGACAACATCATACGTTGTTTAATTGGAGATTGTGACTGTTAATGTATACAAACTTACTAGTCAAAATTAGATGCATAGCTTTGTTACTGGAAATATGTCATATAGTTATATCACAAAAGGGTAGTTCAAACTACTTTTATCCTATCAGACTGAAAAAAGATCAGTTAAGTTGCATTATTAAAAAAAAACATTGTGAGCTGTTTTTTTAAATAGAGGCAACAAAATCTGGATTAGTAAGATAAAATATATAAACTTGCGGGATAGGCTGCTCAGTCTATTCTACTAAACCAAATTTATTTTATAACCCGAATAACAGTAGCACTTCACTTACCTACAACTTTTTGCACACTGAATAAACTTTCCTTGTAGACAATGGGTTTGCCGTCGACAAGTATGATGAGACAAGGCAGAGAGTGGATACTGACTCTACGAGCGAGCATCGGCTCATTCTCAGCGTGTGCTGTAGCAATGCCGACCTGATGTGGCACAACATCTATCAGTTAACTGATAACATTGCAGCTCAATTCAAGACAATTACAAGGGGACTAACTATCTCAGCAATAATCCTAGAGAAAAAAAGAGTGCAGTTTAACAATAGGATCAAATTTTTCTAATATTGGCTACAAAGGAGCATAAATTCATTAGTTTGGTTATTAATTTGCTTATAAACTCACTGTGCCAGACCAAAAAAAAAGGAAATTACTGTGGCAGGTGTGAGTTTATAACAAAAATTTGTTTCAGAAACTAAACAATGTTTAAATATCAGAGACTTCCAATGGCGACAAGCTCATTACGAGGAGTTTGTTAGTGGCAGAAACTTAAAGTGGTTTAACACAAGTTAGATATATTTAAAACACACTGTTATAGATTTACATTCAATCCCAAATATCCTACACTCAATTATTTTGTCAGAAATTGGCTGTGATTGGTTCAAGCTTTTGTATGATGAAGCTTCTATTGAAGGACTAAGTTTTGAAGTCAGAGACTCACTCCGATTGGCTCCAGTTCCTCCATGATTCGTCGCCAGACAGGCTCCACTTGTAGACAGGCAAAGCACCAGTCCGAGTAGAAGAGGATCAGATACGGGGTGCGGTAACTTTTGGGTACCAACATATTTTCAAAAGCCCTGCAACAAATCAATTATTTTGTTTTTATTCAAAATTACATTAACTTCTCTCTTTTGATGATTCACTGCCAGCACATTTATGCTGAGGGCTTAGAATATGAACATAAGGTGCTTGTAACAAAATGAAGAAGCATAATTGAGTTCTATCTTAAGACAAGTTTGAATGAGACATGGTATAAATGTTAACTCTTAAAAGCATATAAAAAATATTGAAAAGGCATTTCTTTTGGCATTTTGTTTTTTATTGATAAAACATTGGATAGTCATAGTCATAGTCATAGTCAAGAATCTTTATTCATAGTATACATAGTTGTACATGAATAGTGTCAAATAAGTTAAAACTAATGCTTAAAACTATGATATCGCCATTTTCAATTCGTCTAACGAGTACAAGGACAGGTCCATTAAATATTCCTTGAGACGTTTTTTAAAAATGTTGGGTTTTTGTTCTGTTTTAATTTTCAAAGGAATAAATTTTAAAAATTCATGTCCTGCATTGACAGTCTTTTTTTTGAAGAGCTCTAATTTGTGTTTTCCAATTACAAAATTATTTTTGTTACGTGTATTGTAGTTATGATTATTTTCTTTAATTGGTGGAATAAAATTTTTGTTTTTGACAAACATAATACATTCAAGAACATACAAACCATAAACAGTGAGGATCCTTAGACGTTTAAAGTGTTCTTTTGCAGAATCATCTTTGTTCATTTTTAACATAGCTCTGATTGATTGCTTCTGTATTGTCAAAATTTGGTCTAGATTCGAATTTGAGGTGGCTCCATATACACATATGCCATAAGATATATGGGATTGAATATGGGAAAAATAGATCATTTTTAAAACATCAACACTGCATAGTTTTGACATTTTTCTAATCGCACAAAGACCAGAATTTATTTTATTGATAACAAGTTTACAATGTTTGTCCCAAGACAAGTTGCTGTCCAATGTCAGGCCAAGGAACCTTACGGCTTCTGTTATTTCAATTGGTTGGTTATTTACTTCAATATTAGGATTGGAATTGTTTTTGTTTTGTTTTGTTTTGAATGTGACACATTTGGTTTTACTTTCATTTAATTTTAAATTGTGATTATTAAAAAAATCCTCAATACAAGCTATTTCTATTGTGGATAGCAACTCAACATCTTCTGCAGTTTTCCCAGATACTTTAAGATTAGAGTCATCTGCATAAAGATACAAACCTGTACATGGGGCAAAATTTAGACACTTTTTAAAATTTGTTAAGTAACAAATGAAAAGTAAAGGTCCCAGGACCGATCCTTGAGGTACACCAGATCTTATTGTGCCCATATTTGAACTGTATTTTGATTTATAATTGTCTTTAGTGATGTGAGTTATTTCAACAAACTGTTGTCTATTTGATAAGTATGATTTAAACCAATTAAGAGAGTTATACCTGATTCCAATTTTTTCTAATTTAAAAAGTAATAGTTCATGATTAACGCTATCAAACGCCTTCGATAAATCCATGAACACTCCCAACACGTGCTCACCCTTGTCAATTGACTCAATGACTGATTCGACAAAGCTAACAATCGCTGTAATAGTGGACTTATCTTTCCTAAATCCGTGTTGGATGTCTTCTAGGATTGAATTTTCTTCTAAGAACACAGTTAATTGATTAGAAACAATTTTCTCGTAAATTTTAGATATTGGTGATAGCAAAGATATTGGTCGGTAATTACCAATATCTGTAGCCTCATTAGATTTAGGAATTGGTATTACTTTAGCAATTTTTAAATTGTCTGAAAAAATGCCACTAACAAAAGAGGAGTTGATTAAATGAGAGAGAATTTTACTTAGCTGCTTTCTTACAAATTTTATGACTGACATTGGAATCCCGTCATGGCTGGAGGATAGTTTGTTTTTAAAAGAATTTATAATTTTTTCAATTTCATCTTTATTAGTGTCACGAAAATAGAATTGATTTTGAATATTGACACAGGTTGAGCCGGCTGGAGATAGTTGTTCACGGATATCTCTGGAAGTCTGTTGGCTACAAGAAGGGGACACATTAATAGGCCTGTCCTTCACAACATTAATAAAATAAGAATTGAATAAATTACTAATTTCGAGAGGATCTGTAACTCTTTTGTTTCCATTTACTAAAAATATATTATTTGTGCAATTAACTGAACTTTTCCTGGTTTCTGAGTTTATAATATCCCAAGTAGTTTTAATTACATTTTTGGATTTCTTAATCTTGCTATCATAAAACTGTTTTTTTACTTCAATCAGTTTTTTTCTATATATTTTATTTCTTAATCTACCTAATTTTGCCAAATTTAAGTCATTATTGAAACGAGCTTGTTTATTTATTTGAATAATCTGTTTTTTCTCTTCCCTTAAACTGTCATTTATCCAAGATTTTCTTGTAGTTCTTAATTTCATTGTTCTTTTTGGGAATGATAAGTCAAAGTAGTATAAGAGCAGTTTGAAAAAAACATCAAATTTTTTATCAACTGGAGAAAAAATAACTGTCTGCCAATTTTCAGCTTCTAGGTAATTTTTAAACAATTCTTTATTTTCTTTACTAAATTGTCTCCTATTGTCAATTATATAATCAGTATTACATTGTTTAGTTTGAGAATTTAAAATTTGGAGAATTTGACCGTCATGATCTGACAGTAATGTAATTACACCGCTTGCTTTAATTTCATCTTTTTTAAAGTTAGTAAGAAAGTTATCTATTGCTGAAGTTGATCCATTAAAAACTCGGGTTGGAAAATTTACAGCACAACTCATATGAAAACTCCTTAAAAATGTTTTTCAACCTGCAAAGTGTGTTTTTTGCTCGATTGTTGTCGGTTTCCAGTACATCGATATTAATATCACCTGCAACTATTAAATGTGTATTTTTCAAATTTTTGGAAACAAAAGAGTTGATAATACTCTCAAGCCTATCCAAAAACACATTAACATTGCTCTTTGGGGATCTGTATACACCTAACAAGACAAATTTAACCTTATCAATTACAAACATTGTAGCACAACACTCAAACTGCTTCTCTTCCAGAATACATTCCTGATTGGGAATAGCCACCCGTGACCAAATTAAGTGCTCTTTACTTAAAATTACAACTCCTCCCCAATTAGAACTTGTACGGCAAAAATAAGAGTTGAGCTTGTAATGTTCAATGTTCAAACGATCAATTTCCTGCAATTTTATTTTGTGTTCTGTTAAAACTATTATATCGGGGTTTATTTCATCAAGAACAATTTGTAAGGACTCTAATTTTGAGGCTAAGCCTTGGATATTTTGATGGAAAATTGTTGTATCTTTGAATTTTAAAGTTTTAGCTATGTGACCAGAGTTACCTTTGGAGAGCAGTTTAAAGAGGGCACGGGTAGACTAATCCCATCATTACTACTGTGGGACTCACTAGAATGACCATTAGCACTTTCACTGGACACTACAGAAGCTGATGTTGGTGAAGCTGATGTAGGACTTCTCCCTCCCTCAATGGTGACTACAGTTGACTGGGTTGGAGTTGCCTGGGGGCTGGACAATTTCTCAGTTGTCGACTCCGGGGATGCAGCAGGTTGGGCTCTAACCACTGTGGTTGAGTCAGGTGGCTGTGTTTTTGAAGCAGGTAGATTATGACAAGTTGGTATTGTCAGGGACTCATCACCAATATTTTCTTGTGCCGCTATGCTCACTAGTTGTGTCTTCATGTGCAATAAATTTGTCATTTTGTGGAGAAATTCTGTATGAGACAAGCCGTTTCTCAATTCTCTGTGGGAGTCTTGATGATAGGACACAATAGTAACATCTGCCTCGGTTTCACGTTGAAAGTCGACAATGTTTGAAGTAAATTTTTCCAGTTTAATTTTATCTCGCACACATCCGATTGGTGAGCATATTAGATGGTGAAACCCTCTTCTTTTGAAGTCGTTTTTCAGTTGGTGAAAGGCCGTGTCATAGTCCCAGTTGTTAGGTTTGCCATAATAACGGTTCTTTGTTATAAGGCTGTAGATTGAGGCCCCTTGGGTGTTTTGTAGGGCTAAGTGGTGACTAAGGCATTGGGAGGGACTTGGTTTGCCAAAATAGTCTTTGAAGACAACTGCCACACCAGCAGACATATGGCGGGAATCACAGAAGTCAGCCGAGATGCTATGTGCAAAAGCTACAGTCCGATCACTCCTATACTCTTCTATTATCTTTGACATGTGCCTGTCCGTTACATAGATTCTAGGTTTTTCAAGATGATTTTCTTGATCAATATTAGCCTGACAGTTCATTATTTTTTTAATTTTGTTAGTGATAAGGCGAACCAGTACGTTTTTTCCTGTGTTGTTTAAATGGAGGATAGCATAAAAACTTACAAAATGTTGTACATTCAGTGGTTTAAATCCTTTTTTCATTTCTAAACAGGTGATTGGTATTTAAGTTATCTTCATTTTATATGGTAGGTCTACTACTGACCAAACAATAATATTATTTATAGGGATTCATTTTCAGTTGCTAAACTAACGTTTAATAGAGAACATATTCTGATATAGGTTGTGTTGATGATAGGCCTATAGCAACATTTAATTTTGATTGGAATCTTCTAAGATAATATTTAGGGATATTTATTTGGGATACAGAATCACAAACTTACTTAAAAATCAAGTTGACTTGTGTACTGTACATTGAATCTTGGCAATAAAAATACCAATAGGCTAATCATTTAATTTCCAACATATTTTCTAGTGATGGAGAGTTTATGGAATGGTTTCCAAATAATTCTTAAAATCCCAAATAATCATTAAAACAGCAGATTACCTTGTAGTAATCGAGAGTTTATGGAAGAGTGTGATATCTCGGTCCGAGTACTGAAACCGAAAACCTGTTCCGGCAAAGAGATCGTCAACAGGGTCGTAGCGCCGGTATTCATGACGTGGTCGAGGCTCCTCCATCCGACCAAACGTGTCAAACTGCTTGCGACGTTCTGGGTCCGTGAGCAACTGTATAGCATTAAAAATTAGCTGTAAATGTGGCTCAAAAACTAAGTAATACTGTATGTATACAAATTAAAATTATGTCAGATTCTCTAATCATATAAAAACAGTAGAACTCCAATCATCCGAACTCCAATTCCGAAAATCCAATTATCCGAATCGCTTATTTCAACAATTTTAAAAACGTAAAGCTACAGTAATAAGTTTTGCAAATTATCAAAGAATTGTTATTAAACACATTTAGCCAATTTTGGACTTTGATGGAACACTATATTGACTTAATAACATGTATAGAACACTTGTACTGTGAGCATTGTAAACTGTAAAAATGTTCTGATTTAAATTATTATTAATTAAAAGTTCACTTAGTACCGAAAAATGAGGATTTTTCTTTAATATTCCCGGAATTCCGGTAAAACTCCGATTATCCGAATTTTTGATTATCCGAATGGGGTCTGGTCCCTATTGATTCGGATAATCGGAGTTCTACTGTAACTCCAAATTCTCCAAATGACTGTAAGTAGGTACGGTACATTAATAAAAACTGTAGCTGGAGTCACTAAATATTTTTAGTTGTAACTTACTGATATTCAAGTCAAGTGTGTTCAAGAATTAAATGATAACATAAAATATTTATTTTATAATATAGGCTACCTATTAGGTAAGTGCCCCTATCAAAGAAGCACCTGCTCGTTTTTGAAAGGGCTATTTTTTACATAAGTGGCATAAAAATGTGTAGAATAACTTAATTTGTTTATTTACCTCATAAGCCTGGGTTATTTCAACAAATTTGTCTTCAGCTGATGGATCGTCGTTTTTATCAGGATGCCTGCAAATAGAACAAATTTTAAAAATATCATATAGGCTATATGCAGTAGGCTATGATTTCAATTGTTCAAAATGTGTTTAATCTTTACAATTTATTTAGATTTGGGTTCAAAAATTCCACAGGTAAAGGCTATTGTAGAGAGTCAAAACCGAATCCAACCTGGTTTTACATGAAATTCCACCACTGTAGGTTTCTCAGAAAACACCTATGCTAAAAAAATTTTCAATTACTTTAAATTAATTTAAATTATTTGTCTGCTTAAGTAAACAAAATCTTTTCTTCATAAGAAGTATACATTGGGATTTTGATGGCCTGTGGGGCAAAGCCTGAGGACGTTTTTACAGAAATTGGTGAAAGGGAATTACACAAAAGAATAATTTTGACACATCGTTTGTAAAATACCGTCCATTATTAACGGAGGAGTAAACTTAGTGTTTTGTGAATCGCCTTCACGTATTATATATATAAGGATTTTATAGGAAAGATCAATAACAAAATATATTAAGTTATATCCTGAATAATATTGTAGCTTATTCCGGGTATTTTTAGACTTGATTTGTGAATTTAACTCTTTTTTTAGGATGTGCAAAAATGACTTGACTTGTACATTATCAATAGATGACAAAAAGGACTAAGTTTACTCAATTTACATTCAGATATATTGCTGCAACCAGGCACAGTTTAATAAATCTTCAAGAATCGACTTACCATTCTTTTGCTAATTGTTTATAAGCTTTCTTAATTTCAGGAACTGTGGACGATTTTGGAATCCCCAGGGTCTTGTAAGGATCGTCCAAACTATTACACAGATCTATCGAAAACCCTAAAGCAATTATTGAAAGCAGGCAATGAAAACTTTTTCGTTTCATTTCAAAGGAATATTATCACTTAAGGTATGAAAATAACACCATTAAATTAAATATTTAATCACTGTACGAAGACACACACGACTCCATATTGATTTTTCATTTGAAAAGAGGCTTTCTGCTAGACAGCTGATTTAAACTGCAATAATGCCTCTATGATATCATGTAGGTGTAGATACTTAAAAGAAGGTTTTACTATCTTATACATAAATACAGAAATGTAATTGGCACTTTTTTCAAGAATGTCCAAGAATAATTCATTCTTAAAGGCCAATTAATATGTCTAAGCATTGTAAAAGAATCCTAAAAATGTCTGTTCTGAAGAAATTGGTACCTTTATGTACCAATCAGTGGATAGAGATAAAATATTTTGTTGCTCTGCATCTAATTTTTCATTAGATAAAATACAATAAAATACGAAATTAGATTGCTTCCACATCTCAATTAGTAATAATAATCATTAGAAAATCAAGGATGCTTTGGTCGGGATTAGGCACTGCCGCCTTTAACTACAGGCCGCGGCCTGGTAGAATTGGCAACGGTGCAAGTGGTGTTGTCTAGTGCTAGGACTAGACGTCCCATAAAATAACATGGCAGGCAGGTGACACCAGCTCATTAATTCGCGTATTATTCATTGAAATTGAAATTTATGAACATAAATTTATTAAGAGATTGAAAATCAAATATATAGAATTGAAAACCAATACAATGTTTAAATTGAAAATCTTTTTTTGTACATTAAATTTGAGTCGATATTTTCATATCATAGCCCAGTAAACAAGCTTTTGTATTCTTAAATGACCATTAGCCACCTCCAAACAAAACAGCTGTTACAACCCGGCTACTTGCGATGTTGCCACTTCGAAGGCCGGGGACTGTAGTAGTTAAAGGTGGTCGTGAGTCACCACGGCCACCATTAACGGTTGGAAACGGAAAAAGGTCGTGGCCTGGGCGGCCTGGTAGATTTGGCCTTGGCAACGTCGCAAGTTCGCAAGTAGTGCTTTTTAGTCAATGGTGCTATTCAGCACTACTGACAAAGTTGCCACTTCAAACGCCGCGGCCTGTTGTTGAAGGTGGCCATGGGATAACACAAAGACCAAAACCAAGGTTTGAACATGGACTTCTTGCAAAATCGTAAAATAAGCCTTTAAAAGAATCTCGTACAAACCCCCTAAATATAAAAAAACAATGCATGCTGCAAATTAAACTATAAGAGGAGAGTATAATTAGTATTATTTTACTACTCAAAAGTGATAAAAAAATAACCAATCACTTAATCTGTATGGCTGCTACAAGCACTGCATGGCTTAAAGAAGCCAGCCCTTATTAAAAAAAAGAGCTTTTATCCTTGTTTTCGTTTTCATTTTGAAGCAGAAGCACTATCTCTATCTGTCAAATAGAAATTTGAAGTTTTAGTTTTGATGTTTAAACTACACAAGTTAAATAATTATCCGTAATTTTAGCTTTAATAACAAATTAATACCGTAATTGTACTTGAAAATGAATAATGTCTTCTAGAATTAACTGGATGATTAAATTTTATCAGTTCCTAAAAATATCTTGCAGATTGTGATGTTTGTTGAAAGCTTCTACCTTAGGCATAATGCATAATCTTTAAAGTTATTCTAATCCACATGAATCTAACTCAAAACTTAAAGCTTAATCTCATACTTTTAGCCTTCTACAAACAATGGACCTTAACAAACCTATCATTTTTAAACACTCAGACATACTTAAAGCTATTTCTGAAATTGGGTTATGTGCTGCAACCGATGGAATATGGGAAAATCAGGTAGGGTATGACAGCGTTAAACCGTAGATAAACAATGATTTAATTATAGGCCCTATCATTATCATGGTATTTCTTAAAAAAATGTGATAGTCTTTTTAAATACAACCAGTTGTAGGCTACCGGTATAAATTTCACGTTATAAACATGACGTAATAAGATGTTCTTATAGAATTTTAGATAGGTAGGCCTAACTTACCTCTAATTTGTTAGCTAAATGTCTGCAATTAATTCTTTTTGCAGACAACTAATCTTTTATGAATTATTCAAATCACTACTGGTTGGCACTGTGCATTACCTGAACCTCTAGTGAACTGTATACTGAAGTAAGAGAATATTCACAGGAAAACCACTGCTCATGCAGGGAACACTGGCTGGATAAATTGATTATAATCATAGGCTACCAAGGTTAATAAAATAAGGTTTTTAATCATAGGCTACCAAACAAATTTGTTGTTTCAGGAATTCCTTGAAGATTGGTTTGTGTCTCCCCCAAGATTCACAACAATTCGAATCAATACACTGTTATCATCAGCAGAAGAAGTTGAAAACCTTGTTATAGAATCATTAAATAACGTAAGTGTTGGGCATTCTTGTTTAATTTGGTAAGCCGTCTGGCTTGTAACTTAGTCATTATTCTGTCATATAATATGTATGTTTTTATTTAGGAGCACCGATTTCCAATATTGTGGTTTAAGTGTCTCATTGTTTTGTTTGCCTCTATAGTAATCAAGGATACAGTTCCAGGGCCTTTAATGGACTGTTATTTTAATGTAAATACCTATTTTGTTCTTTAAATTAATTATCAATTAATAAATATGCACGAAACATACTGGTACCGGTACCTATAGGCCTAAGTATTTGTAAAAGATTCTTAGAAACAATATTTTTTGATGAGACATGTTAGGCCTACACTTAATAGTTTTTCTATAAAGGATCAATATTTACAAAGAATCTTCTGGGTCTAGTTTAGGTTTAATGTTTTAAATGTTACTTTTGTTAATATTTATGTATCCCATTGTTAATCATAAATGTAGCCTAAATTGATCTAGTTGTTGCAAACTATTGACTGATAAACTTTGAAATTCAGTTTTAGATTCTAAGATAAATTATTAATCTATACTAAATCTTTTAGCTGTAGTTAAATTATAATTTCTTAGCCATGCCTTTTTATTGTGCCTCTCTACACATTTTATTTAGTAGGCTAACTTATATCATTTTAGGAGGCATTGCGAAGAGGTGAGTTGGCTCCTCGAGTGAGTAGGTTTCCCGATGTACCAGAGTTGCTGGTATTGGATCCCTGGGTCCGATTGGCCCTGCCGCAGCCTCCGCAGAGAGAGGTGGTAGTGGACGCAGCCTGCGGAGCAGCCGTGCTGCGAGGGGCTAACGTGTTTGCCCCAGGACTACTTGCAGTGCCATCTGGTATGATATTTGGACAAGGGATTGACTGCTGGAGAAAGATATGATCAATCATTAGGGCGGAATTACATCTAATTTGGGATTTTGTCAATACTGGATTTGATCAGATCATCGGTGATTTTGACAAGTTGCGAGTAATGATGATGGCGTCTCCACAATCGTGGGAGATGTCGCCGGTATGTCGGGTGATGAAGATTACGTCTTTTTAGGTGAGATGTTCTTGATGGTGCAAGTTAACGAAAGTGACCGTGAATGCAGGATAACTTCCCCCATTATTGGTTTTTAAAGATCAGTGCCACAAGAGCTGAAAATTTATTTGTGTTTTTTTTTTTACTCAAGGTGGAAAAAAGATTCTGTTACATCCCATCCTGATAATCAGGAAGGAATAAAAACCTGTCCTGAACCAAAAATTTAATTCTGTCCATCCCTTTAATTTAGACCATTTTCATTGAATCAATATCTTTAAATAAATATCTTTGACTTTGAATAGGACAAGGAGACCTCTCGTCGAACTGTTAAATTGAGCCTATTTTGATATGTTTCATTTTTAACCTTGAGTGTACTAATGTCAAATAAAGGGTTCTCTTTTAAATAAGAGGCTAGATTTTACAGTTTGTGCTTTATTTGTTGATTATAAAACTAAAGGACATGCTATTTTCATGATAAGGTTGTCGACGAATCAAAATATCTTGATGATATGACATGGCTGTTTGAGGTTAACCACTTCATTACTTAGTGTGAGCTGCTTCTGTGTTTTATGTCAAATATTTTATTACAAGGGTTTATCTCTACGTGAAGAGTGCATAATGTAAATGCAAACATTTTTTTACGTAGGCCTACATAAAAACTAACATCAAACTTTTGAAATAAAATTGTTTGTTTTATATCTATAAACCTGTCAGTCACAAGAAATTGTTGTCAAAATGGACACAGCTGTCAAATTTGGTTTTAAACCCTTATGAATTGGATTCATATCCGTGGAGTTGTCCCATCTATATAAATAAAATTAGAGTTTTGTCTGTACATTGCTTAGAATAATGAACTTTTTGGTTATTTTTACATTTCATAGGTCAGAGAAACCGAATCAAACCTTATCTCAATTTCTGTCTGTCTGTCTGTCTGTCTGTCTGTCTGTCTATCTGTCATTCTCTTGGTAACGCTAAAATACGCACTTTATTACAACTACTCCTCAATAACTATAGCACTGTCCCGCCTGAAACTTATTTTCCAAATACTATACATATATGAGATGGTTTTAGACGTATTTCATCGAATATGAGACAGTTAGATATTTAACAGTAAACCCTTGAAAATCAAGTTTTTGTCGATTTTTGACGTGGAATTTCTGGAAGCCCATGTTAACCTTATGAGAAATGAAATTATTGAATCTTAACAGCTGTTTCAATTAAACAAGTTGGTTCTGTTCTGTGATGTTCAATAGCATTAAAGTTACAAGGATTACCAACAGGGTGCAGCACTAGCACTATTATTTCTTTTACATTTATGACAACAGCTAATTTGCAACCTGGAGGCGAGTGAGCGTAGCGAACGAGCTAACCTGAAGGCAAGTGAGCGTAGCGAACGAGCTAACCTGAAGGAAAGTGAGCGCAGCGAACGAGCCCCAACATACAGGTGAGTGAGCGTAGCGAACGAACTTCAACCAGGACGTGATTGAGCCATGCAAACGAGATCAGATAGTAAAAATAAAAGTAAGCCTACCGTTATAGGATCGACCGGCAGACACAGAGGTAATTTAACCTTTTATTGATTGTCATACCGATCCGGAACAACAAAAAACAACATAAAATGAAGCTATGTATAATAGTTTGGCCAGCATATCTTAAAATATGCAAACCAACTGCTGTTCTTTATATAAGAAGGTTTCAACTGAATATTATAAGATCCCCGTGCGTAGAACGGGTACACAGCTAGTGCAGTATAAAAAAATAATGAATATTAAAACATCATCTTAATATTTGGTGAAAATGTTGGTGCTTAGATAATGTTTGGTGATATGTAACAGGTACACAGGTGGGAGATGATGTTAGCGTGTTTGCTGACACGGCTGGGCTCTGTTTGAGAGGGTTGTCTGTACCCTTCAGTGGCCCGGGCAAGTTCCACGTTGGCGCTGGTGTCATGAGGATGTCTAGAAAACAGCTGTTGCAGAATGACAACCACCCTAAGTAAGGGTTTGTATATTTTCTGTGAACAAATTAGTGATAATGTGGCCAATACCACATTTTCAAAGTTGGTACCTGGACCAGGTCCTAGTGAAAATAAATTCTCTCTTTTCAGTGGCTGTAGGCCTATCATTGCTGACTTAATTGTTCTTATTCTTTAAAAGTAAGTTGTAAACATTTATATGTTTTATGTTGTAAAAGTATGTTGGCTACATACAAACAGTAATTAAACTTTTGTGATCCATGGGTGTGTTTATGAATTGTATTTGTATAAGGGTTTAAATGAATTATGCAGAAATTTTGAATTGAACCGGATTATTATTTTTTTTTTTTACAATTATTATCGCCTATAGCCCATGGTCAAGTGTCAATTTATTACCGGCGTTCCATCGGTTTTCTTCTTCTTTTGTTGCATTGGTAAAAAAAAAAAAAAAACATAAAAATTAGGTGGTGGTCATAGTGTTGCAGTAATTACAACAGTATCTCAAGATGTCGCCCTGTTCACTTTTCCAATATTACGGTGGTTACGAGTTTCGGTTGGGACTCATCACTAATGTACGTAACAATCACTCAGATACCAGGGACAGATCTACGATTGGTGTGGCGTTTTAGCCATCATAGTTACATCAGGTCGCTTATAGGCCTATACTTCGATAACATTTTAACATTTGTACCTTTGCCAAGAACCTGTGGTACATTGCGTTTACCTAGATCTTTACTTTTAGAACTATTTGTCTTGAATTAAAACACTACACACACTTTGATGATTAATTTAATTGTGCCTTTGGCAGTTTTACATTTTTTGTAAGGGTACGGTCCAAATCCTGGTCTTGTTACTATCTAACATTGACCTTTTGCTAGATATTATCATTCATTGATAGCCCAATAACAAATGACATCTCAGTCCAGAACAATCTTGCTTGGAATCGAACCTGTGATTTCATCATTTATTTCTCCCAGGAAGATCTTACAATAAGATTAGTTTTGAATGGTCAAATATGTCTATGTTGGTATATGTGGTCTATGTGTGTGTTGATATAGGCTATGTGCTATGTTGGTAAGATTGTTGCAAACTTTTACTAAATTATTTTGTTAAATAAGCCTTTCATTTAATTTTATACCTCAAAATGTTTATTAACATTTAGACGGGGTGAAGATAAGTAAAGGAAGAGCCTTGTTACAGAATTAGATCAGCTGATTCTACAGCCTAGGCCAAAAAGCTTAATGACCAAGTGCAGTTGGGTATAATTTCGAACCATTAAAAAAACTCTGAATTTTTTTCTCAGGATAAAATTGTTAATCTTCTGACTGTAGGTGAGCATACTCTATCCTCTCAGCTACCCAGCCATTACACTATAATCCAAGAGAAATTTGAAAATTAAAAACCGTCTGACTAGCAAAAGTTAAAAATTATAACCAACTAACTAGTATTTTATTAGTTTTGAATGCATTTCCAGAGGCATAGCTGTAGAGATGACTTTGCCTGCAAGTCATGTATCATCAGTGACTTTACCTCCACACCTTGGTCTTCTGCAGAACCTTCCGTCAGTGTTGTGTAGTCGAGTGGTCGACCCACGCCCAGGAGACAAGGTCATTGACCTGTGCGCAGCTCCGGGCCACAAGACGACTCATCTAGCTGCTCTTATGAACAATCAGGTGATCGTCAATTAATTGTTGTGTTGATTAATTTTATTCTATGTAAGCCTTGAGGTGTTTTTAAAGTTATGAAGAAATTAAAATTCAAGAAATGTTAACAAGAACCTTGATGTAACAACGGAGCATTCTGTAGAAAAATGTTTACTCTTTTTACTGTATTTTAATAGAATTTATCAAAATTTGAAGTAACATTGTATCTAACTGTTTGCATCATTGCAAAACAAAGTGTTTAACTATGAAATCTTATTGGTTATTGTACTCAGTAACTTAGTATTGTTAGGAATAAAGGTTGGTACAGATGAGGAAATTCTTTTTAAAAACTTGAAACTGAGAAAATGTTCATATCCCCTTTTGAAGACTAGGATTCCGTAAAATGTTATAAATAATTTAATCCAATTTTGTCATAAGACAGACCCAATTTATCACCACTATGATCATTTCAGGAAAGTTGTTACATAATAGTATAGCCTATAATATCTTTATATATAGTAGCCTACCTTTGCTATTAAAGGACTCTATGATACATAAGGCTGTGGTGTCGGGAGTACTATTTTTGTAACTCAATGTAAGAAGAACTGATGAGGATGTAATAAATGTACTTCAATGCTTAAGCATGGTGTATTAATATTATCCAAGTTAATCTTGTTTAATTATAAATATTACTTAAGTAATATTGAACATGGTGTAGGTGTGGCGTAGGTGTTATTTTTCATCTACATAACATCGATGTTAAAGACTTTGTTATAGAAATGTAAATGAATTGGAAACTAACCTAACATGGATTTCAAGCCGCCGCGTGGGTTAGTAATTGACGATAATGTTGCTAACAATTGGACATTATTTAAACAAAAGTTCAAAAACTTTCTGCTCGCCTCAGGGAATGAAAGCAAAGAAGACAAGGTGAAAATAGCTATGCTGCTAAATTGCATAGGTGATGAAGGGATAGAAATCTACAACACATTTAAACCCGAAGAAGCTGATACACTGCAGAAGGTAAATGAACAGTTTGATAATTATTTCATGCCCAAGAAGAATGTTGTATATAACAGGTATAAATTTTTTACAAGAATTCAGCAAGAAAATGAATCAATTGAACATTATGTAACTGCTCTGAAGAGTCTAGCAAAGCCGTGTGAGTTTAAAGAAGACGAGGAGAGTCTAATTCTTGATCGTGTAGTGATTGGTATAGTGGATAAACAGCTTCAAGAAGTACTTCTTCGAGAAAGTGACCTAACCTTGACTAAAGCTTTAAATCAGTGTCGAGCCGCTGAACTAAGTAAACAGCAAGCGCAAGTAATGCAAGGTAAGGTAGGCCTAAGTTCATATAATAACATAGGCTTACATGCCATTAATAATACAAGACCTAAGTCGTACAATAATGGAAGAAGTTTTAGTTCTCAGAATAAAGCTAGTAATACTAGGCCTAATCAAAAACAAAGCTACCAGTCTTCTACAGTACGTGAAGATAAAAAGACAGCTCAAACATACAAGTGTTATAAGTGTGGAACTGAACATACAAAGGCTAACTGTCCAGCGTACGGAAGAACGTGTAAAAAATGTGGACTTAAGAATCATTATGCCATTGGTTGTCAAAGAAGTGCCAATAAAAGTAAGCCAAATCATAATAAAACTGTTCATGAAGCTAAGCTAGGGTTAGAGGACATGGAAGATATTTTTATAAGTGCCCTATTCCAAGAAGACACAAGTTCGCAGTCCAGTCCGCAGCATGCAGCCCAAGGAGGAGTCCAGTTCAAAGATGTGTCCAGATAGGTCGTCGAGAAGATCAACAGCATGGAGAACAATAAAGTGAAAGTGTCATCGTGGATGCAACAAGTTAAAATTAATAATCAAAGTGTTAGTTTTAAACTAGATAGTGGTGCTGAGTGCAATGTGTTACCTGAACATGTAATGGATCAGTTGCAGCTATCCAAGGTCAGTTTAGAGCCTAATTATAGCAAAATCCTAAGCTATGATAATCAGGAGTTAAAATTTTTAGGAAATGTAATTCTTGATTCGGAGGTCAATGGAGTCAAATACAAAATTAAATATGTAGTGGTCAAAACTAAAAGTGTTCCAATACTAGGGTTAAATGCTTGCATAAAGTTAAATTTACTTCAAAGAATAAATAATTTAGAGTTAGATTCAGAGAGTTTAGCGTCTAAAATGAAGTTTGTAGACAAGCATAAAGAAGTTTTTACTGGTATAGGTAAATTTCCTAAGAAATTACATCTCGAGCTCAAAGATGGTGCTAAACCTGTTGTAAATTCAGTCCGAAGAATTCCTGAATCAGTCAAGCCTAAGCTTAAAGAGGCCCTTGATAGGCTAACAGAATATAATGTAATTGAACCAGTTGATTATCCAACTGATTGGGTAAATAATATTGTAATAGTAGAAAAACCAGACAAGTCCTTACGAATATGTTTGGATCCAATTCAGCTTAATGAATGTGTAAAGTTAGATCCGTATCCAATTCCATCGTCAGATGAGTTAGAACTATTGTTACGAGGAAAGTCTTATTTTACAGTACTTGACATGAAAGATGGTTTTCATCAAATAGAATTAGATAATGAAAGTAGCTTGCTAACTACATTCATAACTCCTTTTGGAAAGTTTAAGTACAATAAACTACCATTCGGGTTACGAGTAAGTCCAGAAATTTTTCAAAGATATAATGTTCAAATGTTTGGTGACATTCCTAATGTAGGAATCTATTTTGATGATTTTATAATTGCTACGGAAACAGAAACAGAACATAACACAGTCTTAAATCATGTAATGGAAAGAGCGTTAAAAAACAATGTTAAGTTCAATGCTAAAAAGTTACAGTTTAAAGTAAGTAGTGTTAAGTATCTAGGCATGATATTTTCAAAAGAAGGTGTTACTCCAGAACCAGAACGTGTAAAAAGCATTATTGCGTTAGAAGAGCCTAAAAGTAAAAAAGAGCTACAAAGTGTTTTAGGTGTAACTAACTATCTATCTAAGTTTGTTCATAACATGAGTCAGTTAACTGAACCTTTAAGACAACTTTTAAAGAAAAATGTTGATTTTGTTTGGACAAAAGATCATACAAAAGCATTTGAGACACTTAAGTCTAAGATTGCTGAAGCGACATCGCTTAAAATATTTGATCCTAAAATAGATTGTGAAATTTTTGTTGATTCATCCAATTATGGGTCTGACTTAGGGGAGGTACGAATGAGGCATTTAGTTCAAAATTCGCGAACAGCGCTGTAGTAGAGAGCAATATGTCAATGAAGGTTTACTATTCGCAAAAATAGTTCTGTTCATAAAATAAAATTATAAATGCCTCAAATTCAATTTTATAATTTTTTAATTATAAAATTAAACTATCATAACCTAACCGAACTAACCAAACTTGCTGATAATTAAATAATATAAAAAAGATTAGTAATAGAAAAAATAATTATGTTTATTAAATAAAACTAGAAATTGCTCAATTAAAATTTTATAATGACTTAATAATAAAATTAAACTGTCATAACCGAACCAAACCAACCAAACTTGCTGATAATGAAAAAATCTGAGACAAAAAGTTAATGCAACCAGCGAGATTCGAACCCGGGACCTTTAGCACGCCAGCCCGGCACGCTAACCACTAGACCACCGAAGCCGTTGTCCACAAACCGTATTGTTACGGTAATAGCGTTCCCTCAGCTAATAAGAAGCCCACAGCTGTCATCGTAGCCTCTTCCGTACCTCCCCTGAGTAAATACCATCCAATTATGGGTATGGAGCATGTCTTTTACAGCAAGGCTGTCCGATAGCGTTTGCGTCTAAAGCACTAACCGATACAGAGTTAAGGTATCCAATAATAGATAAAGAAATGGCAGCTATGTGTTTTGCGTTGTCTAAGTATCATAAATTCATTTATGGTCAAAAGGTTACTGTGTATACTGACCATAAGCCTCTAGTTTCGATTGTTTCCAAGAACATGCATAAAGTTTCCAATAGGTTACAGAAGTTTAAACTAGAACTACTCAAGTATAACATTGAAGTAAAATACTTACCTGGTAAATCTAATGTACTAGCAGACTCATTGTCAAGGAAAGTTGATAAGAACATGAATGATAAGAATGATAGTTATTTAAACAGTGAACTTGAAAAATCTGTAATGGTACATAGTCTAAGTAATCAGTTAAGTATGTCTGAGAGTAAAAAGCTACAGTTTAAAATTGCTACTGAAAATGATGAAGTTTTGAACAAGGTTATCAAATACGTTAATGAAGGGTGGCCTGGTTATAAAGTATTGGATAATGCATTGAAACCCTATCATAAGATTAAGGATGAAATTTCCCATGAAAATGGTTTGCTATTTTTTGGTAACAAGATCATTGTTCCTTCTGTATTGCGACAAAGTATGCTAAACCTAATTCATGAATCACATCTTGGTGTAGTTAAATGCAAAGCTAGAGCAAGACAAATTTTGTTTTGGCCTAACATAAACAGGGACATTGAAAACCTAGTTTTAAGTTGTCAAATATGTGAAAAATATAGGTTTGCAAATGGCAAAGAACCATTGTTAAATCATGAAAAGGCTACTAGGCCTTGGCAGTTTGTATATAGTGACATACTAGAGTATGGTGGAAAAAATTATTTGGTTGTAAATGATGCTTATTCTAACTGGGTAGAATTAAGAGAGCTATTTGACAAATCAGCTAACAGTGTCATAAGAGTTCTAAAACATATTTTTTCGCAGTTTGGCGTACCAGATCGTTTTGTTTCAGATAATGTTCCTTTTAGTTCTCACATGTTTAAATCGTTTGCAAATGAATATAATTTTGAAAGTGTGACCAGTAGTCCTTTTTATCCAAGAAGTAATGGTAGATCTGAGAAAGCAGTGGCGATATGCAAAAATCTGTTGAGAAGGGCAAAGGACAGTGGTAAAGATATCGAATTGTTGCTATTGGATTATAGAAACACTCCCCTTAACAATGTTAATGTTAGTCCAGCACAGTTATTTTTAAATAGAGTATTGAAGTCAAAAATGCCTATAAATACAAAGGCATTAAATCCAAAAATAGTTCATGTCAACAGAGATAGGTTAGATGAAAAATCTAAGTTGTATTACGATAGGACATCAAAGTCACTACCTATGTCATTTTGATAAAGGTGATAATGTTTTGATTCAAAAAGGTAAAGAGTGGATAAGTGGTAAAGTCATTGAAAAGTTAAACTTTCCCCCCAGAAGTTATGTTGTTCAGGATAGATATGGTCAAGTGTATCGTAGAAATAGAATTATGTTAAGAAAGTGTTATTCTAAGGTTATTCAGTCTGATTATTCTGATCTAATCGCACAAACTAATTTTGGGTTAGAAAATATTGAAAGGCCTAATCAGAATGAGTTTGAGAATAATGTTAACATACCAGTACCAGTACCTAATGTTTTACCTAATAGGCCAGTAACAAACCAAACCACTAGATTCGGTCGAACCATCAGAAAGCCTAACCATTTGAAGGAATATGTTTAAGTCTGTCTGTTCATTTGTTTAATCAACATTTGTCTTTATGGATTTAAATCATTTTGATTAAAAAAGGAGGATGTTACATAATAGTATAGCCTATAATATCTTTATATATAGTAGCCTACCTTTGCTATTAAAGGACTCTATGATACATAAGGCTGTGGTGTCGGGTGTACTATTTTTGTAACTCAATGTAAGAAGAACTGATGAGGATGTAATAAATGTACTTCAATGCTTAAGCATGGTGTATTAATATTATCCAAGTTAATCTTGTTTAATTATAAATATTACTTAAGTAATATTGAACAAAAGTTATGTAATTTTGATGTCTTAGGACTGATTGAACCAAGAGTTCTAAAATTGAAAAATTATTAGTATGTATGGAATTTTATAAAATAGTACAGTACAATATGAATATAGAAGAAATTCTATACTGTAGGCTACTGTACTTCAATATGAAATTACATTCATCATTATATTACTGTACCTACTAAAGAAGAACTGTATAGTAGGTACATTAATCATGCACAACATTGAACTGTAATGCTAACAGTACTGACAAGTGACGACAAATTGGGGGACTTTTTGCAATCACTTATGGTCACTCTAATTCACCCATTCATTAGGTCCATGGAAGGTCCAACCTTTTTTTAAACCCAGTGTTCCTGGTCTTTTTTAAGTTAGGACTATTGGGGGACTACTGTAATTTTAGGTTTACCATGTAGGTAGTCTTTGAGTAAGATCAGGAGATCACCCCTCTCATATTGACACAACTGCAAACTTTTAGTCTTTGAAATACAGGGGATACTGATAGCACTGGACAAGATTGGCCGCAAGATAGAAACAATGAAGAAACTTTGTACAGCAATGGGTGCAGAAGTTGTCCGATCATTCATGTTTGATGCTACCAAGGCTGTTTCACACGAGGCTTCTGACGATTGGTCACCCCCCTTCCTCCCCGACACGTTTGACCGAGTTCTGCTAGACGCTCCATGCAGCGCTTTAGGACAACGACCTCTGTTTGGAAACTCAATCACTGCGAAACAGTTGACTTCTCATCCCAGACTACAAAAGAAATTGTTTGACACTGTGAGTAAACTTATTTTGGAAACTACAGTAGAGTTTTGCAAATTTAAAACTGATTGGGTAGTAGTAGTAGTAGAAGAAACTGAGTGGATAGCTGGGTTTTTAGTAGTCGCTCAACAGTTAAAAGGTTGCCGAATCGACCCTGAGATAATTCAGTGGCTTTTTATTTATTTATTTACACACGGCAATAGGCCTACCATTTTACATTGAGTTTCTTGATGTTTGATACTGCAAATATAAATATGCAACATGCATGCCTAAATTAATTTGTCTAAAAATAAAAATGTACAAAAGCTAGCATGAGTTGTTACATGCGATTTTCATTGTATTATTTTTTTATGGTTGTTTTTGATCCAGCTGTCCCTGATTATTGGGCTTTAAATAAATTATCCTGACTAATGAAATAGCTGATCTTCATCAGCAAAACAGCTAGCCACACAGATCATCGCACTCCATTTTAGATGAAGTTGGGCATAATGTTTAACAAATGCCAATTGGGATTATCGTGTTAACACGTTGACTGCTTGTGCCACTCAGTCGGCGTCACTAGAGCTTCCAGGTGGCGCGCGCCAAATATTGTCGGCGTCCGACCACCTGTACATTGAGTCAATATGAGCTCAGCCATTGCCGGGGAACGTTATAATCGTTGCCAGCCTGTAGCTTAGAATGCAAGCTTTATTTTGGTGTAGGTTGGTACTAAAATTTCCCGTAAAATCCCGTATGGCAATGCTTTTGTCCCGGTTTCAGGGATTTTCTCTCTTCGACCCACATTACAAAGACACTGGCTACGGATCCAGGCAGTGCTGCTACCTTTGGGTGTTTCAGTGAACTACGTCTACCAGTTTATACACCAGTTTCTTTTATAATATGTTTAAGTAAAATTTCAAAAATCTGCTCAGTAGTATTTTTTAAAGTCTGTAACCACTGGATTATCCTTTTAACTTGCTGTGACTGTACTTCACTAACTCAAGATCACGGCACACACCAGTAGGTTTATCGGGATGGGCCGTTGAGTTTTTGAGAAAGATTTGAACAAAAAAGCTACCTAAACACATAAATACGTCTGAACAGTTTATTGTGAAAGTAGTATAGTGACTACTGTTTTTGTTGTTGTTGTTTAGGCCGTGCAGCTTGTGAAGCCAGGTGGGACCATTGTCTACAGCACGTGTTCCATTACTGTTGAGGAGAATGAAGATGTAGTGAGCTGGGCACTTGACCGATACCCGCAGTTGGCGCTGGTACCTGCCCTACCATTGGTTGGTAGACCCGGAAGCTCAAAGGTGAGAATTTGTCATCTATTCACTTTCATATTAGGGATAAGCAATGATACCGTTTTCAAAACGTGGTTGTTTTTCAATTTATGTTCAATGTTTTCTATAAATCTTTATGTTTTGGACAGTCTGTTTTTTTTTTCAGTAGGTAAATTTGTATCAGTTTTAATGGGAATTTGAAAACTTTTCCTAGAAGTTGATTATTATGACTTTAAACGCTAAATTCATATCTGGTTTAAAACAATCTTGAACTGAATTAGACTAAAATGTAGTGTTTAGTAGTTAGTTAATTCTTTGTAGTATCCAAAAAAACTTTTAGTTTTCAATACACAAAAACTATTTCAACTTTCCGATTGGTTCAAAGTTAATTACGGGTAACATACATAATATACAAAATCATACAATTACAGACTGCCAACAATTTTTTTGGCAAAAACTATTTCATGTTATAAACTAACAACGTTCTACATTTTGGTTATAGTTCTAGGGACTAGTGTAAAAAGCTGACAAAAGGAAAAGACACTCCTGAATGGTTATAATATAATATAACATTAATTAGTTGAGATAGTTTGATTCTTGCAAATGGTTCGAAAGTTATGAAAAACATTTTAAACACATGAAAAAATCAATGATTTGTTTTTGCAATGATGTTATTGGTACATTGATGCCGCTGTTACCATGGATAGTGAACATCCATGGTTGGCTATTGACGCTCATCCATTTTCCATGGTAACTCTGTTAAAACTTTTGTAGTTTGAATTTTCCCTATTTTAATTCCAAGAGCACTTGTAACGTTTTATGTAGATGTGAGGAAGAAGTGCCAATCCTGATCTTCTTTACTATCTAATATCGTCATAGGTAGTTTTAGAAAGCATTAATTTTCAAACAACAGGCTAGTATTGTGATTTTTAGAACAAATGAAGAGGAGCTATCATACCTGAGAGAAAGTGTAAGTAGGTCATAGTAAAAACATAAGACACAGAAAACACAATATTTTGTTCCCTAGGGGACCAACCTGGACAGACCTTTATGACTGAAAAAATCACTTCCTAGATATGTTTTGGTACATCATAAAAAAAGGTTTTAGAGCATCTTTACACTAGTTGATAAAATAAAAGCATGGAAGAAAATAAATAGTTTTTGAAAGGTAATTCTTAAATGAAACTTTAATAAAAGGTTGGTGTATATATTAAAAACCATTTATTTTGCAAGATGTTTAACACTGCAGTGTAAACGATCAAGTTGTTTTAACCCTTTGCAATCGGAATGAATATTTACCGCTATTACTCGGCGATCGCGCGTCAAGCTCTACTGGCCGCCGCCAATTAGCGCGCGGAAGTCAGATTTTTCCCACAGCAGTTGTCCTTTGCAATTGGACGGCCAGCGGTGCTGGCCGACAACGATTTTTTTGTTTGTATTTTAATATTCCAAACTGACTGGTATGATGTGAGTGTATGATGTGACCTGTAGAGTGCTGCAACCTAGTGAGGAATTGTTAAACTAAACCAGCAGGCTTGCAACATCATATTGTAAAAATTGTGGAGGAAACAACTAAAATAAACACCAGCTGACCAGCTGTTGTTCTGTCAAAAGTGCTGTCTTAATCATCATTGTTTTGGTTTTTGGTTAAGTTTTACATGATTTTAATTGAGTTTTTGGTGATATCTCAAGAGATTTATGTTTATTTGTAATTTTAATTAAATTTTAGTGTACATTTGAGGTGATTATAAAAACACTTGTACGTTTACGCATAGGCGTACACTTTTATCATAATTAGGCCTACAATAAAATTGTTTTATCTCGTATAAACATTTAGTAGTAAGAACGGGGTTATGTTTGTTTTTATTCCCGTATATTTAACTAATTAATAATGGACGATCGTTTAAGATCAGACCAATTGAGAGACTTATTATTTGCTGATGAAGAAGATGTTGACAATCCGGGTATTTATTATGGATTAAGCCACAAAAGCAATGTTAAGTGTTTTATAAAACTTGTTTAAACAATAATCCTGGACTTCATTTGGGCAAATGATTTGAAAAATACCACTAAGAGAAAAAACAAATTATACAATTACAATTGTTTTATTACAATTTAAATCCCCTGTGCCAACATTGCAGGCTTTCAGTAAAAACAATTCCAAGCTGCCGGGAGCGAGCCGCTATGATAAATGCCGAGGGGGCGAAGGCCTTGGACATGGCCAGTACAGCTGGCCGTCTGACTGTCAGAACCGAGTTAGTATGGATAGAATTCGGACTCGCTGCCAACTGCGTTGAGGCCACTCCTGCTGGCCTTCCGATCGCAAAGGGTTAATGCAACTTGTAAATTAAAAGTTTGTTTACAAATAATTTTTAACCAAACATAGCTATTTCCATTCATGATTATTTACAAAAATAATTGATTGATATCTCACCATTAATTTTGTCCAGGAGTTTTAGAATTTTCATCCTTTCTTCCTCAATATTAACAAAAGTGCTTTTTCATGTGTTTTTGGATCATCAAGTACTTGAAACAAGTAAATTGGCAGTGTTCACAGCTGTAAACATCATGGTTTTCAAACCGTTTGTGCTTCTGTAAAAGCTCAATAGTGTAAGTAGAATAATCACATCTGTTGCATTTAAACACCGGTTCTTTGGTGTGCTTACGTAGGATGTGGTACATCAAAAGCGCACGTTTTGAGGTCCTTAAACCACAAGTGGAGCACTCAAAAGGATATTTGTTTTCTAATCCTATTTTTCTTAGTTTCAAGTCCCTATTGGTCATATCAGATGACCCATTTACTTTTTCTTTGTTGCAGTTACTTGATTTGCTTTTGAAAATATCTGTAGCCTTAGGTGTTTTCAAAAAATTACCGCTCACCTTCATTTTGTATTTGTCATGTCTCTTTAAATGTTGTTGTAAAATGTAACGTCTAGTAGTTGCATAGTCACAGTAAGTGCATTGATATGGAAATTGTCTAAGGTGTATCAGTGAATGTCTCTTCAGTTCGAAGGAAGTTCCGTAAGCTTCATCACAGTTTGAACACACAAAGGGGCGAGCACTGTCCGGCCTCTTCTTCTTACTCAAGTGTCGTATCAAATTATAGCGGTTCACAAACGTCTTTTTACAATGCGAGCATGTGTACCTATCATTAAACCCATGGATAGACATGTGTTTCACAAGTGTTTTTTTGTATGTTGTGCTGTAATTGCAATGTGCACACGTTTTCTTTGTTTCACTTCTTTGTTTTTCACTATGTTTTTTGGTGTGTTCGACTAAACTATCTTTCCTTGCTGAATGGTAATCACATATGGAACAGGTAAAGGACTTACTGGACAATCCATGTGTGGACATATGTCTGTATAGTCTATTTTTAGTGGTAGTAGTATAGTGACAGTGTGCACATTTCAATATTGTTTTTTCATTGCTTTTTGTAACCGATATTTTCTTTGTTTTTGTTTTTTGTTTTGTGAAACAAGGTGTTTGGACTCTTTGGCTGTAAATTTCCAAATCCTCTTCTACATTTTCTGATATTTCTCTCAGACTCTCCCTTTTATCAATGATTACTTTTTCTCCTTTACAGATACTTTTAAAATCATTCGAAACTCCCTCTTTATAGATGCTTACCTCTTTTGCTTCTTTTAACAAACTTTCTCTTTTTTCTTCTTCTTTAACGTTGTCTTGGTATTTTGAATCGAGTTTAGAAATATTCTCACATTTAATCAGTTGATCATCAGTTTTTTTAACGTTGTCTTGGTATTTTGAATCGAGTTTAGAAATATTCTCACATTTAATCAGTTGATCAACAGTTTGTTTAATGTTTTCTTGGTATTTTGAATCAAGTTTGGGAATAATCTCATATTCAATCAGTTGATCAACAGTTTGTTTAATGTTGTCTTGGTATTTTAAATCGAGTTCAGAAATATTCTCATATTTAATCAGTTGTTTAACAGTTTTTGATTCTAATTCTTCATGTTTATAAAATTTTAAGTTTTCATTTTTAGTTTTTATCCTTGAACAATGCTCCTCAACTTTGATCTTACACTCATCTTTTACCTCCATTTTTATGGACGCTATGTTATTGTCCTTATTCATTGTGAATTGCTCAGAAAAAATACTTCTTCTTCTTACATAAACTGGAAAAAAAATAAAAATAGTGTTATAAGTTTTATCATACTATAATCTATACTAAAATACAGGTTACGTTTGCGCACAATGATTTCAAAAACGGCTACTATGATTTCTTTTGAATTGTTAGAAATATCTTAGTTTCAGGCTAAAAACAATATCCATGCTAGCCACTGTCCAGGGAAAATTCGTTTTTTGTTAAAAACTTTAAATGAAATTTTAATATTCGTCTTATGGAAAGCTAGGTAGCCAAGACAGCTTTACGAAAATTTAAATAAATAAATTGTAACGTTTTATGCTTATATATTAATTATTTGAAAACTGAGTTTCTTATAACTAGCTGTTACCCACGGCTTCACCCCGTTTGACTTCATAAGTATTAATAAAACTATTGATTGGTTAAGTTAAGCTGAAATAAACAAAACCGAATAATGTACAAACAAATAATCACACCTGAATTTAATAAGGTAATTAATTGAAAGAATAACATACAAATGAGTACAGCTGAGGTATTTTTAACATTAGGTATTTGGAAAGTCCCCTTTAGAAAGGAATTACGACCTTAAAATGTAATTTATGAAATAATGGATAGTTTTGCACAAGGTTTCTCGACACGACAAAACATTTTAAGTATATGGTTTATTGGTGTGTGACTTGTAGTTTTCTCAAAAGTTCATGGGTACTTTGGGATTTATATATGGATAAACTTTGCCTATTAGACAATAAGCTTAAATTTATTATCTAAAAAATAAGTAACTTAGATTAATAATGTTGCCCATATAAATTATTTTGAATGATTTTACAGATCCTTTTAACACTTAAATGGCTATTTGTTTAAATATTGATGGAAGATTATCATAATCATTATCATAATCAGATAATCATCTACAGTACGGTTTCTAATTAGTAAATACATGACAAAAGAAAAAGACATTTCCATAAATAGGCCTACCATTTAGCATTGATTATTTAATACACTTGGAGTTTTTTTACTAAGCAATGGGATGATTACAACTGTTCTAAATAATAGAACTTTTTAGCGCAATAGATTATACACAAATAAATGCTGAACTAAGATCATGGAGGAAAAAACCAAAGGGTGTTTTGTAGTTTTTGACGATGCGCCACCGGAATGGGCATGTTGTTTGACGATTTATTATAAAAGATAAACAATATGGATCATAAACAAACAAATGTCCTGAAAATAAACATGTTTGTATCATTACTTCTTTTTATTTAAATAATTATTTGTTTATTTTGTTATCTTGCCCGTGAAGTGCTGAGCGGCAAAAAAGACTTTCCCCACACGCAGATGTACAGTCTTTGTGGGGATTTTTTTTCCTTTGTACATTGTTTTAAGCCACGATTGTACTGATTTGTAATTTTGGAAATAAATATATTCTTATTCTTATTTTTTACTTCAATGTAACTGTTAAAAACGTTCAAAGCACATGAAGATATTATAAGACTCCATCCAGTGATGTCATTATTTTATTTTTTTATCCATACTGTTTGCGTTTATGTTCTAATATCCATAGACGATCCCATAGTTGCGACCCAATGACTAACATGTCGCAACCAGAGAGTGCACTATATTCGCAACTCGCAACAATGCTGGTCAACAGCTGAGATGTTAAATATTATCACGAGTTTGTTATTGAACTTTATGATACATATTTTCAATATTGATTGTTCGTCTGTTTGGAAATGATTGTTAATTAAATTAAGGATGAAGAGGGGGACATCTACCGAAGAAAAATTGGTTTTACAACTTAATTTAATGTAGCAAAATTTAAAATGAACACGATTTACACGTAAAACAAATTAGGTATATGTTTTATTGGTTAAAAATGGTGGAACCGTTGATAATAAATAAATAAATAAATAAACTATAGTTCCAAATTAATTGTTTGATTCTAACATAATAGTTTTATTTGTACATATTTTTAATGCGATTCAGTATAAAACTAACCTCTTCACACTTGCATAAAAAATATACTAGGCTCAAGAGCAACAAGTAAAGGCATGATTTTGAAACTTTCATTATACGACAAAAAAAAACACATCTTAGAGTATTCGGAGTGTTTATTTGCAGTTTTTACTAACATTTTTGCTGTTTTTATGTTTACACTTTAATTTTTATTTCTTAGAGTAGATTCATCAGTGGAATTTATTGGTATTGAATAAAAATAACATTTTCTTAGGCCTAGCACAAAACTGTACGATGCGTCTAAGATTAACTATTATAATATCAAGTCTTACACAATGGCTCAGATTTAAAAATGACAATACTGTAAAGATGCTATTTTTAAATTCAGAATTTTTATTTTGGTAAAATATGTACTCTAACCTGACCCAGCATTCTTTTAATTCCTTGTACATGTATTGTTCTTTTACATTTGAAGTTGTTTGTCTGTATCTATGAGGGTGTAACTTTACAACGAAAAACAAAATGACTAAACATACCTTAGAAGTTAACAAGCCAATAACACATTGTTGTAGCCCAGAGTGCAACTAAGTGACTACCTGTATAGCAAACACACCAAGCGATCTTGATAACCAGCAGCACTGTGTGTACTGTGTGGGCTGAGAAGAGGAAGTGAGTCAGCTGTTTAGTCTGGAGTCAGCTGTTTTATCCCTCACTTCATTTTGCACATTTCCTCTGGTTTCAAATGAACAAGCAAAGTAACCTTCCTCTTAACAGCGTTCTAGTAGAAGCTAAATCTTAGGATAGGCTAAACTTTGTAATGAGTGTAAACGACATGTAAAATCAAACAGCTTATTACATTTTTTCTTTTACTTTTAAAAAAAAAATAAGGTCCAACCATGAGATTTTTGGCAATAGCTTGAATGAATAAATAAATTGCTTTATTTTATAAATAAACATTCCTCTCATAACAAAAGCATACACCGGCAGACACAGAGGTAATTTAACCTTTTATTGATTGTCATACCGATCCGGAACAACAAAAAACAACATAAAATGAAGCTATGTATAATAGTTTGGCCAGCATATCTTAAAATATGCAAACCAACTGCTGTTCTTTATATAAGAAGGTTTCAACTGAATATTATAAGATCCCCGTGCGTAGAACGGGTACACAGCTAGTTTCTGAAATAAAATTTAATCAAAATACACTTTTATTCCTAGCATATACAAATTAAATACACAACTACATCCATTTTATACAAAATAAAAAAGAAACATATTTCATAATGGTTTACATAGCTTTTATTTTGTTTATCTAATTTTTTAAAATTATTAGGTTTTAATAGGTTTTGTTCATAAATAAAATCAATGAAAATTACTATGAATATTTAATACAAAAGACAGGATGACAAGTTTTTGATGACATAATTATTTTTTGCTGAAATTGGCCTTAAGTAAGGTCCAGGTGTTACCATGAGATTTTAGGTAATAGCAATTGATATTACCAAACATGGAAAATTCCTATTAGGCTAGTGGAAATGCGATTACCAAAATGGTAAATTTACTAAAACAAGTCAAAAACAGCAGCCATTCCAAGATATCTTGAATTCTATAATTTTGCCAATAACAACGTGGTGTAATAATTGCAAAGTCAAGAAACCTTTGAACGGGTGCCATTTTTGACTCGTTGGTCCGTTTGGGTTTGCAGCATTATAATCTGCAACTTTATAATCTTATGATTATTTAAAACTTTCTACTGACTCCTAGTGGCCGTCCTCAATTGAAAATTCATAATCCCTTGAAATTTTTTGCTCGGTTGTGAGTTTGCAACATTGTATTTTACTAATTAAAAAAACTTAATTCGATGAGTATACCAACTTATGTTTACAAGGTCTTCCTTTGCATCCTAGTGGGGGACTCTGTATTTATAGATGCATAAAATCTCCCCTCACTCAATTAAATCCAAAGTGGTGAGCCATTGAACTGCTCATATGTAAAGCTGACCAACTGAATCAACAGGAAAAGCAATAATTCAATTAGTACTAATTGACTATTATCCCCATAGTTTGGTACTTAACTCCACATCCAGTTTTACTTGGTTGTACAGTAGACCCCCTCTTATCCGGACTCCTCGGGACCAAGGCCAGTCCGGATAATGGGTTTTCCGGTTAAACCGACGTCCCTTAAAAGCTTAAAAAAAGAGCTTAAAAAAACAAATAATTTAGTATATCAAAGTGTTTTTGTACAATTATTGGTTACGGAGAAAATTCAAAAAATTGTTATTTTAAAATTCCCATGTTATTCTTATGGAGAATATTGTAAAATGTTGTAGTTTGCTTGTTTATGGATATATTTTGATAAAACTAGGCAAAATTTATTTATTTTATACTTAGCTATTAATATTTTACTAAAAACCCCACTTTAACAGTTTCCTTGTAGCAGCAAACCTAGGGACTCGTTAAACCTAATGTTATTTAAATAGATTTAATTGAAAATCAATTCCGACAAATGGAAATTCGCTTAGTCGGCAGGTTTGCTGCGGCGGGAGTATTTTTTTTTTTCATTTTGGATGTATTCCAGAGTTCACTGACGGAGATGCAACGCTGCCAGATTCAGAGGTTTGGTCCTCCCATTGGATCAACTCCACAGCTTGATACCATCGGCTTCTTCATTGCCAAATTTACCAAACTCAGTTAAAAATAAATGTTTTTATTTGATGTTTCTCTATTGCTTGTTCTCCTGCTTACATTCATATCCACTTCCTTTCTGAGTCCATCCTTGCACTAGGCTGCTTAATCTTTTGTCATCCTTCCACAGTTCATCTTCACCATCTGCCAATTTACTTGTTCTTCTCCACATCCCTCTTCATCTCATTTGTCCACTTTCTTCTTGGGATCCTTACCATTTATCACCTTAATTTCTAGTTTTCTAGCAATGAGAAATTCTCTCCTGATTGTTTAAGGTGTGTTTTCCTCCAACTTGAGTAACCGTACTGCGTGCTACGCAGTTTAGCTGAAGAACGTAGCGCGGACAGGAACAGCATGGTTAAAATAGGACACATCACAATTGTTTTTCTAACAAATCTGCCAATGCATTTGCTGACTAGCAAATTTGCAGTTCCACAGTAGCGATCTGCTATGGATCAGAGAATGATTTTTTTCCTTTTATGTAGGTGGTTAAAGAGAAAGAGATGGACGAGGATGTGGACATAGCTGGAAATGCTGATGGAACCTTTTGAATCTAAGAGCCGTGAGGGTGCTTTAAATATATATATATTAATAGGCAGCATGTTTCTTTAAAAACCTTTTTTCTCAGCTTGTGTGCATCGCAGGGAAAATCTACGCATACTGTTGGAAATATATTTTCCTTTGATATGGAGAATCCCTTTATAAATTAAAATAAAGTAAAAAATAAGCACAACAAATTGATTTAGATAAAAAAAAATTAACATGGACCTTATGGGTTGCCATACTGGTGACGAAATATAAACAGAAAATCAAAACAAATGGAAGAAATTCCAATCACTTGTTTTATTTACAGTGTGGGGTGGAAATAGATAATTCTGTACATTAGATATTTTAGGTAGAGTTTTAGAACATTAGACAACCTCTCAATGAAGTAAAATTTAAGCAGTATTAGGTTAACTTATCATTTTTCCAATCTTGTTGATTAGGTGTGTAAACTCTGACACACATTCCGTTAATATACTGTCGGGATGAACAGTGAACTTAGAAAACTAGTTTCCTTTATACTTCTAATGTAAACAATAGCCCAGTTTGGCAACGCTGTTCGCAACTGACTGCTCTCAAGGTAGTGCCCCCGCTTCGTGCTTCAATGTTGGCAGTTAGTCGTGCACGTGTTACTAGAAAAAGTCCCATTGGTTTCAATGATATCGGTGGCTCCGACAACAGCGAAGCACAAAGCACACAGCGTAACTGGCTTAACTTCGTCGCTAGGAAGACACCGATTTAGAAAAAATACATATTTTGAACTTAAATATATTAAATTTATTAGCAGAATGATCGAGTTAAAACTAAGAGGAAAAATGATTTTTCAAAATTATTTATAAAAAATGTTATATTCTTGAATACATGAATAAATTCTGTAAATACAAAGTATTTGAGTAACAACAAATAAGGTTATATTTAACGTATATATACATACATATGTTTGGGTACCCCTTGGTTATCCATACTACTATTGTATACTAAATTAATTGTTAAATAATTAAGATGACTGCCCTGATTTATTGATGCCAAGTACAAGCAAACCCTGTCATAGTCTTCCTGTTTTACTTTTCTAATAATTTTTAAGAATTATAAAAATAATGCTTTCCTAAGCTAAAAATTCTGTTTACCATCATACCAAAAAACCTTAGTTTTTTTTCTCAAACAACCATTAACCCCAAATAAACCCAAATTATTACTTCTGTTGTGAATTTCCTGTATTAAAGGCAGCAGTATGTATAAACAAAAAGTACCTTCGCATAACACCAGTTATCTTTAGTAATAGTACACATCAATTTTAATGTCATGTAAAAGTTTCTTCCAATGGATATTAATGACGTTGCTAAAGTCTTACAGTATAAGTAACCTGGAAATATATGAAAACCTGTTTATACCCTAAAAATCTAAGCCTCTATATCTTTTCTTACACTTGAATCAGTTATTTATGAAAGGGCTCATGTCATTTTTTTTTACAAATTGACTTTTGGTCGAAAATCAATAAAACATACATATCTGCATATTTATTTATGAACGGGCTCTTGTCAAACCTGTTGTAATGTACATTGAAGCCAGCTGAAATCTGTAATTGTTTATGAAACGGCTCATGTCAGAGACAGGAGCCCTTTCATGAACAAAGTTAGGTTGGCAGCGCATGCGCATTGGAAGTTTTTTCCTGTCAGCTGAGCTTCTGCTGGGCTTGTTTTTCTTACTTTTCTACTGCACCATTCTATTCTAAGAGAGTTGAGGTTAGAGGTTATGTTTGTTTGGTATTCAAGCTACTTTATACTCGTTTAGCCTACTCAAGTGCTTTTTTTAAAATGTTAGAAAGTGAAAGTCCTGACGACGAAGGCCTAGGTAAAGAAACAAATAAACGAAAAAGAGGTGTACGAAATATTGAAAAATATAAAGTGAATGTTATTAAAAAGGCCAGAATTCGAGGAGATGAATACGTCAACTACAAAGGAAATGTTACAGAAGCACGTACAACTGGAATACCATGCACGTATGTTGAATGTTTATCTATGCTTTACACTAAGTTACCAACATTCCTAACTTAGAAACAAAGTCAAATCACCTTTCAATTTTTATTATGTTGTTTCCTAAGAATTAGGTTATGTCTTTATTTGATTATTTTGTTGGAAAAACTTTAGGCCTACACATTTTTTATTTTCTCTAATACATAGTAGCCTAGAGACCAAAGTTTGTTAAAAATGTAGTCACCAATTCATCTCTAAACCGAAAAGACCTTAAGACGTTAAGGCCTGATACATTCTAATTTTTTTAGGTGCAGAATGAAATGTTTTGAACGTATAACTGAAGAGGATCAATTAGATATTCTAAATAGAGGAGGAAGCTTTCAAAACAAAGATGAACAAGATTTATTTTATCAGTCATTAATAGAAGCCTATCCTGTTAAAACTAGAAGATCAAGAGTTACTACACAAACTGAAGAAGAACCTAAGCCTAAGCATTCTGTTGCACATGAAAGTTCTTTTACCTTTCATGTACTGGTTGGTGAAAAAAGAACTAAAGTTTGCAAAAAGGCTTTTTTGAGTTTGTATGGAATAGGCGATAAAAAGGTTAGAAGACTTAAAAATTTACTTTTAAAAGGTAAGTCGCCTAGAGACTTAAGAGGACAGCAGATGAATAGGAAAACGTTTCCTAAAGATTATACGGATCAAATAAAAAAGCACATTGAGTCCTTCCCTTTAAAAATAAGTCACTACTCATCTAAGGAAATTAAGTACTTAGATGCCAACCTTGATATCAAGAAAATGTACAATCTGTTCTTAGACAAATTTGAGGGAAGCGATGTAGTTTATAGCTACTATTATAAAGTATTTAAAGAGCATTTTAACTATCGGTTTGGAAGGCCCCAGATTGACACATGCTGTGAGTGTGAAATGCTTAATACTCGCATTAAAAACCCTCAACTAAATGAGACTGCTAAACGAGTAGCTGAAGCACAGCTATTAGTTCACAAGAAGCGTAGTAACAAATTTTATAAATCAATTAGTGAGACCAAAGATTACTGCGCCTCACACAAAAACGCTTTACTTTTATGTTTTGACTACTGTGCTAACATATCTTTGCCAACCCTTCCAGTTCAGGACGTGTATTACCTCAGACAGTTGTCAGTTTACCCATTCGCTATTCACAATAGCAATAATGACTCAGCAACTTTTTACCTATACCATCAAGGTGTTGCTGCTAAAGGTTGCAATGAAGTTTGCTCTTTCATACAAAAATACATTAATGACAATGTACCTGCAAATGTTGATGAATTGTACCTATACAGTGATAACTGCACAGGTCAAAACAAAAACCACACCATGATCAGGTTTTTGCAATATCTCATAGACAGTGGAAGATTTAAAAAAATTGTGTATCGACTTCCAATAAGAGGACACTCGTACCTGCCATGTGATAGGGTATTCGGCGTTGTAAAAAGAAAATTAAGAAGATGCGATCGCTACTATACCGTAAAAGAGGTAACGGAAATGATAATAAGTGCTTCAGTACAAGGGAAGTTTACGGTGGACTTGGTAGACAAAGATGACATTTTGGATTTCCAAAAGTGGTGGCCCAACTTTTATAAAAAAAGCACTTTCTCAGAGGAAACCAAAACTGAAAAGAGGGGGAAAAGGGAGTATTTTACCATAACTTCTTATCATGAGTTTTCTTTTCACCATTCCAAGAAAGGTCAAGTGGTTGTTTCGGATTTTATTGGTGGATTTCCTTCAAAGACCTTTAATCTTGCTAACCAATCAAATCAACAGGTTGAAATTTCACCTCCCACTGACATTCTGTATAAAGAAAAAGTTCCTATACCAAAGAAGAAAATGGATGACATCAAGAAGCTTGTCCAATACGTTCCTCAAGAACACCTAGCCTTTTACCATGAGCTTGTTTGTTGGCCAACAATTGAGAAAGACAGTTAAATAAGACTTTTTCTAACTCGATTCTATTTTAACTCATTATGAAATGTAATAATGTGTGTTTTTTTTACCAAAAATAAATTTGTATTTTAGTCACGCTTGAAAATAAAAAACGGGTTTTATGTTTTCAAACCTTTTTTTATGAAAGGGCTCATGTCAGTAGTTTTTAAAAATTTGTATAAAAATTAAATATAACATTAAAGTTACAAAAACCAAATTCTAATATTTTAAAGGATTAATATATCTAAAATAGCAAAAAAACTGAAACTAAGTATTGTAACTTAGCAACCAAACAGTTTTTCTTGATTTCCCAAAAATTTGGTTTCAATGACAACAGCCCTTTCATAAATAACTGATTCACTTGTTGAGTGCAATAATACTGTTTTTAAATTTTCAAAGCCATTTTCCGCAGTTAAATAAAGTTACAAATTTTGTTTTGACAAAAAAAATTACTGTGAAAATTATGAAATTAGCATGGGGTTAAGCTGTATGTTTCTGATACATCTGAACATGTGTTCATGAATCTAAATTTTTACTTTGGAATCACTGTTAACTGACACTGCAAGGTAAAAATAATGCAAAGGTTCGTTTCCACTAAACCTTATTTTTCATCTAGTTGCACATATTATAACACTATATATTTCTAGAACCCTGGAGTATTGTTGTGGTAATTTCAGATGAAGAGAACAGTTAACAAACTAAAGTCCTCTAAAAATACTACGCAAGACATTTTATATGAAGATTATAGAAAAGGACCATTAATTTACAAATTACATCAACCCCTCCCCCCTGCCACAAATAAACGTGTGACAGAGATTGAGCAAAATATCCATGGGACCATTGAATATACAACATTTTGCTTCTATTATCTAACCCTATAATTTTTACTGCTTTCAACAGTGTTTATTTTATAATCCTTTTAATGCCCTTGTGTCATGGACTTTTCATAAACAGAATAGTTATACCCATGTATGGTACAGTCTTTTTTTTTTTTTTTTCTACGCCAGTGGCATTTCACACGAGAAGTTACGAGAGATCAAAGTTTAGTGGATGTGCCGGGGATTGAACCCGTCCCTCCCCAGTCCGTCCCGTCAGTCTTGGATGTATAACCTTAACTTTATGCAGTGGTCAACAATTTTAGGAATATAAACAATAGGGAAATAGTTATATTTAGAGAGAATTATTTCTAAAAAAAAATGTAAGCAGTAGCACAATCTCTTTGCAAGCCATGCATATAAACAGTAAACACACAAACTGCCAAAGAGGTTTTCCAAGGCCATTTGATGTCTGTGACAATGTCCCAAGAGAATCTTAACACCATAAATATTTGAGCATATCATGTAGAATGTGCGTTGGTTAAGATAATGGTAAAATGTAAACTAATTTGCATCACATATTCCACAGAAATAAATTTTTGACTTTTTTTTTAAACACATCTTGTACAAAATATATATAGTGGAAACGAACCTTATGGGACATAACAAGTGCTGTGGACTTAACTCTTCAAATCACTGTATTCCCAGTCTTTCCATGTTAATCATCAGAACAGAGATATGTACAAAATCAAACAAAACGTTGCTTTTCATACTCTGATGACATAAATTAAACATAGCATGTTTTGACTTTTGATTAATAAAGGGGTTCAAGTTGGGCAGTAAAATATGTAAATATGTTTAAAAATGAGTATCTTGTTCAGAATGTGTAGAAAATTCAAAATCGACTCATCGGGCAAAGTAAAATGCCAGAAAATTACGCCGCTAGGTAAGCCTATGTTGGTAATACAAAAAAAACATAATCATTAACGACTTTTTAAACCCTAGAACATTTGACTAGATTAATCTGGCGTTTTACATTGAGTTCCTGATAAAAATTAACAAAAAATTAAAACCCCTTATTTACTTAAGGATAATACAAATTAAGATATTTCAATACAACTCTAAAAAGATCCCTAGATGAACTATTGTCGGGACCACATAAGTTTGCAGTTGAGGGAGGAGCCTATTTACCATATGGTTTCGAATGAACCAATGAGAACGGTGCGGTGTTGCCAAATCTAATAATACCAGCTGATTTGAAAATATTGCTTTTATATTTTAATTAGTGTTGTCAATGGGTGATGTGGCAACGTCGCGCTAGCCTTGTCTTGTGATTGGCTGCCACCAACTGCAAACTTACGTGGTCCCGACAATAGGCCTACTATGTAATTTTTAATATTATAAGATATGTACACTGACACTTACCGATGATAATGACATTTAATAGTACAGAAAAACATATTTGAAAAATGATTGAAGGATAAACATTCACATATAGGTACTTTCTAAGAACGTTTGTTAGTGATCTTAAACTAAGTGAAACATACATTCAGTTTGAATAAGAGATTAAAGTAAACTAAACTCACAGAGACAAGAAATAAAAAACTACTTAGTTTTACTATGGTAAAAAAAAAACTTAACTTTTTTTAACTTAAATTTTTAAACTTAACCAAAACCTGTAGTCATTAAATACCAGATGGGATTATTCTGTGCAAAATCCCTACCACAAAAGAAACCCCACACTAAGTACCTTAATAAAAAAATCTTTTAATTCTTCTTTAAACTAAATTATCAACGTGGGTTATAAGAATAAGTTGATTAATTTTCATAGAAATTAATATTAATAAAGATGTTTCCACAAAATATGTAAAGTTAGATACTTTTTAAACTAACATGTTTCAATATCCTGAAGTTTTAGTAACAATTTACACTTGATATCAATTCATGCAGACACTCAACAAACAACATTCTTTATTAAGCACACTGACAGTCAATTGGCCGTTACTAACTGCATTAGAACTCCAACCACCCAGATTGCCAAATTGCGTACATCTTGCAGTGACACTATTGCATTGTTGTATTAATGAGCTTTCTAGTGACATCTTGAAAAATTTGACCATAAATTTTTTCATTATTATGATCGGATGGGAACCGGTCCCAACTGGTACGGATAGTTAGAGTTCTGCTGTATTTTAATATACCTTTCTCCTAAGTTACACTGAATTTACAATAAACTAGACAATGCAATCCAACAAGTGTCGATATGTCCGTCAACACAGATAGGAACTCAGTAGTACTCATTGAACGCATCATTAGCCGTGATCGGTTTCGGAATACGATCCGAGACCTTTCTTCTGGATCGCTACAGCTACAGCTTGAGCCAGAAAGTCAGTTTCACCTGCGTACTTCTCCTGCGGCTCCGATGTAGACGGGAGGGGAGTCGACGGTCGATGGTGGAAGGGCACAGGATGGGTTGAGACAGATGCTCCCAAGGAATGAGAGCATATACAGGGTTTCTGCAACCCGTGGCTCTGTATGGCCATGAGAACCGCTTGGTTCTCTATGCCTTCTCTATTGTGGATGGTGGGGAAGATGTCGAAACTGATGATGTCTTCGTTGTCCGGGGGTGGAGTGAAGCCCATGTCCTCTAGCACGGAGTTGATAGTGTTGTCTACTACGGCTCGTGCCATCTGTCTTGTCTGCCAGCGGCCAATAGGACACTCTGCTGCCTGCTGCGGCTGAGCCTGGGACTGGTGGCTGCAACTGCGCCCTCCTGCACAACCCAGGCATCACAAGTGGTAAGACATCCAACCCTTGGCACCATCTCAAGTACGCCAAAACCCAAAATAATGGAAAGTACGCCCACTATTTGACTTAATGATGAAACAGTGAAATACGTTTGATAATTTCTTGGTACTCATGGGACTTGTTAATTCTGTCATATTTTCATTAGATTAGACTAAACTCATGTACTTTGTTACACAAACTATGTTTTCATTCTGGCTTTAATTTTTAATTGAATGAGACTTTTGAGCCATTGAAAAAATAAAAATATATTATTTTTGAATTAATGATACGGATATTTATTATTTGACGGGATATTAACTAAATTAAACGGATTCTGATTACTTTATTTGTACTCTGTACATTACTTCTCTGTGATGTGAAAAAACAAGCACTTTGTTTAATTTCTTTTACTAAATTTATGAACTATGAGGTAGGTACGGTACTAAGTAAAAAAAAACTTCTATATTTGAGCTACATGAAAAAATTTTCAAATCTAGGTTAGAAAATGTTCTTACCTCTTGGTCTGTCCAAGCGACAACGTCCTTTAATCTGCCAAACATATCTAGCTTTTTTGAGTGGCCTTTCCTCGTCCACAGAGTCAGGCGACATACTTTGACTAGTCGACCCTTTTTCTTCATCCATCCTTCTGAAAATGCTTAACATTTTATACAGAATAACAGTGAAAAAACCACCAAATTGTAGCCCAGTGATATTGAATAATTGTAGTGAATTATGTTCTAATCCTATTTTTGCACAGAGATTTTGTTTAAGACTTTTTAGACAATCATCAGCGCCTTTTCACAATCATGATGATGATGAATAGCTACACTGATGACGTGTTGAAATTTTGAAAAAAAATAGGATTGAAAACATAAGCAAAACAATGTTTGTTAATTCAATAAGGTAGCCTATGTGCTTGGTACCAGTACGAATTTAACATCAACAAGAAAAAAAAGTATTATGTTTTAGTTTATTATTGCTATTTTAGCCCTACACAACATATTTCACCCTGAAAATTTTGTTTAAAAATTGCAAAAATGTTTTTACTCAGAAGATCAGGTTTAAAAAATCATAAAAACTGCAAAGTGCCGAAAATGCCTGGCCCACTCCTCTACCAAACTAAATATAATATAATATAATCTAACCTAACCTAACCTTGGTTTAACAAAAGATCCGTCATTTTCGGCATATTGCTAACCTAATTAAGGGTTAACTTAGGTCAAGTATGGTTAGGTTACGTTGGATTAGGCTATATTTAGTTTGGAAAAGGAGTGTAGTTACCAAACTAAATATTATAAGGTACTGTAACTTAATCCAACCCATGCCTAGTAGTGATGCGTGATTGCGAGATGTTTGAACAATCGAAATGTTCCTTCTCGAGATGTTCCGCTTATCGATTGTTTCGATTGCTTAGCGAGAGGTTTGTACAATCGAGATGTTTCTCTCGATTGTTGCATTCATAAAGCCTCTGTTCATTAAACGTCTGTTCGCATCTATACATTTCATGAGAGTTGTTACAAGGATGTTAGTTCCTTTTCTGGATTCTTATAGAATAGTAGACTATTATGCACAACATATATACTTTTGACAAATGAATAAGCACTTAAGTCACTCCGTCATGGCAACAGAAATAGAAAATTATTTTCGCTTCAGTGTCCTCTCCGTTGCAAAGCACGGGTACAGCAGCTAGTGGTAAATAATACTGTTAACAGTGTTAACAAAACATTTATGAGAACCTTCTGTCTCACATTTTTAAACATTTTGATTTAAATACAACCATTTTGTTTGTAAAATATCTCGTCTTGTCAATAGTTTTTATTGAGTGGTATTAGTCACTATTCCGTAGATAAAGTACAGTAAGTAATATATACATAAACCTTCCTTGGTTTTGAAGTAAGATATACCTCTTATTGGGGCTCAATCCCCGGCAGATACAATAGAACTTAGATGATAATAAATGACGATGCCGCATACTTAACAAAACAATCCCCATGAACATCTCATTCTCGTTAAGGACTTCTAGCCTCTCGGTTCTCTAGACGAATGCGAGTACGAGAGAAGAGAAGCCGTGCTGAACGAAACAATCGTCACGAACGTCTCGTTAAAACCTCTCGGTAATAACCTGTCGGTCCCCTAGACGAATGCGAGAAGCGAGAGCGAGATACAAGAGAAGAGAAGCCGTGCTGAAACGAAACAATCTTCACGAACATCTCGATATTTAAAACCTCTCGCTAAGCAAAAGTACAATGAAAACGTCTCGAGAGGTTCAAACAATTGAAACGTTTCGATTGCAGCATCTCGCAATCGCGCATCACTAATGCTTAGGTTAGCAATATGCCGAAAATGACGGATCTTTTGTTAAACCAAGGTTAGGTAAAGTTAGGTCAAGTTAGTTTGGGTTAGGTTAGGTTATATTAGGTTAGGTTAGGCCTAGGTTATATTAGGTTAAGTTAGGTTAGGTTAGATTATATTGTATTTAGTTTTGTAGAGGAGTGGGACGGGCATTTTCAGCACTTTGCAGTTTTTTGATGGTTTTTCAAAACCTGATTTTCTGGATAAAAACGGCAGTTGCCGAAAAAGTGTCAGAGGGTGTTTAAAATGTCCTAAATAATAGTAAATACGCATTAAGTTACCTAAAAGTATTTTTAAAAATACCGATTTTTAGTAGGCCAACTTTTTTGCGATTTTTAGAGTGTAATAGGCGTTTGCCCCAAAAGTGCCAAATGTAAAAAGTATTCATAAATTTCAGTTATTCAATTCATGAGAAAACTCCATTTTTTCAAACTTTGTTAGAAGCCCCTGAGGTAAACAAAAACCACCTTGCTCTGGGCATATGGAACAAAAACATGATTCTTTACAGCTAAGTTAGTTATCTTACTCAAGATTCAAGATGTTTTTGTTACATAGTTAGTTTAGCCTAGCTGAAGATCCTTGTTTGAGCTAATCAAATCGTGGGGTACAAACATTTTCAAAGGCATACGGTACTACTAGTCCTATCAGGCATAGTCAATATTAACCCTTGAAAAAAGGGCTCAAACAAATTGTAGCAATCAACCGTTTCTGACAGACATTCCATTTTATATCAATTTAAAAATCAATAAAAAGAGTAAATTAATTTATTGATGCATTTGCTTATGACATTACCTGAGATTCTTTTATGTCCTTGTGACAACTTGAAGAAAGTCTCACCCTGAATCCACTAAACTTGCAGTTTACATGGCCTACAGTAGAGTAGACTAACTTAAGCTAAAAACTTGCGTAGAAAAAATCACTCACAAAATTGGCTGGTTAAGTTTCATAGTAAAAGTACTGGTACACAACATAAAATACCTACAAATTTGAAACTTTGAAATTATTTCAAAAATAAAATGTAAACAACATTTTGCTGTTTTGTCGTGACAGGGAACAAACAACAAAACAATAATAATAGAGAGTTAATTATTATTATTAGCTAGAAAAAAACTGATCAGTGACAGATTACGTAGGTCAAAGAGTATAAAAGTAAACTAGACATAGAGGTAAGAGTCATACTATACAAAATGTACCATCGATTTTTCTTTAATAGGAAGTTTATTGCAAAGAATAGACTGTATTTCTGTAAAATAAGGTTCCTACGTACTGAAATAAGGATTATAAGTAAATAATTATAGAATAGTCATATTTATTTATAGACGAGCATGTTTTTTTAAACCCTTTCCTCTCAGCATGTGTGAATCGCAGTGAAAATCTACACATATACTGTTAGAATTCCTTTAAATGTGCAGAAACCCTTTAGTACAAATTAAAATAGGCAAAAAATAAGCACAAAAATTAATTTAAAATAATAATAATAACACGGGCCTTATGGGTTGCCAAGATGGTGACGAAATATAAACAGAAAAGAACATCAAAACAAATGGAATAAATTCCAATCACATGTTTTATTTACAGCGTGGGGTGAAAATAGAGAAGTCTGTATAAATTTTTGGACTGGACGACCTCTAGTGTTGAAATAAGACTTGGGAGCTAGTTTGACATTGACATTATTTTTAAACCCTCGTCTCAGTTAGAAAGGACTGTGGCCATCTTTCATTGTAATTAACTGTAGGTGTAAGAATCGTCAAGACCAGACCGTTTTTCATGAGGAGTGGGGAAGACTTATATTGTGTCAAGTACAAATACCAAGTACATAATATAAATCTATATTATCAGCACAGAGAATTGCAAGGTACAGAAAAAAACTAGCTCATGAGTCGTGGGACGACAGCTTTCAGCTTTAGTATGTTGTGTCGGAAATGTACTTCTGACGCCGAGTAAGGAAAAGCCCAAACTGCGAGCACGGGCCACGGCCGCCTCCAGGCCGTGGCCTGGTAGAATTGGCAACGTCGCAAGTAGGGCTGTTTAGTGTCAGACGTCCCATAAGATAACATGGCAAACAGGTGACATCCGCTCATTAATTCATGCTTTATAGATTTAAATTTATGCACATAAATTTAAATATTGAAAATAAAACATACAGAATTGAAACATAAACAATGTTAAAACAATTAAAACATCAGTGTGTCTGTGGTGAAATCGTAGACAAGAGAGGTTTACACCCGTTATCCTGTATCAAAAGTTCTGGAAGATTTTTCCGACACGCTAAAGTTAACAATCTGATAAAAAAAAGCTTTGGTGTGTGCCGACATCCCAGCCCAACTGGAACCAACAGGTCTTGACCGAAATGATGGGAAGCGGCCAGATGGAGCCACAATCACCCCCTCTCCCCTGGAGCAAGGGCCAATGTCTAATCTAGGATTTCACTTGCTCTGATACTTACGCAGTGAGTTATATAAATCAAACAAAAAAGCAAACCGGAGCAGCAGCTGAAATGGCCACCCAGAGAAAACGTACAAATATTACGTCAAAAGGATACCAGTTAATCGTCTTGGGTGTGGAAACTGCTGGGCCATGGTGCAAGGAAGGCAAAGAACTGGGTAAATGAAATAGGTCGCAAGCTAATTGAAAAAACAGATGACTATAAAGCGAGGGAGCAAGGCCACACTTAGTGTGGCATTGGAGGGGCTACCTATAAAAGTTCAACGAATTGCCATGGTCATACAAAAAGGAAATGTCGCCAGCATCATTAGTTCCTCACCCACAGACGACGACCTTTCTTCAATATTTTATCTATAAAATTATTGTAAAAATTTGTATAATGTATTGTAAAAATTGGTATATTAAAAAAAGTTCATTAAAACATTAACAATATTAATTAAAAATCTATGTCTGTACATTTTAAGCGGAGACAATATTGTCATAGTCCAGGAACCAATCTTTCGTAAATATATGTACACAAATACTATTAGCCAAATCCTACGGCCACCTTTAACTCCAGGCCGCGGCCTTCGAAGTGGAAACATCGCAAGTAGTGTTGTAACAACTGTTTTGTTTAGAGGCAGCTAATAGTATTTGTGTATTTTAGCGAATTCCCCTATAGGGAAGTACCTCGTAGGTTGCACGGTAAGACGGTAAGACTTAGGCCTGGGGCCGATTTTCTTTTTCATTTGTTTGTACACACAGGCCAAAAATACCATCCGTTCAAATTTTATATACGTACCAAATTTCATCAAAATCAGACAACAGGTGTGGTCTGTAATTCTGTACACATCCACACACACACATCACTCTTCGAAAACCACTTTTTGGGGGTTCAGAAGGACCCAAAACAGATATATCCACTCAAAACTCACACATTATGAAAACAATACTTTCTCCATATACTATGTATAGGGGGAGAAAGTAAAAACATCTCCTGAGCTGATCTTGTGATTAAGTCAATAAAGTTACCTTGTCAAACTGCAGGAGCTGATTGACTGACGGTAATTTTTTTAAATTTCTTCTAACCCCTCAACAGAAGAACATTATTTTCGGAACAGTGGAATAGTGAAAGTAATGGAAAGCTCCAAAGACATCCTTTAAGTACGGTATGCAGCCTCACAGATCCTCCACTGGTACAAACGTCAGTAGCAGGACTTAGGGGTCGGTACTTGCTCCAATACTGTTCATCCGTTGCATGGATGTTCAAAGGGAAGAAATATATTTTACGCCACACTACATTATTTTGAAGAACTTCCCACGCAAGGATTTAGTCCAGAAAACAGCTGTTTGCCGCCAGCTTATTCAAATGGGGTTTCATTGCGTACTACTGTGCTGCAATGAGTTTTGCCGGACACCAATCAGCTGATTATACTGTATTTAGGTGGCAGTGAGTGGTTATAAACAAAAACAAAACCTCTCTTAGAGGTTATGACTAGTGATTTTTAGTCCTTTAGTTGGTGGAAATATATAAGGATTTGATTATAACAGGTTACATACCTTGACGTCCACAATTCCTTAGTCGGTGTCTGTTGACTATAGTTTCGACTACTACGTAGTCATTATGAAAAACAGAACGTTAAAATAATTACATTCGTTGAATGTCGTCAAATCTTAAGTATATCGAACACACACACAAACATAACACGAACACGGTAGACATTTAACGTAATTGGCCGGCCGGCCACGTCACTGAACTGGTCGACGACGACTGAGATAGTAATAGCATTGAGTCGTCGTCGACCAGTTCAGTGACGTGTGCCGGCCGGCCAATTACGTTAAATGTCTACCGTGTTCGTGTTATGTTTGTGTGTGTGTTCGATATACTTAAGATTTGACGACATTCAACGAATGTAATTATTTTAACGTTCTGTTTTTGATAATGACTACGTAGTAGTCGAAACTATAGTCAACAGACACCGACTAAGGAATTGTGGACGTCAAGGTACGTAACCTGTTATAATTGATTACCAATTCCGGAAGGCTTCAACATGAATAAATAAGGATTTGTACGGATTTAGTAGTATGGCGTAAACTATCGTACGTAACTCGTCCAAAATGTGTGTACCGGACTCGTATGGTAATCCCGTACTCGACTTCGTCTCGCACGGGAACGACCACACTCGTCCGGTAAACACTTATTTTCAGGACTAGTAACGTAATATACTATTTCCTACAGTCACCCGACAAAGTTGGCTTCCTTGTACTGTTTATAGTACAGAAAGCTGCTAATTGCTGCATATTTATACTTTGCCGCACATCAGGATTCCAACGAAACAACACAAAACAGCGTGGTTCTATTATGCACGTAATCCGTGTACGCTTGGAAATAGGTTGGCAACACTTAAAGATAATAATACTATGAGCAGCTGATTGACTATTATAACTACGATTTAACCTGTCATTTCGCGTTTATAGTTTCGGTATTTCTGAACGTTCTGGACTTTTCTTTTAAACGTTTTTAAAACATTCCTACGATCTTAATAAACAATAAAATACATTTAAAGCGTTTTTTTTAGGCGCGGAAACCACTTCAAATTACAAAAACAATACGGAACTATATTATATTCTTAAAACGCGGAGCACATTTCTTGCCGAGGAAAGGAGTGATACGGACAGCGCGTACTACTTTCTCTAGGGCACCTATTTGTGTTGCCAGCTGAACCTAAAAACGTGTTGTATAGTGTTTGAAAGACTAATTATTTATATACTTTATAGTGACTGTAGGAAAAATATAATGTGTAACACGAGTGAAAAAGGCCTTTGCTGCACTCGAGATCATTCCGCACTCGCCTGCGGCTCGTGCGTAAACATTGCTCTCGTGTGCAGCAAAGTGCCACTTTCACCACTAGTTACACAAATAACTATTTCTCTGGCAACAACTATTTTGCTGTGTCTATTCTCACCCTACAAAACTAAGGCGGGTCACACACATGTGCATCTCGCACGGTGCGACTAGCATTTTTGATGCCAGTAGCACTGTGCAAGATGCATGCATGCTGCAAGGTCGTGGTACAGGCACTTGCTAGTAGCAAGATGAGAGGGTGATGCATTTTGGCACTCAGTTCATTGGAAAATGTCAACGTCATCGGTTGATGAAATACTTTAGGTTAATAAAATATTGGGTACCCCCTTATTGGCGCCAAAATGTTGAAAGTAGCCAATACATGAACAGCTCTTGGAACATCCAGAGAAGTTCCAGAAGTTGTACCGCATGTTGAAACACATTTGAGATGCATATGTGTCTAACCGGCCTAATATTCATGTATACAAGACATTTGCTTGTTGCAGTGGTTTGATGAAAATCTCATATTGATCTCAAACAAAAACACACCTTGCTATTTTATCGATCAGGAAAAACGAAAAAGAAAATATCATTTTGGTGACACAGAAATTGAAACCACTGCTAAATTCCAAGGGGTTTTGTCGGACGAGAATATTTTAAACCCCAAATCGGTTCTGTCTGTAATAAGTCCAGAAATTTTTCGTCAACTAGCAAAATCGCAAAAACATTCAGTCATGTAAGAATATGGATTTGAATTTTCGGCAATGGGAAGTGGGAACATAAAAATGTTACAAAAATGTATCTTTTGGTAATATTCTCTTTATTAACAAGTAGTAATGCACACCACTTGATCCAGAGAATGGAAACCCTCCAAAATATAATACAATAAAATTATTTCGATTCCGTACTATTTACAAAACATTAAAACAATAAAATTATGAACAGTCATAAGTCACAGATATAAGTCAGGCATTATAAAACAAAACAAACTCCTGTCCAGCTACTTATAGCTACAACTACTCGTGTCTTGAAAATTTTTACAAAACATATTTGTACATGTCAGTCGCTCAAGAAGTGGAATGCTTGGAGGGACGAACTGTCGATCTTCCAGCATCCCTCTTGAGGGTTGACCATTCAAGAGATACAGTATCAGACTAGAACCATTGTCATCCTGAAACAGATAATAAAATATAAAAGCTAGACATTTACCAACAGATATTTTAATACAGTAGAGAGCGATGATTATCCTAAGGCTAGGATTATACTAGGACGCTGGCGTCCGGGACGCTAGCGGGGCATTAAATCAAATGGGGGCGATTATACTAGGGATGCCAGCGTCGGATGCTAAAAAAGCCACCGGACGCTCGATTTTGTGCCTCCTTGGGAACGGGGTTTTATGGGGTAAAAAACGGGTTTTGTCATATTTCTCTCTAGGATATTTTAATTAGCTTAAAAGCATATAATTAAGTATATTAAAGTGTTTTTGTACGGTTATTAGTTACGTATAAAATTCAAATAAGTGTAAATTTAAAATTTCCATGTTATTCTTATAGAAAATATTTTTAACTGTTGGAATTTACTTGTGTATGGATATATTTTGGTCAAACTTGGCCAATTTGTTTCATACTAAGCTATTAATATTTTACTAAAAACACACAATAATAGCAGCAAATCTGGGTACTCGTTAAACCTAATGTTATTTAAATAGATATAAACAAAAAGTGACAAAACATTGAAATAAAATGGCAGTCCGAGAGGCTAGCATCCCAACACAAATCACGTAATTTTAGGCTCGACTTGGGACGCTAGCCTCTCGGACGCCAGCATCCCGGACGGCGTCCTAGTATAATCCTAGCCTAAGTCTGGTCATCAAAGCTTTAGTTGGCTTGACTGAAAAGAAGAAGGAAACAAACAAAATCTATACTTCATTCAAAGGCTTAATAGTCCTTGGAGCCTAGACATTCTAACTCATAAAACAATTAAAATACCCCCGCCGCAGCAAACCTGCAGACTAAACGAATTTACTTTTGTCTGAATTAATTTTCAATTAAATCTATTTAAATAACATTAGGTTTGAACAGTAAATAGGTTTGCTGCAACAAGGAAACTAATAAAGTAAGTTTTTTGGTGAAATATTAATAGCTTAGTATAAAAGTTTGCCAAGTTTGATCAAAATATAAACAAGAAAACAAAGAAAGAAAAACAAACAACAAAACAAAAAAACAAAGAAAGAACAAAGAAACACAACAACAACAACGAAACAAAAAAGAACAAAGAAAAAAGATAAACAAGAAAACTACAGCATTTTATGGGAATTTTAAATATATAATTTTTCTTGGAATTATCTCCCTTAACAATAACCGTACAAAAACACTTTGATATACTAAATTGTTTGTCTTTATAAGCTCTTTAAAAATGTCTAGAGAGAAATTGGGAAATTTTTTGTTTTGACGGCAAAAAATGAGAAAATCCAATTTTCACCCCTTAAAACACCACTCCCATGGTCCGATCATGCTGGTTCACAAACTCATTCAAGTTTATCCCGCCTTACATCTAGAAACCAAATTTCATCAAAATCTGAAAAAAATGTCTCAAATTATTGTGTTCACGAACACATATACATACATATATACAAATCTAACGAATGGTGTTTTTGGCCTCTGGGTACCTACATCAAAATGAAAAAGTAAATCGGTCCCGGGCCTAGGTCTTACCGTGCCACCTACGGTAATACTACTTCCCTATAGAGAAATTCACTGAAAAAACAACAAGAATGACAAAATCAGAAAAATATGTATTTTTGTAAGTAAGATAAATATAAAAATATCATCAGTTTAAATACCTATAATTTTCCCATCAATATAAAATCTCCAAAATCATCCAAAATTTTAGTTGTCCAAAGCAAATAGCTCGAATAGAGAAAACCCCGAAACAGGGACAAAAGCATTGCCAGATGGGATTTTACGGGAATATTTTGTACCAACCTACACTTAAAAAAAAAATAAAGCTAACAACCGACTATTGTTATATACAAGAGGTTAAATTACCTTTTTCTTTCCAAGTAATCCTAGTAGTTTTTTTGACAACTATGGTGTCATTGTCAAGCTGGATGTAAAATTTATCACTCATAGGAGTTTGTCAAGTCTTAAAAAACACAACGCCTACAAGTAAACCTCAAATGTAAACCTACCAGTGATGAATTTCACGTTGAGTTTGACAATGATGCCATATGTGTCGAATTTGTTCACAATGAAGAAGACTTAGGGATTACTTAGAAAAATATTTCAATGTAGTTTATGTATAGTATCTTTGAGTATGGATAGAACTAGAGATTTTACTCCCATGTTAAAAGTTGTAACTAGTAAAGAAAGAAAAAAATAAGGTAAAATGAATTCAATTAATTGTGTAACCAGCATAGTGTGCTAATGTAGATTACCGATTTATCTCAAGTAAATTTAATTTTTTAGCTTTTTAGCAAAGCCAAACTGAAAGGACCACTTATTAGAAGCATCTCTTTTATCAGTAATTTTATAAAGGAGAAAATATTCTTAGATGCAAATATGTTGTGCAGGGATACGGGCTCATTCAACAGCAGCCGGTCCATTTATATGAGATATCTACAATACCTGTATGTAGGGACTGGGCGGCTTGCTGGTGGTTGTATCTGTTCAACAGAGCAGCCAGTGTGTTCCGCACGCCCTCGGTGGCAAGACTAGAGCGTGCGCCAGCACTCACCGCGTTGTCCCCAGCGTAGACTGCGTGAGCGTCAAACCCGCTCTCACCTGCGGCACCGCTCACTGTCACACAGTAGCAACCAAGGTCTACTCTAATCTATTTGTGTTCACTTGGTCAAATTCTTTAATCCTTTCAAAGCAAGTTTTTGTTTATTAGATGTTTTTATGTTTTCTATTTTTTTAGATTAATGAAATTACAGATAATGTTCAGTTAGCCTACAGAGTGTAGCATGTTGTGGACATCACTGGTAAAAGAATATGAAAGGGCTAACTGGAGTTTAAGCCCTCTTTTTAAGGGATTAAGGTATTTAAAGTTGCGGTCAAACTACATTGAATATAGTATAATTTTAATCGGCAGACTCTAAGCTTTGTGCCAAGGTCTGTTTCGAAACCTTTTACTCCAAGGGCCGACCAATATGATCGCTTGGAATAACGACAACATTACGTCAGCTGTCTGTTGTTTTGAGGTTTAGTTTTGCGTTTTGTAGTAAAATAATGCTTTAAAAATGAATATCAGTGACATTCGTCGATGTTTTGAGTTCAGTGATAGTGAAAGTGATCCCGACAATCAACTTCTTGACAATGTCGACCTTGATCCCGAGCTTGAAGGTAGCAACTTGGATGTTAGCATCGAATCTCTCAGAGATTATTCTTCTGGTAGTGGAGACGATTACTCTCCACATGATAGTGAATTGGAGGCTTCTGATTGGGAAAATAATAATTTAGAACGTGAACCCGAACCGGAATCTGAACCTGAACCGAGGCCTAGGCCACCAACTCGAGACCCTATCTTGGACAACTGGACACAAGTTCGCCCACCAGAACCACCTAAAGATGTTACTCCTCAGTTTAAGGTAAGAGAAACTGGACTAAAAAATGCACCCCCAAGAAATAGTAGCCTCATTTATTATTTATTTCTTTTTCTCACTGCTGGTTTCTGGCATAGGATAACTAGAGAAACTAATGCATATGCAGAAAGGGTTCTTAGTAAGGGCAATATGACCCCTAACTCCCAACTAAGAAAATGGAAAAAATGAAATGAAGACGTGGTTTGGGGTATTGCTGAACATGGGCCTAACTGCAAGAAAAACATAAAAAAGTTATTGAGACAGTAGACCATCACAACAAACTTGTTTTTATTCCAAAACCATGCCTAGAGATAGATTCAATCAGTACTTTTATCCACAAGAAATCTGCGCTAACACTTCCAAAAGGGGATCCCAACTATGACCCTTGGGTTAAGATAAGGTGGATGCTAGACAATGTAAACAAATGTTTCAAACAATATTTTGTTGCAAAAAGGATGTTTGCATCGATGAAAGCCTTATTGGCATGAAACACCGCTTCGCGTACGTTCAGTATCTGCCTAAAAAGAAGCACAAGCAGTACGGTATTAAGAAGTTTCAGTCCTGTGATAGCCGTACTAACTATGTGATACATATCGAACTGTATAGCGGCACCGACTACCTGGCAGTACCTGATCTGAGAACCGCTCCACTCTTTACACAACGTGTGGTTATGGAAGTCATGGAGAAAAGCAGTCTGTTAGATGAGGGACAATTTTTACACTAAAATTTCCCTTGCTGAACAGCTTCCCCAGAAGAAATACATTCCTTACAGGAACTATCAATAAGAAATGCAAACATTTGTGTAATGAAGTAAAGAGAGGAAAGCTGGGAGAAAGAGAAAGTATTTACAACAGAAATGGAGATGTTTTGTTGGTCGGATTTAGACAAAAGACGAGTAGAAAACCTGTTCTACTTGTGACTAGGAAACCACTCCTTATACATAAGTATAATCAATCAATGGGAGGGGTTGACGTTAGCGATAAATCAGTCTATCATTTATCGTGCAACCGACCGACGTCCAAATATTGGAAGAAGATTTTTGGCAAGAGGAAGCTTGCACAAAACTCCGATTCCGACTCTGACTAAAAGAATGGGACCTCCGTGTATAGAGTATAAAATATAACTTAGTTCCCCTTATTTTTTAACAAATGAATTAGCCTACCTCATCGAGTTTTTAGGTTGAATTGGAGCTTTTTTATTGATTTCAACATTCATAAGATGAATTTTTAAAAGAAAATTTGGTGATTTGAAGACAACGCATTGTCAAAAAACTTTGTAAGTAATTTGCTTGCATGTTTCTTGTAAATACTGTTATTCTGAACAAATAAATGTATATGACATATAATAGTTTGCATGAGTTCTAACATGTTTATGCAATTTTATGCAAATAATCACCATGAATCAGCAAATGGGTTTTCATCGTATATTTCTATGTTAGGATTGTTAGTTTTTATGTATAAAAGTGAATACACTTGTCTTGTTCCTTATCAAATTTACTACAAATTGGCTATCTTTTTTGTATAAACTGAAATAACTGTATTGCTTTCTTGTAGACAATTTTATGCTGAGTAAAATAATATACAATATGTTATGGTTTGCATAAGTCTTATGATTTTTATCATTTTTTTAAAATAAAGAGTGCGAAAACACCAAAAACGGCTTAGTCCCAAGGCATAAAATGCATAATCCTCAGAGGGTTAATTATAAACAACTCTTTAAATTAAATAGAACTTGATTCAACAAATAGAAAAAATAGTACTAACTTAATTATTAAGTCAGCATAATTGCAATTCTAAAAAAAACCTGTACAAGAGGATTGAAAATGAAAGTGGTGTGACTAGCATTATTTGGTTAATTAACTGTGTAAACAAACCTTGAGGATAGAAAACATGCTGTTTCGGATCCAACTTCTGGGGTTTGTGCGAGTTGGCCCCAGCCGCTTGTCTCAGCTCAGAGCGTAGACTGTCAGTCAGCTGGTACGTCATCGGATCCACCTGTGACATCCCCACCATTACACTAACATTACAGTACCTATGGACGAGTTGCCTTGTGTAGTGTAGTCCCATTACTGATTAAGAACAGCTGTGTCTATAGCAAGGACTATTTTTTCAATGTCCATTGATTAAGGGACCTAATCAGAGTTTCTGACTTTTCTCTGAATCAAATTCGCCACTTTTTGATGGTAGACAAGCACTATAACCAGTCTATAATCTATAACTATAACTAACCTATAACTATAATCAGTCTAGGAATGGTTCAGCTTGTTACCTGAGACAACTGGTCGAGTGAATAAAAGATACACAATAAAATATCACTTTAGACTAATAGAATACGGACATTTTGTCCTGGACTTTACAAAATAGGATGAAGAGAAATAAGTTTAAATCATGTATTAGATAAACTCTAATAATGTGTGGGTTGGGTAAGGATTACAAAAACCTGTGTTCTTCATTCCATTGGATCTAGAAATGGAAATTAAATGGCACTTGACTGTAGTAGTGTGCGATGCATCAACATTTTGATTCGATTCGGCATGCATAAAAAAATATTGGTACATCAACTTAGTCTCAATGAATAGATTTTTTCCTTTGATTTTTTTTTAAATTTCGCACATTTATTACATATTTTGTATTAATGTAACAAATAGAAAATAAACACTGATTATTAATTTGTTTGGTTTGTCCTGATTCTAAGAATGAACCCAAAGCTTTAAAAGCCAACAATTAAAAGTGGAAATACAGTTAGGCCTACATCATATGTAAAATAAACCAAATTTTATTTAATACAGCTAAATAATGAGAACGATTACTTTGGTATATGCTTATTCAAATTGTTAGTGGAGTCTGGATTTTCTTAGGCTAACCATAAAACCAGCAGTGTAATAAAATCAGGAGGTTAGGTCAGCAACTATTCTCTTGTTCACAAACAATTTTATTCACAACAGTTTTTTACTTTAATCTTTTTACAAGGTACGGTACCTAAATGATCCATTACAGTAACGCAAGTTGTAAATAAATTAGAAAGAAAAACATGCCGTGCTGCATCGAATCAATTTTAAATTCTTTTAATTACATCGATGCATCGAATTGCAAAAGAATGCTGCAACGCACACCCCTAACTTAACTGACAATATTCAAGATTGTGGTTGTGTTCAATAGGTTCAAGTGTGGTAAGAAATAAAGCTATATCTCATGAAACCTGGACTGCATGGTACATACCTCCTTGTCACTATGCAGCGACATCAGCTGTTGTACTCTGATGGGTTGCCGAGACAACAGTGCGTGAGCTATGCCAGACAGCTGATTCTGCAGTAGGTCTTCCCCTCCACCACCCTCACCCACTATGGGAGGAGTCCTTGACTCACTGTGGTTTGAGGAGGTGGATATGGACATCGGCCTAACCCCTGCAACAAAGCATTTTATTTTTGGTAAATGGCTTTTTGGTTCAAACAATAACCTAATATTAACAAACCCCTGAATTAATAACCTATATCAATTTGGATGAGTAAGATGATTTAAATACAAGGTATTAATTTTGTAACTGTTATACATCTTGTTTATCTGTCTGAGATACTTACTAAATACACTAAACAAAACAGGCAAGCGAAGTCCCATTTGTTTAAAGCATTTATTTTTATAGTTTTTTTTCAGAAACTGTTTTGTAAGTGCCACACAGTTATTGGATTAGATGAGTTTTAGTTGTATGTATTTACAGAAGAATGTAAAACAAAACTTGCATAATCAACATGCACGGTCATAGTAGACTAGAATAGCCTTGAAGAGATGACTGCATAGTTAAACTGGCAATATACTGGTTGACATTTCGGATGCATTGCAGTAATTAATCCTGAGGGCAAGCTTTGATTCAACTGATATGGACATTCAGTTAAACTGTGACTTTCCCTGATAGTAAAAGCGCATACAAAAAGTTGACCAATATTTTTTTGCTGGTACTACGACAAATTATTTTCAAGATTCAACAAAATTAAAACTTTCCAAAACTTCTCTGTGCACTGTATAAATTGTTCTCTTTCAAAACAATGACTAAATAAAACAGATTTCTTCTACATGTTGCAATAATTGCAGTACCTGCGTTGACCCTGGACGCAGGCTGTGGCGGAGTATTGGTCTCCAATGGTGATTCAAGCATAGCCTGAGGTCCCGCGGGATGATACATCTCTCTGCTCATGAAGCCTGCCTCCATCTTCAGGGCTTTAGATGAGCTACAAACAGATCTTATTGTTACAATACAACCAAATAATGGAAATGAGAATATAGACACAAACGGTTTTTGTAAGGGTAGGAGACCTATCGAAATGGGAAAGTCCGTCACAAGAAACACATCACTTTACATTATAGTCCTACCAAAGAATTCTTCCCACTCCAACTCAAACCTTCCTTGATAAAAAATTATGTCAGCGCAGAGAAATACTCTGATCTTAGTGTATAATTAAAATTTTGCGTTTCTTGTGGATAAGAGGACTCTTGCCCATTCAGGTAAGCCTGTTATCCTTACACAAATCATCCATATGCTTTAGGTCTTTTAATGATTCAAGGGGGTTCATTTACTGTTTGTTTAGTGTTATAATATTTTAAATAAATTGAACTAATATCAGTTTCAATGCTATTTACAGTATACAAACATTATTAAGTGTAAGTGATGCAAAATTTTAAGTACCCCATGGCTATGAAATTTAACAATTTAAATTATTGTGATTTGTTGAACAATAAAAGGCTGAGAAAAGTTAAGGTTTTGTAATGCGCCTTATTTAAAATTGCGACATCAGTTATTAGGAGATATTAGAAGAGAGGTGTCGACTATTTCAAGAATCTGTCATGTATTTCGAATAGAATTAACAGTTGCTATTGTGTTCAAAACTTAACATTTAAAACTCTGATGACGCTGTTCCATCTGTTGCTAACCAAACTTTTAAAAATTTGTTTTTACCAATAAGTAGTGGTTTAAGTATTTATTTTGGGTGAAACAGTAGGCCTAGAATATAATTTCTTTTCGACCTACCAGAACAGTATTTAAAAGAAGGCGATCAAATGTGCGCAATAGATGAGACAGTCAGATACACAGTGAACAACGAAACACATTAGTGTGTAGGCAGAGGCAATACACACACCACTTAAGCAAACCACTATCAATAATACAGCAATACATACAATAATTAATTATTATCGACAATAGAATTTGTCAACGTGAGGAAAAACACTCTAAACACAGCCATACACTTATAAATCATAAACTTGTGTGAAATTAATGATGATTTCTTGATTTGCATATTAGATGATTATGAGTAAAGCATGGTAACGTGTTAGTTTATAGAAAATGGGATCGTTTGAATTAATGAATTTCTTAATTTTATATGGCTTAACGTGTTCATTTCAACTTCCCTAACAATTACCAATGAATGTTGACACCAAATTAATTTTGAATACACAAAATGATGTTAAAGGGTATCAATAAATTATAGACTACTCAAGTTTAACATGCACTAACATTGTAAAAGTAAAACAATCCTATTCACCAAAAGTGTAAAACTCTTTTAAAATCATATAACAGAAGAATAACACAAACAAAAATACCTGTCTCCTAGGATCCTTCTTTGAAGGGGAGAACAAGACGATCTGAAAACAGAATCGGAATGCACAAACAAACACAACAAAAAATCTAAAAATAACATGCAAAATAAAAATAAATATTTTTAACATAAAGTAAGTAATACGCTAAACAGAGAAAAAGATAGCATCCTCAAACACTAATAAATTGAATCAATAGGGAGTAACTAGTAAAATTGCAAATGTTGTCACACTTAATACAATAGCTACGTTGTTTTATTTCCTTAAAACTTACATAGCATAACAAAAACAAATAAAAACTATTAAATAACCGTGATGAATTGAAAATGGTTAAAGATCTTTCACAATCCGAAGGTTTTACTATAACTCAACAACAGTCCATGCTACGCAATTTATACATTACAGTACAAATTTACTTACCCGCCCCCAGCATTTTCCATATTCTCATCGTAGGGATGCATTCTTGTTTGCATCTTTGATGGCATAGGTTTCCCTGTAAGCTCGGCTTCGCGCATCTGCCGTCTGCGCTTCTTACTCCATAGCTCGTGACAGTCCTGCCATGTCGGCAACTCAGGAGCCACCATACTACCAACATAAAAGAAACAAATCAGTCGTATAAAAAAGGGTGGGATTAAAGCAGTAGCTTAAACAAGTAACTAAACCGACACTTTCCAATCCATGTATCCTAGATAGCACATTTTAGTGAGGGTATTCAACCCAACAGTAGGAGGATCGACTGAAAACAATATAAAATAGGCTGATACAAATTTACTTTGAATTCGTCCCAAACTTTTGATCGGATTTTAATCATTGAATTCAGCCTCAAATTAAGAACAAAATAGTTCACTTGTATGTGCTCTAGCTTGGAGAGTTATGCTATAATTTCCTAAAGTATACTTTCTTCAACTTTGAAAACTGAATATAAGTAAGGTGTGATGTCCATTTAGATTTCATTATCCCTAGCAGGTTTGATAACATTTACTACGAGATGTTAGGTAAAAGACACAAAACCTACCAGCAAAAACAATCTGATTCAACAAATCTAACCCCGAGTCCAGCCGTACAATCCAACCATGTGGCTGGCACTAAAGACTACAAATCCATGACAGTGATGTCATGGGTACGCCACCTGGTGCCCACCACTAAATTGTATCTATACAGTTCACTATGTTCATTAAAGCCAATAATTAACCAGTACCGTTCAGGATTGACATTCTTGAGCCAGGCGGACTTGAGGGCTTGCTCAGCTGTGATTCGCTTGTTTGGGTCTAGCTCCAACATTTTGTCCAGCAAGTCGAGAGCGGACGACGGCATGAAGACAAACTCCTCGCGCAGCCGCCTACGGTGTGTCTTCTTTGGCTTGAGTGTGAGCCACAGTGGCAGTTCTATCACAGAGGGCCACACAGCTGGTGTAGGCGTCCCACAAAGCCGGGAGATGATTTCCAATTGCATAATCTCCACGTTGGCCTATGACAATGAAAGATCACATTAACTGTTACAAGCATCATAAGTATTTACTTTTTTTTTATTATGCATTGAATTAGGAACAGCTGACTTCTTTCTCTCATAGGATATTAAAATATTGTTTTGTTTAAGAGTGGAAATGCTGAGAGTGAAAGAAGGTGAGCTATTTTGTCATACTTACTAAACAATCAGAATGCCTGAGAATTGGGTAATTTAAAATTATGAGATAAAAATTAATTCTTATAATTTAAAAATCTCACCAAAGACACAAATGGACGATGACTCTTAAACAATACAAGGTTTCCAATTTTGGTTAAGTATTTTCTTTTTAAAACATTATAATAACACAATAATCACACAATTACTGCTGACCTGGAACAGAGGTTTTTTGAGGAACAGTTCACCGAGGATACAACCGCAGCTCCACACATCGATGGCAGGCCCGTACCTCTCTTCACCTAACAGCAGTTCTGGTGGCCGGTACCACAGGGTGATCACTTTGTTGGTGTACGGCCGCTCTCGGTCCTCTGCGTTGTAGAGCCGAGCCAACCCAAAGTCTGCCAACTTCACTTCCCCTCTGAAAATACAGTTGTTTTGTTTACCAACGAACAACTTAATATAGGTCTGGTCTTTAGGAGTATGAGATTCCCTGGTAAGACTCGGATGGTCATGAAACATGACATGGAATGTCCCTCTGGTGAGTCTGTTTGATGTCGGATGCCATTCTTGCGTTTCTTTCTGAACAGATCGAAAAGCTGGAGTTGGACAACCCCAGCTATACAGCCGAGGTTCACCGTGTACATCCCGCGTCCGAACGGCCTCTTGTAGAATGGTCCTACGGGTTTCACACAAACTCCACGTGATAGGGATCTCCCCCACATGTAGTTTGCACAAATTGTTGGCAATGTCCCATAATTTACGCTCAAGTTGAATGGACCCTAATGCCAACAAGTGCTTAAAAATATTCTCACACAAGTAACAAGAAGTGCCTAATGGACATAATGAAAACATATTGTATTACTTTTATTTTTAGACACCCACTAATATTGTCAAGAAAGTGCATACAAATTTTAAAATATACCTGTAAATAAGAGTGAAACATTGAGTTGATGCCAGTGCACTCAAACGGCACCAACACGAAACAATCATCACTTATCAACACTGACTTGCTCTATTGGTCAATAGTTACAACTGATTTTTATCATTTTGTACTTTATTTTATAGTTTGCTAGTATATTGTGCTTGTTATAAACACATGTTTCAAGAAATCTAGATGTAAAATATCATCATGTCTATAATGATGCTTTGTTTCTTTACCTGTTATTCATGAGGATGTTGCTACACTTGATGTCGCGATGGAGGAAGTTTTTCTTGTGGCAGTAGTTGAGCCCGTCCAACAGCTGTTTCATGATGGACGCGTTGTGTTGCTCATTGAAGTTGACCATTCCTGACTCCAACAACCCCATCAGGTCATGGTCCATGTACTCGAACACCAAATAGAAGGATCCCTTGTCCTAAACAAATGCCTCTTTTAAGTCAAAACTAATAGGTATAGCACAGAAGTAGCCGGGGCTCCTAGTATAGCATTTTGGGCTTTTCCTTGCTCGCTACTAGTATATTTCCGTCCCACCATTCCATAGCTAAGAGCGCACGGTTGTTCATTAAGCATGTTTCCTCTGTATCTTACTTCTCTGTGAGTATAGCTAATTATTAAATTCTTAACAATTTTTAAGATTTCAATCTACCTTACACTCAACTGTACATTAAAATTGTTTTATTAAATTATTAAAAGCTCAACTTACTTTTCTAAAGTCCAGAGCATCAGACTTGTCAGTGACAATTTCTCTCAGGTTGACAATGTTCTTATGATTTAGCTGACGTAGAATTTTAATCTCTCGAACAGCTGTGATGGGGAATCCTTCCTTTTCATTCTCCAGTCGAACCTTTTTCAATGCCACCAACTCACCTAAAAAATATGAATCACTTTACTTGCTATGAAAACATTCAATTTTGCTTACAGTTTAAGAATTTGAAAATATTTGACCTAATTTTAGAGTATTGATTTTGTTTTTACTTAAAACACATAAAAAAGCATATTTTTTAATTTAAGTAAGTTAAATTGGGTGTGGATACCCTTATTTTTTTTTTTTACTTTTGTGAACTTAAAGAGTCATTGACTCATCATTGCTGTTTTTTAATCAGGGGCATTCAGCTAACAATAGTATGGCTACCTATATGAGACAGATGTGGTAAATACTGCTTAAAGTGAGAGTAAAAAATATAGTTAAGTCAGTTGAAAAGCTAAGCCAATATGTTGCTGCATCAACAGGGTAATTTATCCATCAGTCCCCGAAACAATTTCTCACGTAAGCTAGCTGAACTCTTGTTCATTAAAAAAGTAACAAGTCACTTGGCTTAAATTGACATAAATAACAATGATTAAATTGCATGGTTCTGTCTTTAAAAAATGGCTCACCAGTGCGCTTATCTCGAGCTTTGTACACCTGGCCGTAGGTGCCCTCTCCAATCTGTGTGATGACTTCGAAGACGTCGACACAGCGTTCACCCCAGTCATTGTTAAGCATGACATGCGTCAGTGGCCTTCTGCGGTTGACGATGCGAGGCTTGGTCAGTGCCTTGGTAGGGTCGTGCTTCGGCCGTCTGCTCCGTTCCGGTTTCTTGGTCCTCGGAGGTGTCAGAGTTACATCATCATCTCCACTCAGCTCCTCCACGCCAGCCACAACTGTGTTCAAATGGTCTCAATTAATTGCAACCATTCTACAATGAAAATATCAATTGGTTCTGAAACATTGTGAGTCGAAGAAACAGTAAAAATTAGGGTTCATTAAATTTGGATGATTAGAAATGAATATAAACATTTGATCTAGACAGGAATGTTTAGATTTAGTGAGGTAGTAATAACGGAGAGCATCGAATACAAGTTAAGATAATAGCCTATATGTACTAAGATTACCTAGTAAAGCCTTGAGAAATATAAATTATAATTATAGCCTACACGTAAGATTTTTAACAGAAAATGGTATAATTGTTTAAGTATCTATTTAAAATAAAACTTACAATGAACACCAAAGATTTAAATGAATTATTTGAGAAAACTTTAAGTTTGACGTTATCAATGAAAATCCTGCATGCGAATGAGTGGAGCCTAAGGTACTTAGAAAAAATAAAGGATCTATTCAATTAAATAATAATATTCTTTGGCTGTTTCGCAATTATATTTTCACACAGTTTGTTCCAGAAGTAGTTTTTTTTTAGAAACAAAATATAAATCAGCTAGCTTACCTGAGAAAATTAGAGTCCAAGGGCTAAACAGATACACAATAAAAGAACACAAAACCATTAAACTAAAATTTCATCCTTATGTAGAACTGCTTCACAGTAGGTTGAAGGGAAATTTTCTCTGAAGAAGTCGTAGGGCCTACATCAGGACAAAATAGGCTTTCAGTGTTGTTTTTTGTGTTCTTTTGTTTATCTATTAGCCCCTGGACTCTAATTTGTATCTCATGTGGGTAAGCTAGAGCTGCACTCTATTCCTTTTCAATATATATTCTTTACTCGGGAATTAGCCTTAAAACTGATTAACTAATTAGCCTGATTAACTGATTATAATTACCTTTATATTATAATCAGTTATTCCAGAAGAAAATCAGCACACATCATCGCTGTACAGTAAAACTTTCAAATTATTGATTGGGGAAAAAATGCCAAACTAAAATGGCTCACAAAACTTAAATCAATAGTCAAAATAATTCCTTTAGGCTTTAGGCTGCAAGAAAATATTAGGCTACCGAGTTTGGAAATAAGTTTTTTCTTAGACTGACTATTTATTCTCTTCAACGACACCTTATGTTAACATAAAGACCTTTTAAAGTTAAATGAAAGGAACATGAACTGAGAGAAAGTACACACTTGTATTCAAAGTGTAATTCCATAATCACACAATAACAGTAAGGAATAATAAAACCAAAATTACCTGGAGGAAGGGGAAGATCCTTAATCCCTTTCTTTGGAGGCGTTTTCTTCTCAGGTATCGGACTAGGTGATTTACTAGGAGGAGAATCAATGCTCTCCAGATCATTCTGATCAATCCCTGGAGGCATTGGTAATTTAGTTAAACTTTTAGGTTTAGAAACTAGCACCGATTTTTTCTCAGGTTCACTTTTCACAGCCACCGAACCACTAGGTTCCGATTTGATATCACTAGTTCTATGTACACTATTAACAACATCGATCGGTCTCTTGGCCGGGTCTAGTGTCACATTCACTTTGGGTGGCGTCGCCAGTTTTACACTGTCACTCTTCACTCCGAGTGTGGGAAGCATGTCTTGTGGGAACAGTGCCGTGGGGTCCATGGCTAGAGGGTATGCGTTCTCCCCAGACTGGGGTGGTTGAGGAGGTGTCTCCATCTTGGGCACCGGGATGTCATCGACGTTGACCCGCGGTGGTGTCCTGGTGGTCTCCTCCTGGGATGACGCCTGGTTGTTGTCCTGACTGTTGTTGTCCTCTACCACCACCACACTGTTGCTGTCCGGGTCTGTCAGGGCGGCCAACCTCCGCATCGCCAGCTCTCGCATGTTCCTGTCCTTAACCAACTCAGCAAACAAGCTGGTCTCGCTCATCTTCACCTGAAAGTAACGTTGTGTGTCACAAACATTTACCTTCTTCTAACAGCAATACAATTTTGCAGCCAAACTATCGCACAGTATTTTAAAAGTATCTAAACGGCTACAAATAATAGCCACTTATCAAAATGTCAATAGGTATTCCTGTTCCAGTTTACAAAATAGCTCACTCTTATTGACTCTCTGTTCAAAATGAAACTTGAGAATTAAAAAATAACACTTTTTAATCTATATGAGCAATCTGAAAAATAAATTTTCATTTTCAAAATAGGCCTAACATAAATTTTAGCTTAATAATTAATAATTTAATTTTTTCCTAGAGATTAAAACCAATTTTCGACTAGGCTACAATCAAATCATTTTCGGACCCAATACAATCGATAGTGCTCATTAAGACGAGTGATCAAGTTTTCAATGCTATTTAACAGAAACTCAATGAATACCTTAGCGGAGATCTCACGTACACGCCGCATAGACGTTGGTGACTTTGACTTTGAGCGAGAGCGAGGTCTCTTAGCCCGGTAGTCACGGGGGTAGCTGGGAGACCTGCTGTAGTGTCTGGCCGGAGCTGGCGCTGGCGACCTGCTCACCTTTCTCCTGGCCCTGACAGGACTACGAGACAGCGAGTGCCGAGACCTTGGTCAATACAACAAGAAATTAAAAATTTTTGACAAGGCTTAGGGTAAGAAAATATCTTATTAAGAATAATATTATTAATGAGAATAATATTCAAGAATTTAATCATCTCAAATTTGTATTGCTGAACAGAAAATCATCATGTGAAAAGAGGTCTTTTAATAATTTACTGTCCTGTATCATTTTCAAAAGTATGAGGTTTGGGATGTAAAATAGACAACAAGGACCTAAATTTTTAAGGATTTTTGCTAGGACTATTTTTGTTTGTTATTGTCAATTGCCTGAAATTCTTTTCTTAAGTAAATTAGTTATATTCATCCATTACTTCTTCCTTGGAGAATCAATTAATGACCAATTAATTTTTTTTTGTGTAAAAATGTTATACTAACAAGTAAAAAAAACACAATATTGCCAAATGCTATGTTAATGATTTTTTACAACCCTCACCTGAGTGGGGAGCGAGATCGAGACCTCCGCTTCCTATCTTTGCGTGCCTTGTGCTCCTTTCTTCTATGGCTGTCGCGACGTCGCTCTCTCTCGGCCTTCCTGCGTTTGCGGTGAGGTGGAGACACACTCCTTCGTATCACTGTGCGGACTGGTGACTCCTCCCAGCGTACTCGCTCGTCTCGCTCCATCGACGGCGTCCTCCTACGTCGGGGTAGCCGTACTAAGTCTTCCATACTGTCTCCTCGATATATGCGCCGCATCGTACCCCGCTCATACCTATGGCCAAGTTCAACACTTAAAATCAGTGAGGCTAACTGTTTTAAAAGATCTTTTATTTAATAGAAAATACAGTACGGTATGTATCAAGGATTATTATGTACAAGGATAGGGATCAGCTAGCTTACCTGGTATATATATATATATAGTTCTGCTAGCTGAAATCGTTGTACATAATAATCCCAATCAGCCAATTGGCGCTTCCTTAATTTCTAACCTATTTCACCATTGGATCCCTCCTAACTTAATTACTATCGATAGAAATAGAAAGTCTATTTACATGTCAATGATGAATGTATTGTAGTTGAATTGAGCTACAAACAGAATGGTCTGATTACTTTTTACGGTACAATACCCTAACTTTTTAACATAAGTAGTAAAAAAAAAAAAAAAATGAAATTTTTAGCTATGGGTTATTTTATATCACATCAACAATCACTAACAAAATGTAAGGGTGGAAATATAATTTTAAACTATGACACTCTGTGAATGAAAATGATAAAACAATAACAACAACAAAAAACTAAAGATGGTCCAAATAGACATAAGAATTGAAGTCAGTGTTCATTACAAAGCCTACCTCATTCTCTCCTGTTCTTCTTCATATTCCAACTGCTCTCGATGCATAATCCTTAGCCTCTCCTCCCTCTCATCAATACTAGGAGACCTGGACAGAATATATTTGTTTCATTTTAAAAACCTGATCACAAATCCTTAGTAACTACTTAAGGAGTATTATGTACAGGGATAGGCAGCAAGCTTACCTGGTAGATAGAGTCCAAATTAGCTTTAGTACACAAAACTTGGAACCTACTTACTTTCCGTGTCCGGAAATCAGACTTTGCTTTTCCAAAAATTAGCTACCGATAAGGCTTTGTCATTCGCTTGTAAAATATCATCTAATGTGCAAGACTGGTCTAGGCGTGAACAGATCAGCAGATGGCCAGGATCCTGAACAGCTTCCAGGAAGACTTCAAACTTGGAACCAAAACAACAACTGTATATGGATACAAACATTAAGTAGGACATTAATTTAAAAAATCCCATTATCAAGAGCCCAAGCGCTATAATGTTAGACGTTAATTTCAAACACTCAAAACGCTACAGCCTTTAAAAATAAAGAGTTATAAAACTTTATAGAAGATCTGATATTGTAGCTATAATTTGAGGTAGGAGAATCAGATGGCTTGGGCTTGTTAAAAGAAGAGAAGAAGAGAACTGTATAAGAGAATGTGGAGAGGAAAGCCAGAAGGAAGACGAACACTGGATTGAGATGGACGACGCAGATGAAAGAGAAGGATGGAGGCACATTGTTGGTGAGGCCAAAAATCTTCTTGGATTTGAGTGGCCACATGAGTAAGTAAGTAAAACGCTACAGCAGCACAAGTCAATTGGCCTTACTGTCAAATATATTCTATTATAATGTGTCATCGAATCTAATTGATTAAGAAGTGATAGACATGATTTTCAAAAATCCATCTGTTGTATCAACTAACCTGCGGAATGGTGGGGGACTGATTGATCGTCTTCTTATCCTCAGTTCCTCTACGCTTGGAGATCTTCTCCTTATAGGTCTCCTCTCCTCTTCTTCATAGCTTTCTGCTGTGTGTTTACTCCTTTGTCTCCTTTCCTCACCATCCTCCAAGCTCTCTGGTCTGTGTTTGCTCTTGTGTCTCCTCCTATCGTCCGTTTCCCCCTCTACAACTACACTTCCCGCACGGTGCCTACTCCTGCTAGACCTCCTTTCTTCGCCATCTTCCAGTCGATGTTTGGATCTAGGCCTGTCATCCCCTCTTTCCTCCCCTTCTTCCAAACTCTCCCTTCTTGTTCTGCTTCTTGTTCGTCCTCTTTCTTCTCCCTCTTCTAGACTATCTGCTCTTCTGCTGCGAGACATACTGTGAGACCCGATTTGTTCCTCACCTTCTTCCAAACTTGGTGATCTTAAAACATACAAATGAAATAAGTTTTAGCGTGTAAAAAGTAATAGTGTGGGATTAAGGATGTAATATAGAACACAATGGATTATATTCTAAGTTGTTTTGTTAGGATAACAGACTGAATAAGAAAAGTCCACTCTGGCACAACACAAAAAACGTTTGGCCACCTTTGGAACTGAAGACACTGTGACGCATAGCGGCACGCTATTTTTATATAGTGTCAGCTGTTTGCTAATGTCGGGCTGTATGTCCAGTTTGTCAGCCCACCGCGAGCGAAAGAACACTTCCCCCACCTCCTTTTCAAATTCTCATCCTACTTCTTCCCGGAATGTCAAGATCACTGCATTAAATTTCTACCATCTCCAAGCCTAATTCTTAGTAATAAGTGTAGCATAATAGAAATGTCAGACTAAGTTAGCAAACTCCTCGACCTATTTCAACATGAAAAACGAATACGTTTCCTCAGAAGAATATTTATTGACATTTCCAATTTAACAGTCCAATCAAATTATCTTACTCAGTTACCTTAACAATCAATAACCATTTTCTAGGCTTAAAGTTGTTGGAAGGATAGTTTAAGTAAATTAGTTCTATTAGAGTAAATCAAAGCTTAGGCTAGCTTTCTGGTCATATGGGTAAAACATCTTCGTCCTCTGATCCCCAGCGTTCTTCCAATTGCAACATAGAAATTTAATAATTAGCCAAGCCCCTTCCCACCAAACAGCAGAAACCCAAAATTCACCACCAGCCGCCCCTCTTTTTCGCTTCAACACCTAGCTCTTCCTCAAACCCAGCTTGGTTAATATAATATTGTCGGTTACAGTACAGTATTACAATTTTGTATATAGTAAAAAGGGTTACCGGTACCGTAATGTTTTTTTCCTACAGTCACCCGACAAAGTTGGCTTCCGAACCTTGTACTGTTTATAGTACAGAAAGCTGCTAATTGCTGCATATTTATACTTTGCCGTACGGTTTATACTTTGTCGTACGGTTTATACTTTGCCGCACATCAGGATTCCAACGAAACCACACAAAACAGCGTGGTTCTATTATCCACGTAATCCGTGTACGCTTAGAAATAGGTTGGCAACACTTAAAGATAATAATACTATGAGCAGCTGATTGACTATTATAACTACGATTTAACCTGTCATTTCGTGTTTATAGTTTCGGTATTTCTGAACCTTCTGGACTTTTCTTTTAAACGTTTTTAAAACATTCCTACGATCTTAATAAACAAGAAAATACCTTTAAAGCATTTTTTTTAGGCGTGGAAACCACTTCAAATTACAAAAACATACGGAACTATATTCTCAAAATGCGGAGCACATTTCTTGCCTAGGAAAAATAGCGGAGTGATACGGACCGCGGGTACTACTTTCTCTAGGACACCATTTGTGTTGCCAGCTGAACCTAAAAACGTGTTGTATAGTGTTTGAAAGACTAATTATTTATATGCTTTATAGTGACTGTAGGAAAAATATAATGTGTAACACGAGTGAAAAAGGCCTTTGCTGCACTCGAGATCATTCCGCACTCGCCTGCGGCTCGTGCGTAAACATTGCTCTCGTGTGCAGCAAAGTGCCACTTTCACCACTAGTTATACAAATAACTATTGTGCCACAGTGGACTATTTCCCAACCAGATAAGTCTGCTATTACACTAATCCTTAAGTCATATATTAATATTAGCGAATTTCCCATATAGGGAATAAGCTATTACCGTAGTAGGCCTACTCATGGTAAGACCTGGACGCGGGACCGATTTTTTTTTTCGTTTTGAGGTCCCTAGAGACCAAAAACACCATCCGTTCAAATTCATTTATATATATATATATTTATATATTTATATATATATATATATATGTGTCCGTCAGCACGATAACTCGAGCAAAAATGATCCGATTTTGATGAAATTTGGTACAAACGTGTAAACGTACGTCTATTTGAACGAGTTCGCGATCCAGCATGATCGGACCATGGGAACGGGGGTTTACGGGGGGTTTTATGGGGTAAACATTGGTTTTTCCCATTTTTGACCCAAAAAACATAAAATTTAGCAATTTCTTTCCAAACCATTTTGTAGAGCTCAAAAAAACAAATAATTTAGTATATTGAAGCGTTATTATGCGCCTAATGGTTACGGAGAAAATTCCAAAAAATTGTAAATTTAAAATTCCCATGTTATTCATATGGAGAATAAGTAAACTGTTGTAGTTTGCTTGTTTGTGAACATATTTTGATCAAATTTGGAAAATGTTTTTATTTCTTACTAACTATTCACATTTTACAAAAAAAACAGTTTTACCCTCCCTAATGCAGCAAACCTAAGTACTTGTTAAACTAATTCTAGTTAAACTAATTCTATTTAAATCAAGAATAAATGTTATATTTTTAAGTAGACATTTCAGTGTAAATCCAATCAGTCAAATGGAAATTCGCTTAGTCTGCAGGTTTTCTGCGGCGGGGGTATTAAATTATATAATTGTTGTGTTTAGTGGTGATGTTAATGATTTGTTGTAGAATCCACATGAGTATGAATGAAAATAATTTTTTTAAAAACCAGCTTTCATCACCATGTTTTTACCAGAAGTGATGTGGAAGAGTACCAATGAGAATCATTATTTAACATTTACACTGACTGTTAAAGGTTACTATGTAAAATCTATACAAATTTAATAAACAAATTAATTATCAGTACACAAAAGACTACAATGTTGATGTTCCAAGTTCCATACGACTATAGACTCATAACAGAGCAAACACAATGGAAAATTTCTAATATGTAGTATTTTGCCTATCTGATGGTACATGTCAAAGATGTATAGAAAGAAAAACCTAGAATTCTATAGATACGTATATGATGTTATCAGACCCACCTGCCGCTTGGGCTGGTCTGAGGTTTATACCTCTTGTCTAGTTTGGAGTTCTCGTAGGCCTTTGGTGGAAGAGGTGGTGTGTGAGGGGAGCTGACCGCCGCGACTCTCTGTAACATTGGCGGTGTGATCCTTCGTTCTCCTTCATTTTCAACACTCGATCCATTGTTCCTCCTCGGAAGCTCTTCCTCTTCTTCCCAGTCGTTCTTGGAAAAATTGTTTGATCCTCCTAAAAACGTTCTGTTTGGGCTCGGTCTACCTATGACGTCCGATGGCGACAAGCTTATGTCTCTGGAAGCACTCTTTTCCAAACTACTGCTTTTGGAGGCATGTTTAGATTTCTTCTTTTTCTTTTTCAAACTTGAGGGACTATGTTTGGACTTCTTTTCGGTCTTTTTGTGTTTTTTGTCTTTATGTTTTTTCTCTTTATCTCTGACTGGTATTTCATCTTGAGAACCACTACTTTGTTTTATTAGTTTGGGCGATTTGTCCGTGCTGTGTTTCTTGCGCTTTTCTTTCTTCTCTTTCTGTCGGGCAGGAGAAAGGCCCGAGGCTTCCTTGGAACCTGGAGATCCTTGGTAAGAAGACTTCTCTGATTTATACCTAGAACATTCAACAAATCATATAAATTAAAACATAATTGGTGTGAGAAAAAAAAACTCAGTAACATAATTCTACAATAAAATAATATGTGATCATAATCAAACTAATTCTACAGAAATTTATAACTAACAGTAGTATTTTATTGATTAACTTGTTCCATGAAAAAATTTATGCTCTTTTTACTTAGTGTTTAAAAACCATAGTTTATCTGAGCTTTATGCTAGGCCTATAGGCATGTATATATATATATATATTAGGGATGGACGGGTCTCGAAATTTCGAGAAATTTTCGGGAAATTTTAAATCTCGTTCTACGAGACGAGATTTTTTTTTTGACCGAGAAATTTTCGAGACGGGAAAACGTTCGAGACGGGAAATGACCGGTGCATAATAATAACCTAGGAATCGCCGCTAGGCCTACATTATTAGCAATTGAATACTGAAATAAATAATGTTGAAGTAAAGTGTTTTATTTCCCCTATTCCTCCACAAAACTACACATTTAATTTAACATTATAAACGGCCAAACTTCATTTGGAGAGTGGAGACGTATTTCAACATCCAGAACTGCCACTTGCTACAAGTACAAGTAGGCCTACAGACGACTTGGACCCCGGACGACAATGACGACATAGAACTATAAAGGTCGAGGTGAGTACCAACTTAAATGCATTAGGAATAAGATGTTTGTTTATTCCCTAAATAAATATGTTTATAACACTTTTTAAAAGTAAATTACAACCAAAACAACAAGTTTCCTTATCTAATATCAATATGACCTGTGCCGAAATTACGTTATCAAACATAGCTTAAAGCCAATTATTAGTCACAAGCTATCCATGAATGGTAAAAACAATAAAACTTTGATTGAGAAAGGATTTTTTAAGGTTCAATTAAAGGTCAAAAGTATGTTTTATCGATGGTTGAACTATATTATGCGATGTATTAACTTACCATCTCATCCCATTGTAAATTTTGAAGTTCGTTTTTCGTGTCTATTTCATGCCTGATGGCACTGATTGCTAGTGTAAACGAAATTTGTTTAAATTAATGTTAATTTCATGATTTGTGCTTTATGTTTGATTTGGTTAATAACTCTAGATGAGGAGAACTAGTCTATTGTTTATCATTAGGCTATATCGTTCTATTAGGTCAAACGACAACGCTCAGACACTAAAACAACAACAAACAAATTGTTAACAAAACACGACCTCTACAATGAACAAAACAGAACTAACAATAAAAGTGTCTTCAGCTGTTCCATAATTACGAGAAATCTTTAACTCAATAGTCAAAGGGATTGTGTTTTATCATAGATAAAACCATAGATAAAACATACTCCCAAAACGTACTCAAGCCTATTCATTGTTAGTTCTGTCGTGCGTGTTCGGTGCACTGTAGAGGTCGTGTTTTGTTTACAATTCTTGTTATTTCAGTAATTTATAACCTTGTATAACCGAATAAAACAATCTAATCACAACCAATAACTCATCTCCTAGTTATATAACCAAATAGTAAAGCAAAAATCATGAAATTATCCCTATAACAATAGAAACAAAATTTCGTCGACAGCAGCGCCAAGTGTCACCGGACATGAACTACACATGAAAAATGAGCTTCAAATTGACAATGGGATGAGAAGTCTACTTTTGTTCTATGTATTACAATAATTCAATTTAATAACCAATTGCCGTCGCGATCCTGTAAACGACAAGTTACATGTTACAAAGTTTGATTTCTTTCTCTTTGCCTTTGCACATCAGACTAAAAACTTTCGTTACTCTAATCGGCGTCAACAGACGACAGACGGAGACGATCAGCTGACGTAGTGTTGTTTACAAACAAAGAAGTAATGTTGTGCTCCGAACAAGTGAAATAGGCCTAGTTTGATTTAATTTATTCAATATTACCTTGTTTAATTTTACTTAGTTCCATTTTCCACCTGCATTGTTTAACGTGAATGTCGAAATGGAGCCTGAAGAAACTGCTACAACGTCAAGTAGTGAGGAAACAGCAGTCGGCAAAAAGACCAGTGCTCCTATTTGGGAGCACTTTGTGAAAATGTCGGCAACAGCGACTTCATCTGGCAGTAGTGCAAGTGAAATTGCAAAATGCCTGCATTGCCAATCGAAGATAAAGACCAGTTTTGGTAACACCACAGGTATGCATAGGCATCTTGAAAATAAGCATTATGCTAAATATTTGATATTTAAAAAGAACCAAAAAGAAAATGAAGCAAAAAAGTTTCAAAAAAAAATACAAACAGGCCTAGCTAAGCCTATACCTCCCGTAACACAAAGAAAATTGACTGACTTAAATCAGTGGAATAAAGATAATCCTAGGGCTAAAGCCCTAACAATGGAAATCGGGAAGTGGATGGCTTCTAGTCTACACCCGTACAGCCTAGTGGAAGAACAGGGTCTTAGAAATGTGCTTAGAATTGCACAACCATTGTACAAAGTTCCTTCTAGCAAGACATTCAGTAGGAATATCATTCCTGGACTATTCCAAGGAGTAAAGGATGTTATCCGTAACTCCATAAGTAAACAGAAATCCATTTTAGCCTCAATTACAATAACCATAGATATGTGGACATCCCTCTCAAATGAATCCTTTATGGCACTAACAACACACTTCATGGATGAGAATTTCACTATAAAAAACTACTGCTTAGGATGTTATGGTTTTCAAGGGGAACATACTGGTGAACATATTGCCCAGAAAACTAATGAATCACTTGAATATTGGGACCTAAATGATGTGGCAATACCCATTTATGCTGTCACAGACAACGGCAAAAACATAACATCGGGAGTTAACATGTGCAAGCAGCTTACTGCCCTTAGATGTTTTGCCCACACCCTTCAACTTGTTTTGGTAGATGCCAAGAAAGGCACATCAGGTATGAGTGAACTGGTAACCAAGGCACGCAAAATTGTTGGCCATTACAGGCATAGCTCAACGGCCACTGAGCGTCTCCATACCCTCCAAAATGAGATGGGAAAAGAACCTCTCAAACTCATTCAAGATGTAGAAACCAGATGGAACTCTGAATACCTAATGCTCTCCAGACTACTAGAAAATAAGGAACCAATAGCGAGAGACTTAGCTTCTTCAGGCAAAATCGATAACTTGACTGTTTCAGAATGGCGATTTGTAGAAGCTTATGTCAAAATCCTCCAGCCCCTTTACCAAGCCACAGTTGAAATGTGCTCTTCAATTATGCCTACAGCCTCAATGGTAATTCCCATACTATACTGTATTGAGCAGAAATTGAAAGCCATTATTGAAGATGACACTGGTGTAGGGAAAATGTTTTCAAGGCATTTACTGCAAAGTTTACTGTCCAGATTTCCTAGAAATATGAAAATCGACCCGTACATCAATGCTATGCTTGTTGACCCAAGATTCAAAGACATTGCGTTGGAACCACATGAAAGGTCACTATACTTATCAGAGTTTAAGAAACAAATAATGGCATCCAAAGGACAACTTCCAGTTGAAGAAGACAAAAGCCAAAGTTAGTACAAAAATATTTTTAATGTAAGATTATGTTTGGTTTTGATTTTTGCAGTTGTAAGGTTAGTTAAATACTCAAATTATGTTTTAAAACAACAAGTTTCTGCAGTTCAGTACAATACTTAAAAGGTTCATTTGAATATATAAAATTGAAGCTGAGATGATGTAAACTTTTATCAAGCTAACATTCAATAAAACCACATAAAAATGTCCACCTAAATAAGGAAAATTTCTCGTTCATGTGATTAAGGTTATCCCTTATCAACTAACAACTAACAAGATAAAATAAATAGTCTTGTAAAGCTTAACATTTATTATTCAATTGACAAAAATACAGAACAACAGACATAACAGTTGAACAATAGAGAATGATGTTTTGTTAGCATGGGATTAAAAGAAGGAACTATTAATGTAGACTAGGCCTAATTACATTTTAATTTTTTTATTCATGACATTACACTTTATATTACAGTACTTAGTCCTATATCTTCTTTTTAGGAAAAGAAGAAGTTAAGTCACATTCACTGTGGTCCGTTTTCATCATGAAGGCTGAAGCGAAGAAGGCCCAAGAACCAGCAGCCGGTAGCACCAAGCTAGATCAGCTAGTAGATGAAGAGCTGAAGGTGTACTTTGGTGAGCCAACTATTCTGCCATCTGAAGATCCCTGTGCTTGGTGGAGGAAAAATGAAAGTAGATTTCCTCTAATGAAAGTTGTAGTTCGTAAGTACCTTGGTATCCCTGGGACTGAAGTTGCAAGTGAACGAACATTTTCCTCTGCAGGAAATGTAGTCACTCCATTAAGGCAAAGGCTAACAATAGAACATATTGAAGAACTGGTGTTTTTGCACCAAAACTCTAAATTAATGTATGAACAGGGGGAGTAGGGCCTACTTGAATTAAGCTATACCAGTAAATGTTATAAATATAGTTTTTTGATCTCTTTAAGGCTGTTTGGATTCAGAGATATGTAAGTCTCCCTTGACTGAGTTTTATGTATTGTTTTATTGTTTTATTATTTAAGGTATCTACCATAATCAATTTAAATTTTGACTTTGTCCTTATTTATGTATTGCGTAGAGTTGGGTCTTTCAAATTCTCATACTGGTGTTTAAAATTCTCAAGTTAATCTACTTGTGTATTTCATAGAATTGTAATACTATTAATTCTTGAGAATTTAATAATTTGACAAGTGGTTGATGTTATTTATTGTTTTACTTGACAATAGTCCAATGAGTTCTTGAGGCTGAGGCTAACAGTGTACATGTTATAGGCTAGGCTTGTTTGTTTTTATCTAATTGTCATTTGTGTTTATTAAAATCATATTATTTTTTATTATATGATGATATGATGATTGATTGATAAAAAATAACATATCTGTGATTGTGAACCTTGTCATAGTCATTTAATAGGAAATTATTTGTGGTAGGCTATTTTTGTTTATTTTATATTGTTGTTTAACAGGATTGTTTACGTTTCGTTTTTTGGTTTTATTGATAATTTTGTCTATGTTATGTCCTATCCTATTATTTATTATGTTTGTTTATTGGTTTTATTGATAATTTTGTCTATGCCATGTCCTATTATGGCTATGACCTCCATTTACAATTTTATTTTATGATTTGTTGTTTTGACATAACCAAAGGATGAGAAGTTTTGTAAAGTGTAAGCAGTGTGTGTTATGTATTACTAGGTCTACTGTAAACATAGCCAAAACCAGTCACTCCAAAATCAAATAATTCTCAAAAATTACACAAGACTGAAAATAATGTTACTTGATACTTTACTATTAAGACTGATCTTTGGACTGATATGTTTTGTATTTTTCAAAGTTTTACTATTGTAGTTTTATACTTAACTAATAAAACTGATGTTTTAAATTGATATAGCCTATTTTGTATTTTTCAAAGTCAAACTATATCCTAACTGATATCACCATGTTTCCTATGCGTATTAGTTATTTTTAATAAGGTAGGCCTAATTAACATTTATATTTTATACTGCTGTTTTTAATGATGTTTTTAATAAAAGATTTGAAATATTCTTGCCTATTATTGCATTTTTTGTATTTTACCAGTCATCTGTCATCAAATCGGTAGGTATTTAACAATGCTACAAAATCAGGTTAAAATGTCGAACGCGCATTTCTCGTTATGTATGAGAAGGGAAATCTCGTCTCGAAATTTTATGAGAAATAAAAAATCTCGTCTCGTCTCGTCTCGAACTAAAAATCCAATCTCGTCCATCCCTAATATATATATATATATTTTACATCATTTTTTAAGAGAATTTGCTCCTACAATATTGCTTTTACAGCAACAGCTCTAAGCATATTGCTATTGTTATATAACAAGCTAAGGGCTTGTTAGAACAACAGGAAAATCAACGGTATTAGATTTTTATTCAAAATCATAATTCAATGTCAGACAGATAACCACCCTTAACTACCTATATAGGATTAAAAACAAATTTATTCAATTTGATGAAATTGAATAAGAAGGAAGGCAAGTATGAAGAAAAATAATTCAATCATTTAAGAAATGTTATCTTGAGAAAAAAATCCTTATCATGATAAGTCTTTCACTGTGGGTTTCTTCAAGATAGTCCCATTGACCTGCTCTAGGTATGCCTAATTGTTATGAATGATAAGAATTAAGACAAGTGAGTCTGACCTTTCTTCTTTCCGCCGACTGTGATGATTCTGTCGGCGAGACATGGAGGAATCGTCGTCGCTTTGGTCCAAAACACTTTCTTCACTCTGGATCTCTCCAGCCTCTGGACTTGATAGTTCCTCGGAACTGTAATTTTACCAACAAAATAGTTAATAACAAACTTAGCAGCATCATTTGAAAACTGGAGTTAAAAAAACCAGTGCTATCAAACGTCAAAAGCAATTATATAAAACAAATACTTCTGGTGTTGGATCAAAACTGTATTTATTTTCAAAATTGGACAAACAAGAACTTTGGTATAGCATACGCTGGTAAATAAATATGAAAGAAGGCTAATGTAATGTTACCAGAAATTTATACGCTTAAGCAGAAACCATGGACTTGAGAAGCAGAAGTATGTTTCACAAGGTGTGTTCACAAGAATTTTTAAATTTCAGAGTGTAATTATCACTAGGCCTATATTATTTTGTGTGGGTATAAAATGTTCCTCAATTATTCCTAGACCCCACTTGTTGCATCCATTGTGTAGGCCTGCTTAGGTTAGCTGGCAGGGTTACATGAATTATTGTTCTGTGCTCAACATTGTAAAAAAAAAATCCAGAGTTTACCTGTAAGCATCCACAGCTTATTTAGTCCTACATAATTGATAGTCATTGAGGTCACAATAATGTTAAGCCTAAGCCAGAATTGCTCGCACTATTTCACAAGAGCATTGAACAAATGAGTTGTAAATAATCAGACATACTACAGAATTTTTTTAACTTGGTACAAAATTACGGTCAACAACAAAGTAAAGTACTACTCAAGAGCTTACCTAACGTCAGAATATTCAACAAGAGGCTTCACTGATGTTATTGCAACTGAATCGTCGTCTTCTCCACTTTCAGCTGCGTGTGAATGTCTCTTCTTGCGAGATTTCCTGGATTTGCTTTCGGAATTTCTGAAAGGAATAGGATGCATTTTATGACATGTTCTAGTTTCTATTCTAGTTTCAAATGACTGATTAGGTGAGGCTACATCTTACCTACAACTGTCCTAAGCTAAGGAATCCGAAGGGAACACACATACACTTAAGGAAGTTCCTGCACATATATAAAATAACAGTGTCCAGCAAGATATGAGGATTAAGTAAAAGGAATATTCTAGGTAAAATCTGCTGTGTTTAAACAAAAACATAAAACTGTGTGAAAAATACTAACTCTTATCTTTACCCCTACATTCATCTCTAGCAGTCATGACAGATTTTATGATTAGCTCCCTCACATCACAGCAACATTGTTGGGTTCGTATACAACATGATCATCATAATAAGTTGAGATGATGTCCCTCAATAGCAATTTTCTTACTACACTTGACGATGTTTAAAGAGAACATTGTTAATTAGGGCCTATATTAATGGACAACAGGTATTGGCATCAATTCAAAATTTTCCAGTCACATACAAAAATTCACATACAATCCACTGACTGTTCCCAGCTAAATTCACGTAAAATATCCGGTTTACCAATTGGCTTAACACACTGATTGCTGTCCTGGGTTTTGAATTTCATCGATGCAATTTGTAGGGCAAAAGAACAATGTACTTATTCATTGTGCCCCGTGTTATTTTTATTTTTTAAGCTTCTCACTTAAACCCAAGGGACTTTTACTAGCGCTGGAATATTCTGCGCTGGAAATATTCCTCCTTTTCTGCAGCAAGAAACAGCTGTGGTTGATTTATACTACAATGGATCATTCCGTCAGCAGCAAAAAAGGTTTAATACTTGTCAATCCTGATAATACAGAGGCCAATATAATTTAGAAACTTGTATGACAACTGACCTGTGAGAATGTTTGTAAGAGTTTACAATGGAATCCATACTGGCTCCATCTATCTCCCCTGACTCAGGGCTGTCCACTTCACAGTCCACAGATGTATGAAATGACTGACATTCTGTTCCATTTTGAGCTCCATCTTGTCCACTGGGCATTACACCTAAGAAACACAACACATAGACAATGAAAGTACATGAAAGTATGTCTAATAACACCGTCTCAAGAAGACGGTAAATACATAAAAAGTGGTGATCGATTTCAATTGGAAACTCCATCATCATCAGACCCAATAGGCTGAGGTTGTACAACATTTTTTTAAGATTTTAAATTTAACCTTAAAAAGCAAAACAGCAATATTTGGTACCACTTTTGAAATGCTACCGATTATTGAAGCAAATGGCAGACTCTGGGTTAGGGCACGTCATCCATAGCTTGTTGTACAAGTTGTAAGTATAGGTAAATCTGTACACTACATTTGTTTTGTCTTTGATTGGATGAAAATATTATAATCTGAAAAAAAAACTTTAAGGTTGGTATCAACACAGTCAAACAACACATGTATACAAGTCCTTAAGTTACTAACTAAAAGCATACGGTATATACTGTTACACAAACATGTGCGAGAATCATTGAATTTCTTTCCAAAAAAGATAATACCTAAGGATTTGAAGCTTTCAAATTTCTAAGGATTTATTCAGGCCCAAAAGGGTTTATCTCAAATCAAAACTTTGTACTTATTAGAGTACAGTACTAAAGTTATTAACTAAAAGCATACGGTACATACCATTACACAAACATGTACAAGGATCATTGAATTTGTTTCCAAAAAAGATAATACCTAAGGATTCGGAGCTTTCAAATTCCTAAGGATTTATTCAGGCCCAAAAGAATTTATCTCAAATTAAAACTTTGTACTTATTAGAGTACAGTAGTTGTATCAATACTAAGCAAACGAGACAAATTTGTTTGAGGTTTTATTGGACAAAACAACCCATTAGGCATAACTCATATTTTTCAAATTTCTTCTGAAATGCACAAATTGCAGTTGTAATGCTATACTTCTGCATCTTTAAGTGGAAAAGTATAAGGGGTCATAAATACTTCTTCCAGTTTGAACAAAGCATCTCTTATCATGGTAACAAAGAATAATTCATAAAATATTTAGGTTAAGGCTAATTTAATAAATAGGCGTAGGCCTATATTTCATGCATGAAAATATGAAAACAAAATTTATCAATCACTTTACATAGCCTCATACAAAAGCATCTAGGCCTACATAAATTTTAGTCAAACACTTTTAAGTTAAGTTTTTTTGGGTCTATTCAAGGATAAAATGTCTCAAATGCAAAGAGGCCTAAGATACCTACAAACTTGAAAATGTTAGATAAAAAGACATATACTATCCAAATCTATTTAATTCAGATTTTTTTTAAAACTTCATTAAATTGATACTAAGTAGGCTAAACAGATTTTTCATTTAAAAACGAAATAGGTTTGCATTGTTGTATGGTGCTAAAAAAAATAAATACTTAGTTGTCATTAGCAAGACAATGTCACAGCTATTAATTTGTCATGTAGAAAAAAATTATCTTGACTGTAGATATGAAAACAAACATAAGGGTTCTCGATCCACACAAAGAATAATAAAATATAGATATATAACATAAACATGAAATTAAAAGTCATTTAAATCTTAAAAACAGTTTATTATGTAACTTGATGTCTTTTTTATCACAAATGGTAACAAACAAAATTTGGAATATATATCTTTGCAAAAGACTTATAAACCAGTTTAGCTAAAAGCAATATAAAATAATTATGCCGATGCATTGTTATCCAAGAATTACTTATCCTAGAATTTCAACATGCAAGTCCAACAGTTTTAATATCAAACAATATTAAACTGATAAATATATAAAAGAGACAATTAAAGAGATTGGAATAATTTATTTTATTGAAAGAGACTACTTTATTAGGACTTGCTTGGCGTGCGGTGGACAGTTTTATTTCTAAAACATAGATATACCCACATAGACAGGTAACATAGATCTATGTTACCTATAGACAATTTTTAAAGTTAGTAGCTGGTCATGCAAAAAATATTATCACAACAATTTTAGAGCATGCTTTTTTAGAAACAACCTTTTTAAGGATACATTTTAATTTAGTCTAAGGAATTAGTACATTTAAAAAAACATCGCCAACATTACTTGAATTTTTAATGTTATTGTAATAAAGAATTAGTTGTTGATTTACAGGTATGATCCAAATTTGGCCAGGGACACACTTGCCGGAAAAATCGCTGGAGGTTGAATGTCAGAATACACTGTCCCGGCTAAAACCATTTTGCTGGAGCTGGCGACAATAAATAGAGTGCCATGAACTCTGAAATGGTGCTGTCAACACCTATGAAATTGGCCGTGTTTTTTAATGTCCACATCTGTAAACTCATCGTTTTTAAATCCCTCCTATCCACATTCACGGTTTAAAAAATTGACAATAAGAGGTTAGGCAGAATTCCATGTACCCTAACAATTTCAACTATTTTAAAAATCGTTAGAGGCCTATAAGTTTTTTAAAGGAATTCTGAAGAAGCGCCTGAAAGGGGCGAAATATCAGTTTAATGTGTACTGTAACTTTTATGTGTTCTATTAACCTCCTGGGACTCTTAATTCAGGTGAGTTAGTGTATCCTTCTTTTCTCCTTAAACCGTAACAATAAAACCGTTATGAACAATTTAACTAGGGTACTTAAATTTTTTCCCATCGGCTGTCAATGTTATACATTTCCACGTAGCTGACAATATGATGTCAGACACGCTTAAAATAATCTCAATAACCGAAACTAATAGACAATAGACAATAGACAAAATCTTTATTGAAATATTCCTAGAGAACATTCATGCGTCAGGTACATAAAATGTACAGTATGTACGTAAACTATTACAGTAATTTGCAATTACAATTAGAATTTTTTTCTTCTTTTTTTCATGGTAGCTTATTGTTTAAGAATTCATCCTCAGAGTAGAACGGCCGGTCCATAAGCCATGTTGTCAGGTGCTTCTTGAGCAGATTGGGTTGTTCTCTCTTGAGGTGCTCTGGTAGGTTGTTAAAGTACAGAGCACCTTTGTAGGATGGTTTCTTCTCGTACAGACTCAGATGGTGTTGTGGGAGGGAAAAATTGGCGGCATGTCGTGTGTTGTGCTGGTGTATGTCTCTGTGTCTTGGCTGGGCTGTTTTAGTGGTGTGGATAATGACTTCTCTTATGTAGAGTGAAATTGATGTGAGAATTTTAAGGTTCTTGAAGGCTTCTCGGCAACTGTCTCTGTAGTTCAGGTCGGCAAGGCATCTAATTGCTCTTTTTTGCTTTAGGAGTACTCTTTCCAGGTTGCCTTTTGATGTTCCACCCCAAGTCGCAATGCCATATCTGAGGTGGGACTCGAATAGAGCAAAATATGCAATTTTGGCTACTTCTGGGCTGCAAGCTTGCTTGATCCTACGTATAACGTAGAGACTTGAACTTAGCTTTTTGCAGAGCTGGTCTATGTGGGGTTTCCATGATAGCTTGGAGTCAATTATGATGCCTAGGTATTTTGTGGTGTTTTGTGTTTGTAGTCCCGGTATTGTAATGTCTGTGTTGTTGCGTTTGGTGGTGAAAGTCATTTGAACGGTTTTGCTTTCGTTTAGAACTAGGTCGTTGGAGGTACAGTATTGCTTTGTTCTCTGGAGTTGTGTGTTGGTTTTCTCTTCCAGATTTTCCATTGTTTTGTCCGCAAATGTGAGAACCGTGTCATCTGCGTACATGGTGGTGTGTCCATCTTCCCCAATCCAACTAGGTAGGTCATTCGTGAGAAGGAGGAAAAGGACTGGGCCAAGTACTGATCCTTGGGGTACTCCTCTTTGCACGTCTACAGCTTTGGATTGGGCCTTATACTTAGTGTTGTTCTTTATGTAGGCTATTTCCACAAGCTGTTTCCGGTTACTAATGTAGCTTTTAAACCATTCTGCTGCTCTTCCTCTCACGCCTAGTGTTTCCAGCTTGAGTAGAAGAAGTTCGTGGTTTAGGCAGTCGAAAGCTTTACTAAAATCTAGGAAGAGGCTTGTTGAAGTGCTGCCTTCTTCTAGTTGGTCTAGTATGTGCTCCGTCAGTTGTATTAAGACTGTGGCTGTCGATCTGCCTTTGATAAATCCATGCTGTTGACTATTGAGAAGGTTGTGTTCTTGAAGATGGTGTAGGAGTTGGGCTAGTACTATCTTTTCGATTATTTTTGAAAATGTTGATATTAGGGAGATTGGCCTGTAGCTGTTTCTTTCTATCGTTGGTCCATTTTTGTATTTTGGGTAGACTTTAGCTATTTTTAATTTATCTGGGAATTTTCCTTGTGAGAGTGATTTATTTATGAGGTCTGTCAGGGGTATTACTATTTCATTTTTACAGTTTTTTAGAAGTTTAGCTGATACCTCATCAGTTCCGGATGAATTTTTCATCTTTAGAGATTGAATGGCCTTTTGCACTTCTTCTTGTGTGACCCGTCTGAACTGGAGTGTGTGATGTGTTGCTGGTAAGTGGTCTGTTAAGGCATTGGTTCTAGAGTTATTGTTATTTTGGAGTGTTCGGTCGGCTATTGATGAGAAAAAATCATTAAAACAGTTTGAAACTTCTATTGGGTCGTCTATTGTTTTATTGTTGACTTGAAGATGGATTTGGTTTTCAGTATTTGATCTCGCTTCCCTTTCTCGGTTTATTGTTTGCCACAGTGCTTTGGACTTGTTTTCAGCCTGGTTTATGTGAGCTGTGTTGTTTTCTTTCCGAAGCATTTTCAAATGCTGGTCGTACTCCCTTTTTTTAATAGTTGTTCTGGCTTTGTCTTCCATAAGTCCGGTTGTTTGCTCCTTTTCTAAGGCCTTTATATATTCATTTTTAAGTCTAGCCGATTCTTGATTCCAACACTGTCTCCTTTTATGTTGTTTAACTCTTGAAGTTTTAAGAGGGCAGGCGTGGTTTAGTGTTGTCTGGATGATGTTGCTGAAATTGTTGTAGGCTTCATCTACGTCATGAGTTTGTATTATAGTTTCCCAGTCTTGTTCTTGTAGCTGTGTCTTAAAGTTATCTATTGTTGTTCTGTTGAAGATTCGTTTATTTTCTTTGATGTTGTTGATGATCGGTTTTCTAGTGATGATTTTTGCGATTTGTGCGGTATGGTCAGATAGTCCTGATGTTATAACTGAGGTTTCTATTTGTTGATTATCAATGTTTGAGCATATCCAGTCTATTGATGTTTCTGAGTCACTTGTAATTCGAGTGGGAGGTAGCCTCAGTCTTGAGATATTGAAGGAGGTTAGGAGTTCTTCAATTTTTCCGTTTTCATTGTCATCAACTAGGTTGTTTACATTGATGTCTCCCATTATTAATATTTGCTTATCCGTAGTGAGCACTGTTTCCAGTTGTTCAGAGAGTATATCGATGGCTTGGTCTAGGTTTGCACTTGGTGGCCTGTATACTCCGAGGACCAGCAGTGGATTCCTGTTTAGCTTCAGTTCAAAGAGCACAGTTTCGCAAATTAGTTCTGTTTCCTCGCTACTTGTGCATATGAGTGATACATGCTTTTCCCAGCCACTTCTTACATAAGCGACCACTCCTCCTTTGACATGGGATTTCCTTGAGAAGCCTCCAATAAGTGAGTAATTTTCTACCCACGTGTTTTGCAAGTTTTGTTGTGCTACGCCGTGCTCTGTTATTATGATCAGGTCTGGGTCTTCATCTTGGAGGAAGTGTGCTAGTCTATCAGTTTTTTTAGATAACCAATTTATGTTTTGGTGTAGAATTTTAAGTCCTTGTTGGCTATTAGGTGTTTGGAATTTTACTGTACGGAGTGTCGGAGGGGATGTGTTACATCTTTGAGCTGGTTTTTGTGCTTTTCTCTGGGATGAGGGTGTTCTTCTAAAAAATGATGTTGGGAGGTGGGAGTGTTTAGGGGTTCTTGTGTGCAACTTTGGTTTTTGTTAGTTTGTAGTGTGTTTTTATACTTTGGGAGGGGTGGTTCTGCGATTTTCTCAATGTTGATGTGGTATTTGGAAAGTTCCTGGGAGCTAAGCAAGTTTGCTTGTTGTATCCAACGGCCTAGTTTATCATTACTGCTGGGTGTTATGTAAAGGAATGAGTGTGTGTGCCTTGAGATAGCAACGATGCAGTGGTGCTGCGATTCATAAATTTCTTCTCTTTTAGCAGATGTTCGTATGACAGCTATGTTTTCTGCTTGCCGTCCTTGAAATTCATGTATCGTAGATGCGTTGAAACCTAGCTTGTTTAGTTCTCTTTTCTCAGCTTGTTTGAAGACCAAGCATTTGTATTTATTTTTGTTGAGAGTGAGGTTCAGGCTTTCTAGTCCCTGATACTGCTGTGTCGCCAGTTCTTTCTCCGTCTGGTTGGTGGTTTGCATTCCTTGGCTGTAGAATTTTGAGAGGATGGCTGTGGTGCTCTTTGTGCATCTGTATGTGGTGTTTAGTATTTTTGTTGTTGTGGCTATTTCTGTAATGTTGTGGTATTTAACTCCTAGGTTCTCTGCTCTGTTTATATATGGTATTTGGTTAATGTCGCCAATAAGCAATACTTCTTTAGCAGTTGATAAAATGGCTGCAAAGAGTATTTCTCCGGCATGCATCATTAGGGCTTCGTCGATGAAGAGCCTGTTATAGGTGTTTCCTCTCTTAAGATGTTGGGTGGAGTTTATTATGAATGAATGCACGGTTCGGAAGGTGTCATTGCATTTTGCCTGGCTATGGTCTGGGTGGTTGGTTTTGTATCTCTGTCGGAAGTCCATTGCCGCATCTCTTGTAGGAAACAGGATGAGGTCCCCTGTAGCATAGTTGTTGAGTAGGAAAGTTGTTTTCCCACATCCTGGCACACCTTGGACTAAGTTCAGTTTAGTGTTGTATGAGTTTTTAATGTCAATGTGTTTTGTGCTATTATAGAGATGTAGTTCGTTTAGGAGTATTGTCTCGTCTGACACTAAGATGTTTTGATTAATTGCTATGTTGTTTGGGGCAGTTGCATAATTTCCATAATACATAATAATGCATAATACATAGAAGATGGATTTTCATGTCTCAACAAGAATTAAAGCATAGCTGATTAAAGTACATGACATAAAACTTTTTGTAAAAAGTAAACTTGGGAGCTATTGAGGCTTGTGAACAAGATAATATCAGAGATAATTAGTATTATATTAGTATCAGAGATAATTAGTATTAGTTCAGTATTATTGATCGCAAAACAGTAACATTCGACTTATTAAGGTTAAATATTTAAGTCTTTGACTTACCAAGGTTCAAGTTATTGACGTTCTACTGTGTGAGGGTCCCTCATTTGTATTTATTTTAGAAAAGCTACTACATTTGGGGAAACTCATGAAAACAAACTACGACCAACATCAACATGACCCATCAAAATCGCACTAACTTAGCCCAAAACATATAACTTAACACTGAAATAAACAAACTTGTAAAATTAACTAAATCTGATTATGAATGGCCTTAAATGTTAAAATCTTGTCTTAGTCTAAAATCTTTAGCCTACTTCCCATTTTATGAATATAAAGTAGCTAGGCCTAGGCCCATGAATGTTTAAATGATCAATGAGTACCTTAAGTTATCAATACAATCTGTCACCATTTCAAAGGAAGTTTGGAAAAGACAAATCCTCCACCAAGTAAAGTCTTCAAAAAAATAATAGAAAAAGCTGGTACTGAAACAAAAGTGGTAACATTAATTTGGTTTTGGAATAAGAACAATAGATATGAAAGTAGGCATAAAAACAAAAAAAACTTCAAATATAACTTCATAATAGGCTATAAATACTTTCTAATAGGCACTATTAAAAACATTTTTGACTGAAGTGTGTAATCCAAGAAAACTTATAGATATTACATCTGATGCCTTCTAAATCATAACTATAGGCCTATATACACAAATAACGTTCGTGTCGGGAGCTTTCAACAATAGTCGATTGTAACACAAATAATTATTTGTAGGCTACTTAAAATAATACCGTACTCAAGTAGTTAGACAATGTATTCTTTTAATAATAATCTTGTTAGACTTAACATAAGTACAACATTCAGCATACAGTACTTCTTATTGAGTTCATGCCTTGTCTAAAGACGACATGCACTGGGGACAACTACCAAGGAAAATAAATAACACTTGGGAGACTGTAAAAAACAAGAAAAAGAACAACAAAACGTACAGTGCTCAATATACATCCATAAGGCTCGTCACACACTGCGTCCGGTCCGGTAAAATTGGATCCGGTGTCTTTCACCGGATCCGGCAAATCTCCACACACTGCATCAGGCGTTCCAGTTCCGGCGACCAGTCTGAGTCTATGCGAGGACAGCGGTGTTGTGAGTGAAGAAGTGTTTAACCAACAACATACAGTAGTTTTTTTTAACCAAACTTCCCTAAAGCAATGAGTGACAGTGACAGTAAAGACATCTTCGTAGTTGCAGTAGCTCTTGCTTAAACGTCCTTGTGGCCTAGGTTGTATAGCTCAGGTACGCCTGCACAGTCAGTTTCTCTTCCAATGACATTTTGTAAAAAGTCGTACAGCGTAAACAATAACCACAAAACCACGTCTGCTGCTACTGTAAGTGCCCACTGTCACTGTCACGAGGTGAGTAGAACAGTAGAAGTCGTCTGCACATGCGCGAGCTCTCCGGCGTCGGAAGCTTGCCGGAAGCCTATCGCTTCTCGACCGAAATAATTTTACCGGACCGGACCTGAAGCACCGGACGGGATGCAGTGTGGGGACTTCCATTTGAATCAATGGTTTTCGAATTCACCTGATCCGGCATGCCGGATCCGATTTTACCGGACCGGACGCAGTGTGTGACGAGCCTAAGAAAGCAAACTACAAAAGTTTTCTTTTCTCCAAAATAATAACAAAAGAAAAATATCCATTCTGTCCGTTCTCCACTAAGAAGTTTAAATGTTAGCCTAACTTTATTCTAATTTACTCTGTAACCATTAATTTTACAACAGCTCTACAATATACAAAAATTAATTTTTTGACATTGTAAGTTTTAATACCCCGTCCCATTAGCTGAAATAGACTAGATTGTTTGGGACAATACTTTCTTTTTTTTGTAATATAACCCAGTTTCAAGAAGTTTTCGATTCCTGATGTGCATTTTGCCACAGGTTGTAGCATCATCAGAGGTCACTATGCTACGCTTACATCCTAATAAATACAAAGTTTATGTACACGAGAGTCACTGTACCAGTTGTCACATCGCACTATTTACACTTGCGGTGCGCGTATCATATAAAATGCGCATCAGGAATCGAAAACTTCAAGAACTTCAAGGCAACACAAAACAAAAAGGTAATTTATTAATACTTTCTTTGTTGCATCAAATCTGATTTTGTACATACCTACCTAGGTAATTTCAAGTATTTTTTTTTTTAATTATTTAAAAATAACAAATAATTACATAAACTTAAATCATTGTTTTTATCAGTTAGTCAGGGCATAGTCTTTTATACTATTGTTCACATTATTGCCTATTGCCTATTAAACATTGAAACTGCTACGCAAAATAATTTTCTTTAACATTATCTTATCTGGCAACTTATCTTAAAACCTCACATCTCACAAAAAACAAACTTCCGGAGGACTCACACACACACTAACACACCTTAGCGAAGGGATCTATAAAATGTAGCAAAATGTCTAATCAGATATAACTCACTAAGAATTCTAATTCACTAATCCCCAGGCTTAACATAAACGTTTCATTGATTCTGAGCAACTCAGTAAAATACCCCCGCCGTTACTGCACACTTCTATGTAAAAAATGGGCTTTAAGTTATAGCTGCCTATTAAAAGCAAAACTTGGATAATGGTAAATTAAGTTACCTATCATAATTTAAGTTAATTACTTACAATAGCATTGAACAGGTCGTTGAGGTCGCCGAGTTTTATAAACTCGCAAGAGTGATAAGAGCCTGATGATGAGGTTATAACCTCGAAACCGGTTGCTCATTACTACAAATTTGGGATCACAGACGGAAACAGGTATCTTATACCATTTTAATGTTCAAGAAGTGATCCTGGACCAAAGAACATCATTATGATAATTAATTTAATAGGAAATATGATTTAGTGCATTCAATAAGTTAGAGTTCATTTTTGCACACTCTACAATTTTCTCTTTGGATTTGCAGCGAAATTTGTTAAGGGACATTATAACTTAACTTAAACTACGGTAACAGAACTTTTTTTTTTAATAAAAATTAAACTTAAACTAGGGCCTAACTTATTTATTGAATTAAGTTAAATAACCTAGTTAGGCCTAGTATCTATTCAAGTTTAAATGATATTTTCAAATAGCCTACTACGTTAGGCTAATAACTTAAACATAGGTGGCCTAATCGAAAAAAGTAGGCCTAAAAAAAATTAGCTAACTTAACTTAAATCAAGTTCATTAAAAACTACGATTTGACTTCCGTGGTCCCTCACTCACAGTCAAACAAACCAGCAACATACATTTAAGTTAAGTTAAGATAACTCTGTCGCTCACACACGGTCAAACTTAACAGTCCTATAAGCCCCGTGTACACGAGGTTAATATTAGCTGATAATAGATTAGCGCTAATAAATTAGCTCTGTGTAAACGATCTATTAGCGACAAAAATTACTAGCGCGCTAGCATTTTACTCGCTGCTAGTAGTTTTGAACATGTTTGATAATATTAGCGCTAATGAGTAAAAGGGGTGGTCATGTGACCACTAGCGCCAGCGAATTAGCGCGCTACTAGCGGGATGTTTGCACTTCTGCTAGTGCTAATCACCATTCGCCACTAGCCACACACCAGTGTCAGTACAGTTGTTGTTTGTCTGACGTTAAAAGTGTTTGTAAAATAAACTACATCAGCATTCTGACACATACTTTCTCCCATAAGCTTGTCAACAACCATTATCATAATCAGTGAGAGTAATATGATATGTTATAGTTAAAAATCACAAAAGTTAACATTTGAACCGAAATTGATACAGCAACAGGGTGTTGTAGGCCTAGTATTTTCTTCGGAATTATCAGGACCATAACATTACCGGTACTATTTGGATCAAAACCCCCTTTTCTAAAACGTAAGATATTTTTTTTGGTTTTGTTATGGTTTTTAGGGGAAAATAACAAGCTACAATAACTTTTGAACCTTAGACCCCCAGAATGTTTACGGTAATGGAATTTGTACAATTTTGTTCATAATTAAAGGTCTATATAGCATAGGCTACCAAATTTCTAAGAAAATCCTTTTGGCCATTTTTGAGAAAATCCGATTTTCTGTTATTTTACAGGACTTACCGGTATGGGAAAGTTTCCAAATAAAAATCAAAATTTCAAAAACAATTTTAAAAAATGTCCAATATTTTAATAATTATATAGCCTACCGGTAACCACATACTTAGGTACTTTTTTTTTAGTTAGGCTAATTCAAACCGGTTTTTTATCCTTTGTTTTCGACGACCCCAAACAGTTTGTCTCTTTTTATTAAATTTCATGTTCACACAACTTGTGTATACCAATTTATATAGTAATATAATATATAAGAATAGGCTAATTCTTAAAATTTGTAACACATTGCATTTAAGGGAACAGAAGACATTTTGTGCAGAACTGAATGACAATCGTGACCAATAAACACTTCATTTCCTACATGACTAAGTAGCGAGCTAATAACTAGCTACGTGTAGATGGAAATTTTTGCGCTAGTGTGCCCAGCTAGTGCTAATAGTGAAAATTAGCTGCTATAGTAAACTAAGTTAGCTACGTGTACACGGGCCTTTATGAGAAGGAGCTTAACCAGACTAACTAGGAAAAAGGCAAGTGCAAGAAAATATTTATGTTGTTCCTAGAAAGATGTGTGAGAGTTACGGTGGCGGTGAATACTTCCGAAGCCCGTTAAATATCCAGCATGTGAGTAAGCTACTTAACTTACTCCCAGGTTAAGTTAGGCCTTTTTACAGCAAAATAAACCCTATCTTAAGTCGACCTTTTGTAATAGGCTTAACTTAACTTACTGCATCTTAAGAATTTGACAAATGGATTTGGGTAACGAATAACTTATACTTAAGTTATAGCAGATACCGGGCTTAATTTACTAGCCTATACCGAGCACAAAAGTGTAACTCAGATAGGTGGTAACAACCCACAACTGTTGGGACCAAGTTAGGCCTAGGGCCTAGTTGGGAATGCTTATCTTTTAACTTAGGCCTAAGGCCTAGCCTATAAGTTAACTTAGCCAAGAATCATTAACTTAGGCCTAAAGTTAGTTTTTGTGATTTTACCAACACTCAACCTATCGGCAAGTACAAACAAACCAATCATGCATTCCATGGAGGAAACCTAACTGATTGCACAAATAAAAACAGACTTACCAAAAAAAAATATACCTATGAGCTATTAGGCTGGCCTAGGTCTAGCCTAGGCCTTAGAAGACCCAACATATTATGAACTTAGACCCTAATTTATTTAGGGTACCAAATTAGCTTGAATAAAGCAAGAAATTAATTCAAAGATTATGTTTTAGCCAACGTTGGAGGTAGGAATCACACTTATAAAAAATTTAAAAACTGCACACGATGAGCCGAGCCTAGCCAACATTGATATTACACTAATAACATTCGCCATCTTTGTTGAATCTTCATGTTGAGCATCCAGATAAGCTCATGTTTATCACGAAATACGAATTTGCAATAGACATTGAGGGGTAAATATTTATACAACAATCAAAGTAGGGTTGAACATGGTATTAAAATAAGTACTTACCAAAAACAACGAACGGCAACGTGGAGGTATCGATCACTACGGTTCTTCTGTAAAAGCGATCTTGAAAATGGTCATCACTATGACTATGACACCGTTTTCAAACCGGTATTCTACTGTTAAAGCAATATGGAACTATAATTAAAGTAGTAAATGGATTATGATTGATTCAGTAAACTTTATTGCTGCAGTTAATTTGATATTTAATGTTTTTGACATTAATTTTAATCAGAATCGTCATACAGCGTGATGTGACTACGCCTTGACGGCCATTTTATCTCAGTCAGTAAAATAATGACGTCATCGTATCGTGATCGTGGTCGCCTGCACGAGCGCTCAACGAGCCGAGTGTCAGTCATGTGAACTTTTAGCTATTACCAACATGACATTATTAAAATATTTTGTAAAACCCTATTGTATGTAATTAATGTAAAAATACTGTACAAACTAACCAATTAATTGTTGGTTGACAATAAGTAAAAGTAAAAAAAAATTAAATGAAAAAAGTATTTATTCAGGCAAAGTTAGGGTTTTTTCTTTCTAAATATTTTTTTCTTCCACTTAACACTTTTGTTCTCATTATGCTTGCTTATAAATCCCCCTCCTCCCACGGTCACCTTTTTCCCTGGACACCGAACCCTACATCCACCATACATCCTCATACTAATCAATTGTTCTGTTCATACACTGCACAGTGTCCATGACGAAAAAATAAATTTCCCTTGGCTTGGGACAACAGTAAATCAAGATCAGAGTCGATCAGACCCAGGTCCCAGTGGTACTCGGCGTCTCACAGCAGAGCGGCATATTTCTATTGTGGAACCTTGATAAGAAGACCCTCGATAACAGGTCACCCTTGATAACAAGTGTCATTTTCAAATCCCCTCAAAATTATTTTACCCCTAATCACATGTTATTACAAACCTCGATAAGAAGTCAACCTTGATAACAATAGTCTTATTTTACAATCCCCATGAGTCTTGTTATCAAGGTTCTACTGTATATGCTTAGTTCGCGAACCAGCATGATCGGGGGTTTAACGGGAGGTTTTATGGGGCACAAATTGGAACAAGAAATTTATACATTTTCTCCAGACCTTTTTAAAGACCTTAAAAAACAAATAATTTAGTATATAAAAGTGTTTTTGTACGGTTTTATTGGTTATAGAGAAAATTATAAAAATTGTTTGTTTAAAATTCTCATGTTACTCTTATGGAGAATATTGTAAAATGTTGTAGTTGAAGTTGGCTTGTTTAGTGATATATTTTGATCAAACTTGGCATATTTATTTATTTTATACTAAGCTATTAATATTTTCATATTCTGTGCTTGTGGAGGAATCGTGATGTGCCCTAGGTTCACTGAAAAATAGTGAAAATTATACACCATCGCGAAGAATTTTGTCATCTCACGATTGCAGCAGAATCATCTCCGTCTCTCGTGTTTACGGAAAAATCATTACCGGTAATGTGTCTTCAGTATCGAAGGAGTTGTGAATGACTCTCGTGGTTGCAGAGACTCGATTATCGTCACCCTAGATCGCTGCAAAGTCGTGATTTTTGATCGCACAATCTTCACAGTCGCTTTTGTTGATCACCAGAATAAAAACGTAGCTTAAAAATCGCTCACCCCCTATAACTCGGTATGCGAGGCGAACTTTTTTCCTTAGGGCCAGGTAAAAAATGTTACCTTTCTGGTCTTGGACCAAAATCAGGTCAGGATGAAATCGGGTCGCTTTCCTAAAGTATTGATTTATCAAAACATTGATTGTTGTACTATAATCGACCCAAACGATTTCTGCAATCGTGGCAAAAATGAAAGATGTTGATCCCAATCACTGGGAGATCGAGAGCGTCTCCTATTTCCATGGGAAAGAGACAAATTCTTTTGTGATCACAGAAAAATCTTCTACTTATCCTGTGATCACGACAAATTTATGAACATTTTTTCCACGCTTGCGGGGTCATGAAGAAGTCGTAGTAATTTTCCGAGATTGTGGAGCAATGATAAACATCTCCTACTTACGTTCACAGCAGAATACGACGTAGCATCTTTCGCTATCACGGAGATATATTCAAATTCTCCCAGGTTCAAGCAAGGCCCCACTAGAAAAACAATATCGTAAGAGTAAGAGTCCTCTGGCGGTCGTGGTGAAGGTTTAAAACATGGGCAGGGTGGAGGAACCTCTTTTTCAAATAAGTGAAAATCTCATTTGAGGATTGATTGAAGCCATGTACATTTAGTTAGCAGACCTCAATCTTCTCAATCTCAATCATCAATCAATTCTCTGTTGAAATCAGGCCACTATGGCAATCCATTCTTATAAAAAAACTAAAGGATAGGGAATGTAGTTTTTCAAAGAATAGGGAAATGACGAGTTCTCAAAAATTTGCTCAGTATGTTAACTCAGAGTAAGGATTGTGATAGGAATAAACAAAATTTACATGCCATTTTTTGCAGCATAATACATCGCTCTGCCATTTTGTTGGTTTTCCAGGGACACCAATTCCTGTTGTCTCCGTGTCCGCATTGCTCGACCACGAAGCTTCATTGGTGTCACCTTTGCGAGCTGTGTGATTAGTGGTCCATTGTTATGAGCTATTTACCCTATATCTTATTTTCCTAAATATAGATTTTTGTGTTTTATGATTGGTTATATCATAGACTAACCAACACAAGTAGACTTCTCATTCCATTGTAACTTTTGAAGCTCGCCTTTTATGTCTAGTTCATGTCCGGTGACACTGATCACTAATTTTGTTTCTATTATTTTAGGGTTTACTGTTTGGTTATATAACTATAAGATGAGTTATGTTTATGATTATATAGTTTTATTTGGTTGAACAGGGTTTTATATTACCGAAACAATAAAAAAACAAATTGTATAGATCACACGACCTCTACAGTGCACGGACAGAACTAACAATAAATTTTGCTTTAGCTGTTCCATAAGGATGAGAAATCTACTAAAGAAGTACGTTTTATCCACGGTTATATTTTGCATTTTGTATCATAACTGCTACTCTCTGTAGTTTATTCAAACTTATGTTGGTTTTGTGTATTGTTTGTTGTAATTTGTTGGTTATGTTTTTTTTTACTGAGGACGGGATCAGATTTAAGATTCCGAAACATTGTTTTTGTATTTTACCATTGTTATGGAAAATGTCTACTCTGCAATAAACCTTTAAACAACAAACCTTCACCAAGAATGAACTTCAAACAAAGAATCTAATCAGCAACATTTATTTTCCAAGAGAAAAAAATAATTCGTTTGAGGCTTCAAGTGAGGCTATGTCCCAAGGCCGAGGCCTCTGGCAATCATTGTTAGGGAAATACTGGCCTATTAATTTGACCTCTACAAGTAAATATTTTTGTCCATAGAAAAATAGAATAAATATAGACCTACAGCAGTGCTGCGGTTAGCATATGTTCCGGCATCCACCGCAGCAGTGTCTGCTGGTAGCATACGGCTCCTCGCCTGCAGCATTTTATAAATATAGTTCCTTATTCAGACAAAACTGACAAGGATCAGATTATAAAACAATAATGATGAGAAAGATCCAATATAAGTAGTAGCATCTTGCGAGCAACCACAAATAGGGCCCACACATGCCTACCCTATTTTCCTATAACCAATAGTGTATTGTTGACCATAAAACATCTTTCATTTTGCTTAATGCTAGAGGACTCTTGAAAAACTTGATGGGAAAACAAATAAAGCAAAACAAAATAACAAAATTATAAACTTTATATTTTATACCTAACTTGTTTCTATTACACTAAACCAATCCGTATCAAGATCATCCATAGAAAAACTGTTTTCCTTTCTCTTGTCCCTGGGTTCTTTTCTTCTTGGCTTTTTCTTCATGGAAGATATCATTGTTAGGTCTTGCCCATTTTGACTGTCCCGTCCATTGTTTGAATCTGCACTTTTCTTAACTAAACCATCTTCATTGTCACTGTCTTCATCAACCTCCATTTTGATCTCCAACTCAGGTTCTTCTTTGGACTTGGCATCTTCATTTTTTCTAAACATAAAAATAGCATTAACTACATAGGAATATATTAACTTAGCAATCTATTAACACTTCTTGAACAAGTGGCCGGTTCCTTCCTGTATATCAGCATAATAGTTGTGGTAGCAGGTTTCCTGTAGATTCTGTAGAAGAGACTAGTTGGTGCTTGTACAGTAACCAGCTGGTTTGCCCTACTATGGCGTTTCTTTCCTGCTCTGCAGAACGCTTTGACCTTGAACGTGAGGTATATAATGATTTCTGCGCTAAAAACATAAATTTGTATATGTTAACATTTTTCTTAACCATAAATATTGTTCCAACTTACCATATAATGTTCCTTTTCAAATAAAATACATTCCAATAAATAACAGTTACTTTTTATTCTCGACAAATGACCTGGATGTTATTTTTGTACATGTTGTGATGTAATTTATCTATACAGTAAATTTACAGTTAGCATACTTATCTATTTTGTTGTTGTTGAGTAAATCAATTTTTGTGCACTAAGTTTGTTATTTTGAAGTAGAAATGTAAAACGTACGAGAAATTGAATTTTAAATCTTTGTCCATTTGGAAAGGGTTTAAACAAACAAATATTAATAAATATTTCAAATATGTTAAAAGACTGTACCTTGTTACTGCAAGTGACTTGAGGAACGATTTGCAGAAGAGATGTATATGAGGCATCGTGTTGGCTGGACTGGTGAGCAACTGTAACAAGATGTAACATGTCAAACCACTTTACTATTACTAGTCATTTTGAAGCTTGTTGTATAAATGTAAATGCCTTCAATGTGTTATTTATTTCTTTGTACAGGACCCCAACCCCTGTTAATGTATTTTTTTTTATATCTTGAATATTTACTAATTTTTATTAGTAATAAGAAGCTGAATAGTAGAATTCTTAAAAGTAAAAAACATTGAAACAGTAACACTTATTAATATTTTTGAATCATTTAACTTGTATAATGTCAATAATCTTCCAACCAGGCAAAATAGTAATACAGATAACATAGTTTCAAATATTGATAACAATATTGTTTTGAATACTGGGCAATATGCCATTTCTGACCATGAGGTTATTAAGTTTAAATTCTCAGTTTCCGCAGACTCTTCCTACATAAAGGTGTCCTTTAGGAAGGTGAATGAAAACAAATTAGATATGTTTGTCAATCACCTGCATCAATTTGACTGGCGACAACTGTTTAAAATGACCAATACAAATGCCGCTTTTGAATATTTTGTCAATACTTACATTTTAAAGGTAAAAATTCTCACATCTTTGTACAATTTTTACTGCACTAGAGTCCAAAAACAAATTAAAGTGCACGGTAAAAATAAATACCCCCGCCACAGCAAACCTGCAGACTAAGTGAATTGCCATTTGCCTGATTGGATTTACACTAAAATGCCTCCTTAAAAATATCACATTTATTCCCTATTTAAATAGAATTAGTTTAACGAGTATTTAGGTTTGCTGCAACAGGGAGAGTAAAAAAGTGTTTTTTGTAGTAAAATGTTAATATTTTCGAAATAAATAAATACATTTTCCAAATTTAATCAAAATATGTTCATAAACAAGCAAACTTTAACAGTTTACTTATTCTCCATAAAAATAACATGAAAATTTTAAATTAAAATTTTTTTTGAATTTTTTCCGTAACCATTAGGCGCATAATAACGCTTATTCCCTACATGGGAAATTCACAAAAAAAAAAAAAAATTGTATTTGCAATGCAAACCCTAAAAAATCATATAAGAGTGGCCCAACTACATAAAACCTAAGGGATAAAATTTGCAAAATTTATTTTGATCTTAACCTTCAAATCTTACAATAGAAAACAGAACAATGGAAAGTTAACATAACTCAAAACATAAATTTTAACATTTTTTACAAGATCATATAAAATATAACAGTATTGCCAAAGACAGTAAAATTGTCAAGGTAAAAAAGGTTTATTAAGAGGGTGAAAATCCTTTGAAGAAACTGTGTAACGAAACAAATTCATCAGAGAGGTCTTTCTAGGGATGAAATGCTTTCGATATAATTAGCATCTGAAAATGATAGCAAAGTGTGAATAGGATTTGGTGGCTGATAAATAGCATTATACATTGAAGGTCCACCCCTCTTGCCAACCCCCCCCCCACCATTGACTCACCCCCATTTTACCCCCCCCCCCACCCCCTGAGTCAGCCGAATTATTCAGTGTTTTGAGACCGCCTGTAGTATCAACACACGGTAAGTTGGTCCACCTATATTTGACTGACTTTAAACCAATTATAAACCATAACCAAGAAAATTTATTTTTTAAATTCAACAATTGGTAATAGAAATGCCATTGTTTGGATAAACATAGGTTTTAAAAAGTTCACATAAATGGGTGAAAAAAACTAGAAAATAATAAAAGATAGATAAATATAATATTAATTTGAGAAGAAATATAAAAAACATGCAAAGGCCTACTTAACATTTATGTTATTCTGTTGATTGAGTTTTTTATAAAGTTATGTATAAACTAGTTCCTGTAATATTTTTAAATAGATTAAAAGGTTTTACCCTAATTTCCATGTTATTGTTTTAATACTTGTTTATTGTTATTAGTACTTACTTATGGATAAAACATTTTATTTTGTACATTATTATTTGTATGATGTATAATTGACGTTACAGTTACACACACTGTGTTAAAAATGAAAAGCATATATATTTTTAAATAGTCTGCATATATAATAATTTGGTGAATTGCAAATTACAGTTTTAAAGTAAAGTGACAACATTATTTAAAAAAGGAAGTACACATATCTCAAAATATTCATCAGAATTAGGGATTTAAAGTACCGTTAAAGTGATTTTAAAGGATTCCTTAAAAAAGAGATTTTTACTCTATATAAATATGCTTAGAGTTGATATAGTTTATAAATTTTAGATTCAGTTTATACAGATATTTTATAAGTTTGTCATGCATGAAAGTTTAACGTTTGTTTATTAGGAAATACAATTTAAAAATTCATTGTTACGTTTTGATAAATTTTGAAAAAAAAATATTGTAAAACTACAAAGTTTTCAAACAAAAATATATAAATCTTATATTAGACATTAGAAAGAAAAACCAAGCTACATACTTGGTGATATTTAGAATTGATAATAATAATATGGTACTATTATTATACCATCTGTGTATGAAAAATATTATACAATCAGAGCCATTAATTAATTAACTAACTTTTATAAACCCATCTCCTTTCACAAAGATCCAAAAATAAAGATAGAGTACAACACATTTATTTTTAAAGGTACTTGTCAGTGACAGATTGCATTTAAATTGACTTACAACCTTACATAGGTAATTAATAAATAATGTATATTATTTACCTTATTTTAGTGTTTCAAATTTATTATTCATTACGAAAACTAATTACAGTTTTAGCATCAGGTAAAATAAATTCCATTTATCAATAAATTTTTACTGTTCAAAAAATTTATTTTCCCATTTAGACACAAAAACCTGTAAATATTAATGATAATAAAAAAATGAAAAATATATAGGAAAAGTAAAAATGACACAAAAAAATCTAAAATCTGACCCCAAGTTGTGTAAGCTAAAACAGACACTTTTAAATCTGACACAGTTATTGTTTTCACATCATTCCCATTCCCGCAAACTGAAAACATTTGCATGCAAATTTCCCTTTCAATCCAAATGCCGTTTTGTTTGAAATGAAAATCCCCAAGAATTTACCCTAGCTGAAATAACTAAAATTATGATTTTTTTAGTGTTTAACTAAATTCAATAAGTATTTTGAAAGTTAAATATACAATTTTTGTGACAATTTCAAGAAAAGTAATTAAAAAGAATATTCTATTTAACATATTGAAGGAATATGAACAAAAGTATCAGAATAGAAATGTGGTAAACAAATAAAGAAGTGGATTTTGGATATTAATCCTTATTTTTGATTGGTATTTACATTATTGATGTATTCTTCACTCTTGTTTACGTACTTTATTTTTATTCATAATACAATTAAAATACTGGTTTACAGTATTATAACTGAACCAACCAACTTATTCAAATTAAAAAATAATACGAATAGAAAAATTAATTAAATAATAAGAACAAATAATAAACTTTAACATTAAAAAGTGTTCACGACTGTCCTTTCTAATGGGATTACAAAAATAATTTATAATAAGAGAATTACACCACATTAAATTAAAGAGCCTAGGGTTACGCTAGGGCCACTATTGATTGGTACAACGCGGTGACTGTTTGTCCTAATTCAAGGTGCCGATACAACGCATGTTTACCAACTTCGCAAATTAAATAAAAATTGATTAACTGACAACATGTTGTGGTGACAACAAATATTAACCATTCAAATGACTGGATATGACTTAAATGATGTTATAATTATTAGAAGAAAAAAAATGAAACCAAGATTATATTTTATTTACACTTTAGCTGCAACTAGAAAGTTTTGTAATGTCAAATTATTAAGAGATTAACTATTATTATTAACATCAAGGCTGAGCTTTAAAACATTACCACACTGTAGTAATACCTATGATATTTTTTTTGCTTTGAGTTTATTTAGGCATACAATGGGTTTCAACGACTTGAGACGACAAGGTCGTGTAAATTTGGTGTAAGGCGGGATAAATTGAATGAGATTGTGAACCAGCATAATCGGACGATGGGATCAGGGTTTTACAGGGAGTTTTATCTAAGGGAGTATGATTTATCTATGGTTTTATGGAGTAAAAATTGGTTTTTCTAATTTTTGACCATCAATAAACAAAAATTCCCAATTTCTCTCTAGACCATTTTAAAGAGCTTAAAAAGACGAATAATTTAGTAGTGTTTTTGTGCGGTTATTGGTTAGGGAGTTGTAAATGTCAAAATCTCATGATATTCTTATGTAGAATATTATAAAATGTTCTAGTTAGCTTGTTTATGGATATATTTTGATCAAACTTGGGAAATTTATTTATTGTATACTAAGCTATTAATATTTAAAAAAAAACACACACTTTATTAGCTCACCTGATTGCTGCCTATGGCAACAAACATAGGTACTCGTTTAACCTAACTTAATGTTATTTAAATAGATTTTAATTTTATATCAATTCAGGCAAATGGAAATTCGCTTAGTCTGTAGGTTTGCTGTGGCGGAGGTATTTTATTTTTTTTTATTTTGTGAGGATTTCATAAATGACCTTCATTTTAACAATACATATATTTTCCACAAAGTAATGTAAGTTTTGTATAAAAACTACCATTATTTAAAAATAGGCATAATTCAATCTTAAGATGTAGTTTGACAGATAATTTAATTTAAAACTTATAACACCCTGTATACAAGACAACTTTAGTGGTCAAACATGGAGGTCAAAACACTGCCAATATGGTTTTAGTAGTTTTGGGTATTTTTTCCAATTTAATAGGCCTACTACTTTTATTTGACGGCTTGTTTGTTATTCTATTGGTGCATTCTTGCTGGTTCTTGAATATAAAGGTAATTGTATGTTAACCTTAAGAAAAATGTCAAATACAGTGTATCTTGTGTGTGTGTATCTTGAATCTTGGGTATGTAGATCATTGTTTTGTGCAAGAGGGTAGAACATGGATCACATTTATTGTTTGTGATATCTTAAGACATGGACTGGTTGACTGATATGCCATCTATAGAAGGCTTGCTTATGAGTAAGAACCAACTTAAATAGCAAAATCTTGACTCAGAATAACATTTTATCTATCAGCTTTATTAAACTACTGTGTCACACATACATTTTAATTATAATGGTAAAGGATTGGTTTTTTTAACTTTAAGGTTAGTCTATAAGTTTTTCCTAAAAAATAAAAACCATGAATTTCCAACGATCTATTATTGTAAAACTTTTTTCTAAAATTAGAGTCGTTTATCAGTAAATACAGGGTAAGTTTCTCAACTTTGAAGACTTATTATGTTGATCACCAAGTAAATAATGAGTTTATCAAAAAGCACTGGACAGTTTCAAATTGTTTTTACTAAATCAATTATTTAGCGAACAACATCGCTTTACGTCTAATTTTGGTCATTGTTTTATTAGGCAACAGAAACAAAGGAATGAGGTTGACATGCAACTTAGCGGTGGTCCTTCTATCCCTGATGTTTTTGGTTTGGGCCGTAGTCAGCCACCCTGTTGGTAGCCCAGAGATAGCTAGTATCAAAAACATCAGCTCACATCATAATATCAAGGTAATCTACTCTATCATATACAAATTAAAGTGCTTTCTATCACGTAGGAGCAAATAAGCTAACATTTCACCCAAACATAACTTTTATTCCAAAAAAAAATCCAAGGCATATTGCTGTTTCTACATCTTGACTTAGGGCTTGGTTCCAGGTCTTCTTAGTTTTGGGAAGTAAACATTGATTGGTCTCCATCGTAACAAAATCGAACAAATTAGATTTTTATATTATTGTTTTGTTTATATATTTTTAATGCTATTATCTTTACACTTGTATACAGCTGATGGAAAACAACAAGAATGGATGATTTAAATATAATAGCATTTATTTATTCTCTTTTGAGATCACCAATGGCATCAATAATTATAAAAACCCTAAAATTTTTTACATCCATAAAGTGATATTACATACAGTAGACTCCCTCTTATCCGGACTCCTCAGGACCGACACCAGTCCGGATAACGGTTTTTTCAGTTAAGCCGGAGTCCGAGAAAATTCGTTAAAACGGACCGTTTAAAAGCATACTGTATCTTATCTGTAGTCTTAAATTTAGTAATGATTGATAAAAAATACAGTTATGAATGGATATATTAGGCCATGATTTGTAATAGGCCTAATTGATAATTTGAGAGGAAGAGTAGGCTTAGCTATGTCAAGATAAGCTTTAAAAATGTAAAAAATGTTTTTTTTATTACTGACTAATTTGTTGGTATGTATATGTGGGCAATAGTTTGTATACTTTTATAGACTTTAATAACGGTTTAAACTGATAGAATCAGGGTTTTGAGTGGAAAAGAAATAATGAAAACGTGTTTTGTTTTTGTATGATTATAAAATACTCTCAGCCTGCTCTTAAGTCAACCGAGCAAAAACAGAATTGTGTTAACATGTTTTGTAAACAGTGCAGCTGGTGATTCACTGTATTCTGCTGACGGGACAAATTGTCTTGAGGCTTCCCAATGTTGTGCATGTAATCAGCTGAAACTGGCGTTAACTGTTTAAAAGTTCCAGTATTCGGTCAAATAAGTACTAATACAAACTTTACTATAAACATCTTTACATAAAATCAAGTTAAAACTAAAATTATTTTTGTTTGTTTGTTCATGTGATAAGATATTCCTAACGACAATCTACAACATCATTTGTCTTAACAATGATTGAAACTTATTTTAAGGAACAGATTGTTTCCAATTCAACTTGTTATAATTTTGTTTTCTTAATCTACATAAGACAGTTAAATAAAAACTAATTGTGAAACTGGCCAAAGATTTCAAACAAGTTTAAGAACATGCTTACTGTCTAAAAACAATTTCAAACCCTAAACAAAATTGTTGAAATTTTTTAATGTTAGTATGGGATGGGTGTGTAGCGGTTAGCAACTTGGATTTTGGCAAGGCAGTGGCTGGTTCGATTCCTAGAATGTTTACAAAAATATGAGGGGTTGAGCCTTTTTGATAAAAGTGTTTTGACTCTTTCATATGACCATAGACACAAACAAATTCAATGAGAAAATTTAATTGATTGATATTTTTGGGGGGAGTGAAGACTAGAGTATAGCTACCCACCCAGATCTTTTGGTCTTTCCTGGCACCTCTCAATTCAGTCCACCAGTCAGGCTCTTGTCAAATCTTATTTCCATTGGCCTCAAGTTTGCCTTTCCGAGAAACCACCTCCAATGCACAAAACCTGCATTGATCTGTTTGGCTGAGCCATATGGTTCTATGGTGCTTCCTTATTGGTGCTATAATGTTATTGAATTTGTCGGCCCAGAATACCTTTCTAATCACTTAAGGTGTATTTGATATCAAGAAATCAGTGTTTCGGTGTTACCCCTGTTATGTGACTGTGATGCAATACATTTAAAATAATAACAGATGTTGTTCCACAGGATGAAAGAGAAATGAGAAACATTCCGCAGTGGCATTGCTTGCGCTATCGCCGCTTCGCTCTCGTCAAGCGATGTCGAAACTACCGACGACACTAATGTCACCGAGGAAATATTTATGTACAAGATTAACTCGTTCCTTAAAAGTTATCAGACTGATTGTACATTTACCAATAGTAGAAACTTGGTATAAGATAACAAATAATGAACTGAAACCGAAGGAGAAAAGTAGCTCTCAGAACTTAGTGCCTTTACATGTAAAAAGTTAACCACTTACAAGGCATAGACGTTGGTTATGTTATTTACATCTAGAATTTTGTCAAGAAATGTAAAAATTCAGTTTGATTTTGGTGTTGTACTTAATTTACATTATTGTATATTACTTTAAAGATGAATGGATAGATAATGAATAATTATTGATTATAGGTTATAATTTTGTGTAATTTATTTTCCTCCCATAAAATTCAATTTCAAAATGTACATACAGGGTGGTCTGGACATAGCGTTAAACATGTTTTCGGGTGGTAGGGCAACACAAGTGTGACTGAAATCCACAATTAAAAAAAAAATATATTCCATACACCCACTTGCAGAAACATTATTTTGATTTTTTTAAGAAAAACCTGTACATTTACAAAACATTTTAAAATTCCTCTAGTATTTTCATAAATTTATATAACTTTCACACTACCATCATATTCTTAATTAAATTCTATATAAGAGTATACAGCTTTTGGTGAGCCCAAAGCTTCAGCATTACTATTATGCTAACTATATATGCTAACTCGGTCCAGAATTTGTTCTTTAACGCACACTTCCACAGGTGGTGCACCCACCTTACTAAGTTCCTTGTATACGGATCCACGTTCTACCCATGTGATCATAGTGAAATAATAATGTTTACATGCTGCAACATGTACATGGTGGCAAATTTAGTGGGTCTAATCTTTTACCGCGCTAACCTTGCAGGCAGAGTTTCCAATTTGCAACAAGTTCTTGGCATTATTAAATCCTTCAGAAAACAATTTATTTAATTTCCAGCTTAAAAATGATTCAGTGTAGTTTTTTAATTAAAATTATGAACTATGATTATGTCATACATTAACATTATACTTTCTACATTGTTCTGTGAATTTACCTTTCTAAACTAGGCCTACTGTAATTTTAAAATGATTTAGACATCCTAATTTGGTCTAGAATCAGAATCGCATCAGGAGCCAAGATCCAAAGAAAACACTGAAATGGCATAGTCAGAATCAATAAATTTTGGAATTGACCTAGCAATAAAAAAAATTAACACCCAAAACAGCTTGTATATTACCTTTCTGACGGCCTGGTCCCCGGCTGTGCCCAGCTGTATGTGGGACAAGGGTTGTTGTCGCTCTGTCGTGTTTGTCGTCTGCTGAGCCGTCAGTACAGTGAAGGGTGTGACAGCGGCAGAGGGGACGGGTCGTCTCACAGGGCCTCGCTGCGGTTCACTCTCCAGCTCTAGAAACTGCAATTCCTGCGCAACCAACTTGTTAGAAGATGGGATGATAAGAAATCACTAATGTGTTAAATTAAAGCAATATTGTCAAAGTGTTGAAATGATACTTTGTTGTTGAAAGCACACTTTCTTGTTACTTTTATAACTATCAACTACTGTATCAAATACTAATACAAATAAAAAAATTTGATAATTAAAAGCAAAATCCTTATTAGACATTTTAAAATGATTGTGTGATTTATATGATAACAAAAAAAAAAAAAAATATATTTAACTTTAAAAAAATAATAAAGAAATCTTCCAAAAATGTACAGAAGGTAATAGTAAAAGCACAGTAATCTGGCTTCTGATGGTCTGGCACTAATAATAATTTGGTATTGATCCACATGTCCAAAGAAATTTTGTTTGGGCCTATATGCTGTTTTTGTACTTACAATTAATTAACAGTCAATAGCGACCAGTAGATGATGGTATTGTATTGTCCGGGATGAGTAAAAAAACAAGAATTTGATTAACAAAAAGACATTGGAATATTTTTCTTACCAATGCAATAAAATACGGCTACGAATTAAATTTTGTAAATTATGTATGGATAGGATTGCAAGACTCTCACAAAAAAGGCCTACGGTAAGCTAAAACATCAAAATTGTATCGTAAGAAAATTATCCATTTCTTAAATGTTAGGCCTAATTACTGTTCTTGCAATATGTTATATTTAACAAAATATTAATCCTAATTTTAAGTATCACATCACAAATCAATCATTGTCAAGGTTACCCACGATCATTGGGAAATCATCATTAACGTAACCATCGTTAACGGCAAAATCACAAACATCTCCAGCAAGAAATTTTCAGAACCCTTCCATCCCTATGTCAATATTTTTAATGTAAACATGGTTAAGTATACAGTGCATATTTTTAGGTTAGATATAAGATAAACTAGTACCTAGTATAAAACACAATAAACAGAAAAATGGCCAGCCAGTCAAGTTTCCTTTTGACGCTCTATATTTGGCATTATTATTGCTCTGTTTATAGAAGACATTCAGTATCCGGGGTTTTCAATAATTCGGCACTGCCAAAGTCCCAAACCGATTAGAGAGTGTCTACTATATCTAAGTTGAATTTATATTTTTATCTGACACCACACATATATCGATTCATTACCTGGTTAGAATCAATGAAGTGCAGTTGGGAATTAGAACACCAGGCAGCAGCAGTGTCTAGCAGCTTGTGTGGTCGAGGAACAAACATGGCTGCCAACACACTGGTGTCAGGGCGACAAACCTCTCGTCTTTCATACACTGGTGTAGAGCTCGACGGAGCAAACACAAACACTGTAACAATAATTCAACACGGATTAGCTGAAACTTTTACAATAATTGCTTAAAAAAAGTCTGTCAAGACACAATTTATTAAAGTAATTGTTCATTTGTGGGTTTGCAACAAACATTGTTAGACAGAGAAAAATACAACTATTTTGTAAATTAAAATAATCTTAAACATTTATTGGTTGTAATAAGTGCTTAAATTATACCATTTTTCCTGTATAAATTGTGATAGAATAGGAAAATTGTAGAACCATGGAACACAGGCAAAAATTCTATTTTATTTCCCCGTATATCTGCACCTTTTAGCAGGCTCGTAAATATAGGCCTACTAGAAGTTTCTATAAAAATGTGATTTACATTCTCTAAATTCAGCAATCCTCTGCAAAAAAGTAAGTATGCTTCTTACCTACAAATTACCATTTTAATCTTAGCTTACTGGGAATCACATGTCTGAAGAATATTAAAAATACCATTAAAATAGATTGATGTGCGGAAAGCTCACCAGTACAGGGACAAAGTGAGCTATTCTTATCTTTCCCTAGACAAATGGTCCTACAGCTTAGGATGGACCTAAACCACAGAGTCAACACTATAACATGGCTGTTTCTTAATTTAAAATAAAACTAAATCTTTAGATGAAGAATTCCATTTAATGAACTACAAGTTAGTTTGTTTACAAGTAAGTTTGTTTGCACAAACAATATAATAATAATTAACAACCATATGACTTTATATAGTCATATGTCAATGGCTAAAAGACGTTGCTGATTAATGATAAATCTGGGTAACTAGAATAGAATCCCTGCATCTAAGACACGTAGCAGTAACCCAACAATTCTGGGAACAAAGATTTAAAACCTAGTTGGAGAGACATTTACCAGCATTGTCGGTTGTGATCACTGCCATATAGGAAGAGAGGGGGTCAGCACACAGCAGCGAGAACTTGATTCTGACGACCCAGACAATGGTGAGGGACAGAACACTCCAAACATGCATCTCTGCATCGCTAGCAGTCACCACCAGGTGGCAACACTCGTGAGAACCAAACTCAACTGCTCTGAAACCAGATATGTCATCAGATAATATGTAGGGAAAGAAACATTGTTCTTCCAAAAATGTCACAAAAAATTGCACAGTTTTGTTACACTTTTTACAGTGCTTTAGAAGTTTACTGTTAATTTCTTATTTAGAAAACACTATTATTCAAGCTTTTTTTCTATAAAAGTTGTTTCATTATGTATTGAAATATTTTAAAGGGGTACAAATGATCCCAGAATACCATTGCCATTCTGCTTATATAGTTTATTCGATTTAATCCTAGTTTTTATTAATCCTGGACTTGGATACCTAATCAGTTCACATTTAAGACAGTTTACTGTGTTGTACTCTTACGCTTTGAGCCTATTCATTTTTTAACTTCTGTCTCTGATGTTTCAGACTTTTTTAGAATTTTAAGTTCACACAGTCTGGTTTGCGGGTATTTGAAGTATTTGAACATAGGGAGTGTAGAATAAAACAAATTAGCTGATTTGCTCATTAACAAAGCGAATGAACTGCTGATGCTATCTATTTGTTGGAATGGGTTTTACCTGAGTGTTCGCTTGTCCCTGGTGAGTGAGGTATTGAGTTGACACAGCTCAGAGTCCCAGAGAGTGAGACTTGGACCGAAGGTAACTCCCAGCACAGAGCCGTCTGCTGAGAACCCTACACACTCGGGCACTAGGCAGTGGTAGTGACCTACACTGTCACACACCCACCTCAGTCCCTCGCCTGAAACCATGACAGAAGTGGAGGGGCTGAGAAGATTGGTTAACTTATTTTATCTCTTGAAATTAAATGAAATATTCCTTTGTTGTCACAGATACATTTCAATTTTTCAGCGATGCTGGCAAAACAGGTGACTGTCCATTACTAAAACTAGATTTACAATACGTTCCTATAAACTAAATAAATGTAATATAAAAATGTTTAACTGTTATTTAAATATTCAGAAATAGAGTCAAACTATTTTTCTAAGAGGACCATACTGACTACCGGGTAACTGGTTTTTGAATTTTGAAACATAAATTATTTCTCTGAATTTGGTAGGTAGACCATTGTAAAGCTTGGATCTCATGTATAATGTTGATCTTTTTTACAGAGGCGATTTCTTGGATATTTCAAATAATTTTTAAAACGAGTAGGATACTGATGGATTAATTGATTGTTGGTTGTATGATCGGTATTTACTTTTTAAAGAAACCATGATTTTGAATAATAAAGAGAAGGCATTGTTAATATCTCATATTTTTTGAAAACAGGTTTACATAATGTTCTTTTTGGTGCAAAAGATAGGATTCTTAAAAACTTCTTTTGGGTCTCAAAAACTGTATCGGCATATGAAGTTGAGACCCATAGTTCAATGCCATACTGCATGATGGAATAAAACATTGTATAATGTACAGTAAGTTTAGTTTCTAAATAAATTATATTCTTGAAAACACATTGGAAAACAGGCTGTATTCAAACTATTTGGGCTCAAAATGGCCATCTCATTGGGCACAAGAATAACATCACCAAAATCGTACCACGGCAAAATTATGAAAATCTTTTGCAATCACACATCAAGAACAAGTGCTTAATCATCCAGCAGTTTGCATTGGACAAGGCAGTAAAGAATCACCATATTAATCCTTTCTGCACGGGCAGAACAACCAGTAAATTATTTAGAACTATCAAAAACCAAGAGAGATATTAGATTTTTTTAAATACCACACTCTGTAAGAGGCTCAGCTTTGTTTTCCTTGAGTAAAACACTGTCTACAGCTGATCAACTCACTGTGTATGGACTCTGTGACGGAGGGTTGCCACAGTCTAAACTTGCCGTCTTGACCCGCAGTAACCAGCTGGTACGTGTCACTGGCCACCTGCGGCTGGAACTTGACTGCTGTAACGGCTCTCTCATGGGGCTGCTGTACACAGGTGTTGAGACTGAACCTGTACAAGGCAATCAACTGTTACAAAATCAGCTACAATACATGTAGCGTCGCTTTATGTTTTTTGTAAGGGGATGTAACCTGTATGCCACATGTTAAGTTTTTTAACCGTTTTCTCACGAATTAATTATCCCCCCCATTTTTCTCTTTTAATTGTATTTATTTTTTAACAAAACGACACATCTTTACATATTTGAATTACAAGGCAATCTGTTTACAGCTATTTGTTCTACTGAACATTGTTTCAAGTTAAATTCTACATAAAAAAATGACTACAGTAGAACCCCTCATATCCGGCCACCAAGGGACCAAGCCCCTGGCCGGATAACGATTTGGCCGGATAAACCAACCTACTATGAAAATGACAATTCATACCTAATAATAATAGGTAATCAATATATGCAATCAAAAGTATCATTTAATTCTGTTCTGGGATCATTTTTAGAAAAATAAACATGTCTGTAAAAAGGAAAAAAAATATTTGTAGGTTAAAGTCATTACTGTAAGTAATGAATGTACAAATATTATGATTCCAGGCAACAAAACATATTAAATGGAGGTAAAAATGACAATAAATTGTACTTAAAGATCATTAGGACTTAAATGGTACTTGCATTTCTACTCAACATTCTTAACCATTTTGTGAAATACAAAAATTATTGTACTCATACTGTACTGTACTAAACCCACTTTGGAAATAATCAGCCAACTGATCAGAGGTTAGGCCTACTAGCTCAACTGAGTATAGTGACTCAGCAAATAAATGTATAAACAAACAGATAAATAATGAGAACAATTTATTTTATGACTTGAGCAGTCACAAATACTAGTGCTTGTATCTAAACGTCTGTAAGGTGTGAGAAAAAAATTTTGATATTGGCTTCCTGGAAGGGGCCGGATAAACAGAGGACCGGTAAAACCAAGGCCGGATATGAGGGGTTCTACTGTATAAGTTATCGCGTTTGAAGAGTGTATTTTTATACTATAAGATAAAATAAATGGCAAGTATAAAAAACAATACTTAAATTAATTACAAGTTTTGTCAGATTTAAACTAGCTCAAAACTTTACAAGGGGAGTTCGTTGGTCTTAATTTATGGACACTTAAATAAATTTAAAAAATCTTAAGGCAAAAATTTCAGTTTGTCCATTTCAAAAGATAACTTACTACAACTCGATCACACGCTGTAATGCTCAGAGCTAGGCACATCCTAAGCTTGACCAACTAATAGTGAACCTATTCACTGCAGTCAAACATTTCATACGGGACTACTTTATTTATGTGGGATTTACTGTTGTACTTGTTATGAAAATACAAAATTTTGATGATGTTTTACGTAATTACAGAATCAAATGTAATCTAGTTTAGAATCAAATGATTTTGATATGAAAGCAAACCATATACACAATACAACTGTGTAAATTAATTGAAAATCAAGCTACTGTGGACAGAGATATATCGTCTTGTGAACGCGAACATGGTAACGCTGTAAACGGACCAAAAACCAAACACAGAGTATGCAATCCAGTTGTAATAAAGATCGATGAGTGGATCCCAAAACACATCACAAGCTACAATAGTCAACATACTGCCTGGCATTGAACTTGTACTGCCAGAACTTGAGTTGAGTGTCACAGCAGGCGTGTTGATCGTCTTGCGTCTCCACGGTAACCAGCCAGTTGCCATCGTAGGAGACGGCCACTCTGGTCACCTCGGTGTTGATAATCTCCTTAGTCCTCTCTTGTGACAAGTAGTTCTGTCCGACGATGTCCAGCTAGAACAATGCACAGTGATTGTATGAACTTATGGCTAGCTTAAATGTCCATGAGTACTTCGTACCTGACCTTACTTACGTACTGTCTCTACTAATTCCAATTTCTTAGATCCTCCAGTTTTAATCGGTTGGCGACCTTTTTAAATGTTCTATTTGCTCATCCACGTGAGACTCAGGCATGTTATGTGTGTGAGACGAATGAAGCAAAGCAAGGGATGAGATGGCACAATAATGAGCCTGGTGGAGTACAAGTCTCAAAGGTGATAAGTCATGAAATCATTGTTGAGCTAGCCATCAAATGCTGACAGGTTTCACAGCTATCAGAAAAAAAGTGAAGTTTTAAGTATGCTGAAACTACTACCGGCCAGTTGTACCCTCGTTATCACCACTGATAACAGTCCAGAGAGCCGCGAGACTCTGGTGAGATAACATGTTGAGTTCGGAATTATCAGCAATAGTACTTTTCAACACTCTCCTCTCAAGAGGATTTTTCATATTTTTAATGCATAACAATTTTTTTTCTTGTTAGGATTTACCAGAAGCTGATCTTGAGGTAGGCTGTCAACAACTACCCATCTAGACCACACTAGTCAACACATGCTCTTCTGGGGAACTTATGTAAAAGCAGCACGAAAATTTATAACAAGGATCAATTGAAGCAACAGGTAAACTAATAAACCTTTTTTAATCTTGCAATATCTTGATCCAGAGGCTAACACATAATGAAATTCATAATTCAAATACACCTTAACGACATGTTCCAACCCAGAAAACAACATGTATCTTGTGAGAACACTGAGAACAACTGTGGAAGTCTACATTCATAATTTCAGTTCATACTCACGTTGTACAAGAGTTTATCATCGTCAGTGCTGAAGAACTGTAGATGCCCGGGACGGCCGTTGAGCACCATACTGCGGGAGCGAGAGTCCCAGACCAGCCCGGCTGGGAACATCCCAACCTGGCTGAGGCCCGGGACAGGAGTGACACCCCAGGTTAGTCTCTGGATCACACAGGACACTTTGTTCTGGGCATCGACCACTTGGATACCTGCATGAACACACGTGTCACTGCAGGGGGGTGAAAATGTCATTTGAGGTCTTTTTTTTTTTTTTTTTTTTTTTTCTACGCCAGTGGCATTTTACAAGAGAAGTTACGAGAGATCAAAGTTTGGTGGATGTGCCGGGGATGGAACCCGTCCCTCCCGCACCGAAGTCCGAGACGCTAACCACTAGGCTAGCAACACAACCAAGGTCTTGTCTTTTTAATATTTTTGCAAATAAAACCTTGTATTTGCCTGTCCACATAGGCATGCATGTTAAACGTATTCAGCAAAGCATGAGGTGAGTTGGTAGTTGGTACTAATAAAATTTAGCGACAGGCACCTGAACATGAACCAATGGGCAATGACATCACTGCTACGGATTCATAGTCAGCTGCGTTATCAGTCACCATATCAATATATTGAAGAGTACTGCTTCAGGACAAGTACAAAAGCTGAAGAAAACTACGGTATTTAGAAATAAATTAAAGAATAGGAGCAGCTAGCTGATTCTTCCATTGAATCAGAAAAAAACTAATAGAGGCAAGACAAATAACAAAACAAATAAATTGGCTGACAACAGATAAAACGTTGTAACCAGGCCTACATCTACTGATAGCCGTGTGACTCAGAATATAAACTGACATTCTTGAGAAAAATAACAGAATAGAAGACTAAACCATAGACTAAACAACACAAGTAGACTCCTCATCCCATTGTAAATTTTGAAGCTTGTTTTTCCTGTCTAGTTCATGCAGGTCCACACTGATCGCTGGGGTAGACAAAATTTTGTTTCTATTATTTCAGTTTTAGGGCTATTTTAGTGATTTGTGCTTTACTATTTCGTTATATAACTAGGAGACCAGTAATAGTTTGTGATTATATAGTTTTATTTGGTTAAATGAGGTTTTAAATTACTAAAATAACAAGAAACAAATTGTAAACAAAACACGACCTCAACAGTTGGATGTACAGAACTAACAATAAAATTGGCTTCAGATGTTCCATAAGGATGACAAATCTACTAAGGGAGTATGTTTTATCTATGACTAAACTAGTTCCATCTTCAACTAAAATTACTCTTCACCATTGTCTTGTGTGGCGACGGCGACGTACTGATTGTCTTCTGACACTACAAGATGGACAATCGGTGCTGGTAGTCGTGGCAGGAAGTGTCGAACATTCGGAGCTTCCACATTCCACCTCACCATCACCCCCTCCCCTCCACCACTGTACATGTAACTACCTAAAAAACAACAAACAAACAATATGAAAAACACACATTCCATATCCCTTCCTTATAACATGCTACAATAATGTCCACTACTGTTAGGCTTATGACAAAATATAATGCCTCTGCCTCTGGTTACTCTGATGCAGTGTCTAGTTTTTTGTATCACCCCAAGATGCTTTTTGCCTAATCTGTAATGTAACCAGGTTATGTTTGTTTTTCAGAACAATTGCCACACTGAAGAAAAGCATACATCGTAATGGTTAAATTTTGATAGGGGTAATTTTTTCAATCCCCGAACGGTTTGAGTCCGGCGCTTACGTGACATTGGTACGATGGCAACAATGATAGGCGTTGGCATTGTCGTTAACTCTAGTTCGGGACTCAGCCGCAAATGTCTCGGAGCGCTGACGTAGCGTTGGGGGGAGTAGAGAAGAGACCGGCAGGACAGTGGACAAGACTTTAGATGGCGTCAAGCGAGAGTTGGTGTACTCGTTTACTGGTAGATCGACGCAATAGAATCTTCCGAAGGCCGAGAAGTAGTAGCGAGTGACAAAGACCGACTGGCGAGCGAACCCTGGACATCTCGAACTGTCCGAGCGAACGGAAGTAAGTTTAGGCTAGGTAAACCTAACCAAACAAGATACCTCAGAACATTACCACAATTGTGTCTTGTCTTTAAATTCTGATTAAAAATTTATCACTGTCACAGTGTTATTGAGAACTATTTCGATTTTAAAAGTGAATGAAAGGTAGATATTTTAGTTTGAGTTTAGCTCTTTGGTTTAATGAAACAGACCTCTTGCCATTGAAAACTATAAAATTTTCTTGTTTTAATACTTCAACAAAGTGGATGAGTTATAGATTAATTGATTATAGATTAATGATTTCGCCATGGCCGCGGCAGCTTTGCCCATTTCCGCCTTGACTGCGATTTTATGCTTACTAGCTTTGTTAGCATCTTAAAAAAATAATGGTTTCCGATCTTTAGTTAGGGATAGGCTGTTTTTCAAAATAGCTGGGTTGTGAAAAGTGGGACCCTACTACTCTCTAAAAATGTTTGCCTGCAAAGTTTGTACCTATCTCTTAAACCTTTTTTTATAAACATTTTAAGCTAATTTACCTGATGGAGAGAATGTGATGGTGTGTACAGGCAGTGTATGCCAATGGAAAACACCTCTAGCATTACTGGAAAGAGCTTGTGGCCAGTAGAGGATACGACCAGTATCATCCCCCGCTGCCACTCCACCACCACTGGCGGGGCACGCTACAGCTGTCCACAGCCTGCCACCCCCCGCCAACATACTACAACATATCCACTAATGTTAATGGACAGAACTTGTGGCCAGTAGAGTATAAAACCAGAATCATCCCCCGCTGCCACTCTCCCATGACTGGTGGGGCAAGCTACATCTGTTCAAATACGGCCGTCGGCCAACCCCCGTCAACATGCTAAAACACATCTACCAATGTTATTACGGTTTATGGTTGTTATGGGTTGTTATGGTTGTTTATGGTTTATGGGTGTTTATGGTTGTTATTACGAGAAATAACAACCATTATGAACAGCCAGATCGAGATCTTATATGCTTTCAGAGGAATAAAACCTTGTATTAAATCAATCTAAGAACTTAAATATTTTTATACTTTAATACTTTTTAATACATTTCAATGAAATGGCGACCATACAAAGTAGGTATTTTAAGCCAAGTATGAATGGAGATAATTGTAGGATGAGTGGCGCGATCTTGTAGTCTTGTTAGTGACTAAGGCCCACTAGTTCCTTAGACACAGCTGTTAATTAATAGCCCATACAGCTAATGAAAACTAAGGGACCTACAGTTTATAGTGGAATCCGAACCACATTTTTGCCTTGGTATATACAAATTGGTCTAATTTTCAGGATAGTGCTGTGGATAGTCGTAGTACTCACTCGTGCGGACGTTAATCCACGCCAGGGAGTATCCCATCTACAGTGCATGCCTATAAATATTCACAATTTGTAACCTCCTAGTATCTGGATTACAGGATGACGCCACCCGTCCCAGTTATACATAAGTCTCATTAGTAAAGCCGCAAAGAAGTACATATCCTTCAGAAGTCAAAGTTGAATAGGTATAACAAAATCTAGTTACATTTCACAATTAGAATTTAATCTTTGAAAACTTAATATAGGGCCAAGGCCTGTAGCTCAACAAAATAAATCAAGTTGTGGGAGCATTAAATCAAATGCAATAAAATTAGACGCTAAGACCTTACCTGTTTTTCTCTTGATTGCCCTGAAGTGGAATAACCGTAAGTCTCTGTTTTTTTATTATTGCCACAAACTCATCGCAAACTGACATAGTATGAGGTTTATTCTCGATCCTAGAACAAAGTTAGAAATTGTTATTACTTTAATAGGTAATCACTAACCTTGCAAACGTATGATTTTTAGAAGCGGAGGAGTTCTCTGATGCAGAAAAAGTTCCTAACGTCTGAGAGCCTTTTTTTCTGTATTAGTGGACCTTCAGCTAATATTATTGTACTAGTTGTTTGGCCCATGCTTCGCAACGGGGAAAGAATAGACTACTTATAAGAGAATAATATTGAATACTGAATTAATTTATTTATTTATTTGAATTTATTTGTATCCAACCCAATACTTGCATTATATTAAACCATGTATTTTTTTTATATTCATAACATATGAACATGTATATATATATTCATATTTTTTTTATGTTTATAACATCATTATCTAATCTTAATTGTAAGTTCAAAACGTGTCATAAAGTCAATAGATCCTAGGGATCTAGTGGTAGAGCCCATTGGCTATGGTCCTGAAGATTTTGGGTTCTAACCCGCCACAAATAACTTTAGCTGAGCCATAATGCTGTCCTCTAGTAATGCCTTAATGTGTAAAATGGTTCCAGCCTTCCAATCTAGAGTCATAGGGTGTAAGTAAATGTAGGACAAAGAAAATGGCCAAGGAATACAGAACAAAATCACAACAGGTTTTTTAAGTACAACTCACCTGGCATACAGATTGGTCAGGTACTGTCCTGTGGCCGAGTAGTGATACAGCTGAAGGTCTCTCTTGTCATGTTGTTTGACAGCAACAACCAGACTATAGTCTGTGTTCCTCCATGGACTAGCAACAGCGTGTATCTGCACCAACGCTGTGTTTTCTGGCAGAGTGAGTTTCTGCAAAATTATAAACCCATTGATTTGATCAACTTTGTAACCTAATCAAATATACATGTTATATATTAACCTTTGGCACACCATAACTGAATATTATTGGAACCTCAAAATTTACTCGCTCAGTCGCAATTTTGGTATTCCCGCTTATTAGTTTTCAAAATCGTAACTGATGGAATGTGAATTCTTTTTTCAGGCCTACTCACCTATAGCCAAGGCGTATAACAGAAGGTCTGCATAGTGACGTCAGGTGCGCGCTGAATGTGTTTTATTTTACCAAATCATATGTTTTCTTGTAATTCCCAAAGACTTTCGAATGACAATCATTACGAATTAGCATTGAATAAATAACACTATTTAGCGTTTTATATCCAACTAGCTGGCCCGACAGACGTCGTCCTGTCCTAATGTGGTTTTATGTCAAATGCTCGTTCATTTTCAAGATGAGCTCGTTCCCATGGCTCAATCACGTCCTGGTTGAAGTTCATTCGCTACGCTCACTCACCTTTAGGTTAGAGCTCGTTCGCTGAGCTCACTTGCCTTCAGGTTAGCTCGTTTGCTACGCTCACTCACCTCCAGGTTGGAGTTTTGTTCGCTACGCTAACTCACCTCCAGGTTGGAGTTTGTTCGCTACGCTCACTCACCTTTTGGTTGCAAACTGTTGTCATAAATTAAAAAAAATAATAGTGCTGCACCCTGTTGGTAAACCTATTAAATGTATAATGCTATTGAACATCACAGAATCAAATTGTTTAGTTGAACCAGCTTTTAAGATTCTTTAATTCCATTTAAGTATGAGTACTCATAAGGTTAACATGGGAAACTCCATAGCCTCTGCACCAAACTTCACACAAACCATCCTTGAATAATGCTTAATAATACCTGAAAGATTCATTACAATCTGTCGAGCGGTTTCGGAGTCCATTAAGGACAAACAAACAAACATACAAACAAACATACATTGGATTTTATATAAATAGTGTTGTATTCAATATTGAATATAGTCATAGTGTTATAGAGTATATTCAATGGTGGTAGTATATAACATTTTGATAGTAAGTACCTTTTAATCAAAAAACAGTAAAGCAGTAAATACTGTAACTGTGGCTGCTACTAACGGCCTAAATAACGAATCGTTGCGTGATTGTTACTTGCGATGGTGGCAACGCCATAATAATTGCAGTAACGTTGTACGTGACTATGCACTCACCTTCTTTTATACCCCTTGACCTGTAGCAGCCATCTGTTGTTTGTTGATGTCACTTTTGCAACGACTACATTTAAGTGGGCCTGTTTGTATTATTTGGCTCACACTTTTTGAAATTATCAATAGAAAACACAGTTATTATGCTTAAAACCATATTTGGACTTTTAGGCAAGAGAACCTTTAAACAATGATTAAATTGAGCGACGAGTAAATTACTTTTTTAAATCAAACCAGTTAGCTTACTTACCCATAACCTTAATTCAAACTTGGGTTAAAATGTACACTTAGGTAGAGTCTCCATCTCAATTAATAGATAATGGATATTTATTGTAATACAGTATTTTATGAAATTTCAGAATACAATAAAACTTTATTTATAAATTTCAAACAATTCAACATATGACTATGATTTTCAATCAAATATAAATGTTTAAAAAAATAAAATGAAAGCTTAATAGAGCAATGGGGGAATTGCGGCACCATCTTCAAATTGAATGCTTCGAATTTTTCGTCTAGTTCCCCGTAGCCTTAGCGAAACTGCTCGAATGATGGAAAGCTGGCTTTGGATCCTCAACCATCCGATAATTTGGGAGTATGGTTTTCTCCATTTTACAGCCAGGGCTTCGCTTGTTCTCCTCTGAAATGCTTCATATTCTTTGTGGGGGACTCCTTCCGTGGAACATATTAATGGTGTGAAGCTTCCTCTGATGTCTTCAGCTGCTTTGTCATATTTATTGTGTTTCTGAACGGCATGGTTTCGAGATATTGTTCCCCATTCTTGGTTGGCGTAAGAGGGAGCGTCAGCATTAACAATGCGATTATCAAAAAACGCTACTCTCTCAGCCTCCCAAATACCATTAACTTTAAAATCAGCTTTTAAAGCAGGCACATTGGTTGCAGGGTCAGCTTCTCTCATAATAGGCTCGACTTCAACCCCTTTCCAGGCCATATTTGCTATCGCAGCACAGTGGTCTCGATGTTGATCATGCCCATGTTTGATCAATCCTCCTTTTTTACAATTTAATGCATGTGTTAGATTCATAGGTTGATCACAACCATCACATCGTACTGGTAAATTTCTTAGTGTGCGGCCATAGCGAATTGACAAAGCATCTCTGAATTGATCCGGGGACAAATCCGTATGATCAGATGCACATGGTGTCACAGTTAACCATTGGCTAGTATTCCCTGCTACAATTCTAAGTATTGGCTTCTTTTGACTTTCAGGAAGTAATTCCATAATTCGTTCATAATTTGCTTTAGCCAACATGTCTTTTTCTAGTTTTCTCTTCTTTATTACATCTTGTAGTGTTGATACATGATCATTAATCTTTAATGGTTGTCCATTTTTAATGGCTAATATTAATTTTTCTGTGCATTGTTTTGATGCTTCAAATGAAATACCATCGTTCTTTGTCGGGTCCTGAATATTTAAGCCTCCAAAACGAGTAGGGAGAGAGAACAAGTCATGTTCAAGTTCAGAAATCTCTTGTTCGAAAAGGTTGGGAGTGAAATGGCGATGTATGGCAGTTTTTAAATCTTCGTATTCTTCACTAAATCCCTCTGTTACTCTTTGGAGAAATGCCCATTCATTTTGTAATGACTTAGTAAAGGCAGTATACGCTGCTTGAGGACTTTTATGTGCAGCTATGCCAAATTTCTTTATACAATCAACCCATTTTTTTACTTTTTCTTTCACAAATTCCTTCTTTTCTTCTGAGCTACCAATAATACCCCCTAAAAACCTGTACGATGTTACAATTTTCACTTGTAGGTCTCTGAAAATTTCTTCTGCTTTTTCTTTATATTCAGGTTTTACTATCAATACACTTTTCTTGGGTTCTGGGTAATACCCCCATTTTGGCCCTTCAACACGTAAAGCGTTAAACCATTCTCTAACTTTAAGTATTTCACCGAAACATGCAGAATCATCAGCGTACCAGTTTTGCTTCCAATTTAGGCTTTTTAGTTTTTTTACCAAAGGTAATATGCCAATTGCATACATTAGCATGCCTAAAGGGTCTCCCTGAGTGGTTCCTTCTTGACTAAGGATGATTTTATTGCTTCCTCTAAACATAATGGTTGCATAGCCTTGGTATGTATTGAATAGGAAACGAGCGCAACGAGGCCAAAGCACCCTAGCATTCCACAGAGTTAAAGGCCTGCTCAAGGCGTTGAACGCATTTGAAGCATCTACAAGTAAAATACAATTTTGGTTCTTTTCATTGAATAGGTCCGTCATAGCATGTATAGCACCTTCTATTCCAGCTTTCGTTCCGGCGCAGAGTTGGTCAGATCCACATATTTCTTGAACATCGTCACCTGTTACAAAAGCCATGGTTTTTGCACATAGTCTCTGCAAAACTTCTCCAACTCCTATTGGGCGAATACCAGGGTATTTGTTCAGTGCTAATCCTCTTCTAGCTAACAGAGCTCTGATCGAGTTCCAGTTTACTATCCCGTTTGCCATCCATCGAGTTAACGATGCGACTGCTTCCCTTAAACGAGTGCTATGTGCTCCATAGCGTAGCAACATATTCTTCCATTGATCAGCATTTGTTCCGCTAGGGCCAGCACTTCCATGCAAACGTCTAGCCATTTTCTCTATGTGGTCACTGGATATATCTACATCTACCATCAATGGTAAGTTCTCATCAGCTAGAAAGGTATTGTCATTCGGAACCATTTGACGTGGGTGCTTATTTTTTAAAACTTGAAAAACATTTTGACCATCAGGAAGGATATCGTCAGGTGTGAGTACTCCATCGCCGGAGCGATCTGTGAGCCATCTTGTAGCTTCACGCAATTTTCCTTGTAATACCAATCTTGTGAAGATTCTTATTTTCTGGTCTTCTTCTTGGTGTTCTTGTGATGTTTTCATTTGCCGATCACATCTCTCAGCTTCACGTATTAATTCATCAAATTGATCATTTTCCCACATTTCCATTCTTTTCTTCATCAAACGTCTTATGTCAGACCCATTTTTTATCATTTTATCTTTTTGAAGAATGGTAGCACATAAGAAAAATATTCTTTCGGTTGAATTTATACCATTTGGGACTGCTTGGATCTCTTTGGCTAGAACATCTACAAATTGCCTTCCAATTGAACCTTGTGGTATTGTATATTGTCATTAGATTAGAATTTTATGAAATTCTATAAACTTAAAACAGTCAATTGAATTGCAAAATAAATTATAAAACTGAGAGTACCTATGCTAGTATACGTTTCGTTAGGAGAACGGAAGTTTGGATTTCAGTAAACAGTCTACATTTGAGCTATGTTAAGTTAATTGGAATCATCGTCGTTACAAAACTATTAAAAATATTTAACAACTAAGTTAACATACTCACCACATGTTTAACAGATACATCCTTGCTCCAAATGGTCAAATTCCCCTTGGCAGTTGCTCCCAATAAATAATGCATGTACGTTGTGGCATAGACAAATTCTTCTTTGCTTTCAGAAACAAAATCATGAGTATGCTCTCCAGTTAGAATACTGTATGCACTTATAGAGCAGCCACAAACTATGTAAATATATCTGAAAAGAGAAAACATAATTGAATGAAGCTGGAATTGATAAATCATTCTGTTCTCAAAAAAAGAATAGAGAACAAATGGTTAGAGGATATCCACTTAAAAAACCAACTACACAAGCTAATTTTCACATTTTCTGGCAGTTTAAGATTTAACTCTACTCAACCCTGTCCAAATGTCCTACTAGGCTTCTGTACTAGATCACTAGATGCGTTTAAAGAATGGCATGGTTCGAGAAGGAATATTTATTGGTCAAGTAGGTACGACATAAATTGCAGGCTTTTTGTAGTGTGGATGTAGGATGAAACATGATTTTTGGCCTGACACCTGTTTCTCTTTTTCAGAAACAGCTGCTTTTCTGAAAAAAAAAAAAAAACTAAAAGGAAAGTTAGGGTTCTGCAGATAATCTACGATATATCATCATTTGAATATAGAGTAATGACAAAACGGGAGTGCCGATGGAGACCAGGTCAAGTCCCTTCATACACACGCACCCCCACAGGTCTCCATCGGCACTCCCGTTTTGCTAACACTGTAGTTCCATATTTATAGCATAACCTTATGGGATTTAGTGTTCACACGTAATATGGATTTTATGTCTCTCAAGAAGGCTTTTTACTTTCACACTGGCGGTTAGGTTTGGTTAGTTTTGACCAAGTTTAGTTTAACTTAGTTTAGTTTATAATAGTAATAAACAAAGTAGCCTAAGTTAAGCCTAAACATTAATAAAAAGTTGATATTTTGTGTAGTTTTTTAATTAAAGGGATAAATTTACAAAATACAGTAAATTAAGTTTGTATTGGTATCGTCTTTTTTTAATGAGTTTCATAAACTAAACTGAACTAGACCAACCTAACATAATGCTGCAGCACACTGTAAAAGAGCTGCAGGCAAATAATCTAATTTAGGCCTACTTGAAAAACACCGTAGGCCTTTGAACTAACAGAAAATCAACATTTACATTCAATGTTCATACAATCGAAATATTTTAATCAATAACTTATTTATGTTATATTTTTAGGAAAAAGCATTTAGCTTGGATTAAATAAATAAATATAGGATGGAGAGGACACAGCTAACTCACCTGATGAAAGAGTTGCAGATGAGTCAAAGAACACATAAAATCACACACATAATATACTTAATATTTCGCCTCTTTCAGAGGCTTCTTCAGAAGTAGGCCTAGATGGTAGTTACAAAACAACAGTTTAAATAGGATGACCAATTTAAACTCATCATATTTAAACTGTTGTTTTGTAACTACCATCTAGGCCTCTGAAAGAGGCGAAATATTAAGTATATTATGTGTGTGATTTTATGTGTTCTTTGACTCATCTGCAACTCTTTCATCAGGTGAGTTAGCTGTGTCCTCTCCATCCTATATTTATTTATTTATGTTATAGTAATCTAATATTCAATCCGATAATATATCATGGGTTTTCTGCAGAACTGAGCCCAAAGTAATCTCAATTGATTAAACTTACCTAAATTAACTTAAAATTTCTTGCACAATATAAGTTAGGCCTAGTTCCAATTCCAATGTTTTACTTAAATTTAAGTTACGGAGAAACATGACAACTAAACTTAATACAAAAAATTTCACTCGGGATAAGTTAGATTGGGTGAATACACTAGGGATAAACCAGGATTTTTCATTATTTTTAAAAGAAGTCCAAAGGGATTTTTGTTTTTGTTTTGTATACACAGGTTAGGGATGAGCATTGACAGGTCAACCATTGATTGTAACATTGACGTCAACCATTGATTGTAACATTGACGTCAACCATTGATTGTAACATTGACGTCAACCATTGATTGTAACATTGACGTCAACCATTGATTGTAACATTGACGTCAACCATTGATGTACTGATAACATCGTTGCGAAAACAGTCCCAAAAACATCGATGTTTTTAGTTTGCTTTTTGCACTCTCCAGTACCGTAATGGAAAACATCGATATCTCAATACTTGTCCAAAAACATTGATGTTTGATGAAAACATCGGAAAGTAACTTAACCTACCATCGATGTAAAGAACATCGAACATTGATTGGAAAAACATCGATGTTTCGAAATCATCGACTATCGATGCTCCCTTAAGTTAATCAGCCAGTCCTCAACCTTCAACTCAAATTCTATGGTGCAACAATAATCGATATATTCATTCGAATGAGTGTAGGACAGATACTAAAGTGCAGCCCAACAAAACAATCAACCTTCAACATTGCAGCCACAACATGTTATTGCATGTGCTAGGCCTTGTAAAAGTTCAGTTCATATTATCAAATTGTTTAGGTACTATGTAGATACCACGAATACGACTCGATACTTAATTTACTAGCTTACTTTCCGTCTGTTGAAAATAAAGGTGGATTTGCAACAATGCAGCCGCCTCCCCTATTTCGGACAACTATATTTTCCTCCATTGGATTATCTATTATTTGAAGACTTTCGTTTAAAATCACGACCATATTTTTACCATTTAAAAAAGTCACAGTTTTGACCAATTGAAAACTTGTACAGTATATAAACCAGAAATATAAAATGTGTTTTGTAAACCTACATAGGTTATGATCAACATACACAAGGACAAGACAAGACGACGGACGGCATGGCATGAGCACATGATGAGCATGGTGACTTTTTTATCGTTAGAAAAGTCTAGCTTAGTTTTTAAACATGCAGTCATGCTGCCTGTTGGTCTAAGCGTTGATTAATAGGGGATTCCAGGCAGTGATCACTGTGGTAATGGAGTGTGCTAGGGAGAACCTAAGGAACGGTTTTAGTGATATGAATTTTTCCGTTTTCACAGACAGCCAAGCTGCACTCAAGCTCAAGGCATTCGGCGAGTTCGAAGTTAGAGTACAAGTAGCGATAACGTCACAACAGTGCCTATGATCTTGTGGGGACACAGCCTTTCTGTGGAATTTCTCATGGTATGCAAGTCAGTCAGTAATGTCATGGGCTCAAGAGGAACACGGGACAAATATATGGATTAAGCTTCTTGCATCACAGTTTCAGCATCAAGCTCACTCTCCTCTTTCCTTCTCAAACAGTCACCTCCAATGTTCTACGATTAAACAGGATGCAAGAAAGGCAGATCACACGAATGGTCACAGTTCATAATGGCTTCCTGAGAATATGCTTACATCGCTTGAGGATCCACAGTAGATATACTGCATGTATAAAAATGTGGACAGTCTAAAGATAGGTACTGTAAACTAGCAAACCATCTACTCTATGACTGCACAGCTCTTAATGAGGTAAGGGAAAGCTATCCATGACAAGGAACAGACACCTTCCTCAGGAGTAGCCCATAGATCTACAGTTCTACAGTTCATACAATCTACAGTTTATCGAACAACTCAGATTTGACGGGTTCTAGAGGCACTTACCATCTAATTCGATCAATCAATCCTGATGCGCACTGTTGAATTGCTTTAGAATAAGAGACAATAATGTTATTAAGTTAATAACAGTTTCTTCAACTGCTTTTGTGTGACACTTCAAGTTTTCTCTACATGTTTATTTCATATTTCCGAATTTAACTCAAAATTCAATTTTTATTGTTAACTAGCTGGCCCGACAGACGTCGTCCTGTCCTAATATGGTTTTATGTCAAATGCTCGTTCATTTTCAAGATGAGCTCGTTAGCATGGCTCAATCACGTCCTAGTTGAAGTTCGTTCGCTACGCTCACTCACCTTTAGGTTGGAGCTCATTCACTGCGCTCACTTGCCTTCAGGTTAGCTCGTTCGCTACGCTAACTCACCTCCAGGTTGAAGTTCGCTCGATACGCTCACTCACCTTTTGGTTGCAAATTAGCTGTTGTCATTAAAAAAAAAATAATAGTGCAGCACCCTATTGGTAAACCTAATTACTTTTTAAAGATATTGAACATCACCGAATCAAATTCTTTAGTTGAACCAGCTGGTAAGATTCTTTAATTCCATTTAAATATGCGAGTACTCATAAGGTTAACATGGGAAACTCTAGAGCCACTGGGGCACGGAGCCCTTTTGACGGATCTGCACCAAACTTCACACAAACCATCCTTGAATAATGCTTATTGCTCAATAATGCCTGAAAGTTTCAATAATAAAATATAAAATAAATACGTTTTTATGTACAATCACAATAATTAAGGACATTCAGTTTTCACCACAAAACACAATCACCTTCAATTACAGTATTTTACCATGTACACCAGCAGATTCAAGCCCCGTATGTACAACTTATCTATAGGCTATGTTAAAGTTTTACTCATTATATTGTCTTTGAATGTTATATTTTGTCAAGGTTACAGACTAAATATTCTACTATTGTAATACAAATTCTAAAAGTTTATTTTGTCTGCTCTCTAACACGCAATTGAACCAATTTATAAGCTAAGCATGTTTACATTTAAAAATTCATTATGGTCAAAAACTAAATAATAGCCTATAAGTTACCATATAACACACATTGATAAATAATTGGTTAACACTGTTGCAATGAGTTTCCATGTCTTAAAGTACACAAACTCTAAAATAAAAGTTCTCCAAGGTATAATCTTACACTGAAGGTGTCAAAGTCAACATGACTATAAGAGTTTCTTTAACTGCTTTCGTGTAACACTTCAAGCTTTCTCAACAAGTTTATTTCATAGATCAAAATTCACCCTTTTATTCAATGAAACTCATGTATCATGCAGTATTATTGATAGGTAGATCAGTGGTTATAGTTTTCTTCTAGCAATCAAAAGATTTCCGGGTCAATCCTGGGAAAAGTTGAAAGACTTTTGACAGCTCAAAACTGAACCTAGCTGTCCTTCATTTGGATTTTGATTAATGGTCGTGGCTAAAAAACCAACAGGTCTTAATAAATAACGATAAACTGGAGATGATCCCACTACATTCTACAGTCACCCTGCACATCTCTTCACGTTTATTTTAAAATGCAGTCCTAGAGTGTGTCTCGCTCTGGCACGAAGAATGGTTAGATTGATTTAATTTATAAGTAGTATTAAGAATCGGGATAATTACGATAACCAACCCAATTTTTATGCACTAAAAATAGTGTAAACTTATACATACTAAAATAGTAAAGTTAACAAATGCAATATTAGGCAACACTTAATGCATGTATATTTATTGTGGAAAAAAGTTTTTTTTATATCCTTAATTATATAAAACAACTTAAAATTTAGCAAAAATATAGAATAGCATGACTATAATGTAACGATTCTATTGAGGGACTAATTTTGAAATACTTGCATTATATCGATACTATAACGTCAATTTATCACTAAACTCAAAAACATAAATGAGTGTGAAATGATCTTTACAAAGTATTCTCACAGCCAAACCTTGAATCAAATAATAAACCAGAGGACAAAGTCACAATGAACGAAAGAGACTAATGATAAGACTTTCATTTAATCTTAATTCCACCTTAACTCTCCTCCAATTATAGCCCCAGATGTTATTATCTTCCCGTTATAAGATTTTCTTAATCCTCCAAAAAATGATTAGAAACTTCTAACTAAAAATTATTTTGAAATGAAATAATATTTAAAAAAGTATAGTTTATCGCAAAATGTTTTAAAACACAAATGTTTTAAAATTAAATTGAGTAAAATGAAGAATCTCCCCTCACATATATACTCACATAGGATAACTTTCTTTTGTCTAGATCGTTTCCAATACACTAGTTTTTTGTCACATAATAATTTTATGAGAAGTAACGATTTTATCTTATCTAAATCTTATTTTGTAATTGAAGAGTATTTCACTCTAAGGCTGATTGATTATTCAACGTGTTTTTGTCATACTACGCAGGAAAAGGTGTCTTTAAATACTAAAATGTGGCTGGAAACTTGCCGTTTTCATTTTAACCTAACATAACTTATTATGTTCTCTTTTTGTCTTTTCTGATCACTAAAATTAGCTACATGTTAATCTTATGGCGAAAGCCTATTTTTGCAGGACAGTTCTTTTCCGATCAGTTTTAGAAGTTAAACGTGACGCAACAGCTGACTTTTATTGTTGCCAAATAATTGGCCACAGTTAACCCCGATGTTAACCCCCTCATTGATGTTACACGTGTGAAGCATATTATGGAATTGTGATTTCTAAAAACATAGGGTTTTTGTGTTCCTTGATTCTAGAATAACTTGTTTCTTGATTCGTAGTTATATGACTTGTTTGCAATATAACTAATAGTATCGTTCAATACTCGTCCGAAGAGCTCTTTGCCAGTGCTTGATCTAAATTCTTCTCGCACGTAAACACGATCTCGCACTGGCAAATAGTGCTTTTCCGGACTAGTGACGGAATATAGTATTGTAGACTAGTTAAATTAGATTAACAACTTCGTGTCATACATGTGTTGTCAAACAAGACCCAAGTAAGCCAGAGTTGCAGCTGATGATAATGTGTGGCTTCTGTGGCTGGATAATTTGTATCCTGACCACAGTTGCCCCATTAATCTTACCATATTAAATCCTTGACACTATAAACTGATATGATGATAAACATAGTAAACCATGTAATAAAATACTGTCTATTGTTGAATACTTAAAGAAAAGGGATAAAAATGAGTATGCAGTGTAGATATTAAAAAATACGATTATATATACGAGCTATATATACTGTATAATTTATGTATTTATATGACTGATGGTTCTGATGGTCTAGTTAGAGCACTAGCATTTCGTACTCTATACTATAATAATGATAACTAGTGTACATGTTGCTCGAATTCAAGCAATTGCAAAGTATTACAGGAGTTATATCAAAACGAATAACAGTCATATTTACAACGAGTTTAAAAGAGTCAACTCAAAAATTACCGGTGTGTAACTCAGACCATGTTTATCTTCGAAAAATCTAAAGTATTCCGGCCGGTTTTCTTCTTCTTATAATGCGTCGTAGTACGGGCAACACAGGTCATTGATAGAGGGCCAATTGAGAACGAAAAGTCGTTTTGGGGTAGTGTTAGGGCGCATTTGTAACCTAATAGTTGAGATTGTCCAGGGTCAGGTGCTGACTGTGATGAGTTAAGCCTATTACGCGCCACTGTTAGCTGTGGTCACTATCACGATTACGCCTCCTGTCTATGTTTCGTTGTCGTTGCGTCGGAGGCATCTAAAAGGAAAAAAACAACAAATAAACAAATTATAGCTACACAATACAACTATAAATGCGCAAATTTAAGTTACAAACATGCTAACACGATCCGTCATAGCGACACAAAACAACTATAAATACACACATTTAAGATACAACCATCCTAACACGAATCGTCTTGGGGGTTATGTTTACACAAACTCAAATAGTAAATAAATGTACTCAATGCGTTTCATTGAATTGAAAAATAAATAACAGCAATTAAATTATACAGCTGATCAAGATCAAAATGTAAACAATTATGTTCTTCATAAGAATAACATGGAAACTTTCAATGCCACTGGGGCAGAGCCCAAGGGACTTTTTCAAAAATGTAAGGCCAGTTTGCAAATCTACGCGACACGCTCTTTCCAATGAGACGTCAATGGATAAAATCGGTTAAGAAATGGCGGAGGAGTTCAACCGACAAAGTTTCATGTAGCGTA